CGAATCTTTTGAGCCTAATTAGCCCATGATTAGCCATAAGTGTTACAGTAACTCACATGTACTAATGCCGGCTTAATTAGGCTCAAAACATTCGTCTCGCGGTTTGGCGAGTTATGAAATTAGTTTTTTCATTCGTGTCCGAAAACCCCTTCCGACATCCGGTCAAACGTCCGATGTGACACCCAAAAATTTTCATTTCACCAACTAAATAGGCCCTTAGTTATTGTAAGATAGAATTTTTGCATAGTTATGCTATCTTTCGTAAACTAGTGGAGTAGATTGAGTAAAACCAGTATGTCTTCAAAGAGAATTTACAGGCACGCAAATGACTGACAAACTGCTTAGTGTTTACTGCAATCTTCAGATAAGAGAGAACATGTATTGGCATGCCAAATTAAGCAGTGTAGTTGCATTGTTCTGCAGGTATCAATTAAAGTGGAAAAATTAAGTAATCAAGACTAATTATTTTCTTTTGATGAAAACAGGATTGGATTTGTGACACAGGACGACGTCCTTTTCCCTCAGTTGACAGTGGAGGAGACCCTTGTGTTCGCTGCCTTCTTGAGACTCCCCGCTCGCATGTCAAAGCAGCAGAAGCGCGACAGAGTTGACGCCATCATAACTGAGCTAAATCTAGAGAGGTCTGTAAGTATATTTTCATCAAAGGAAAAAAAAAACTACACCGATTTTACTAATATAAGTTGTCAAACCAACAATCTGCAGCTTAACACAAACCCACGTGAAGCAAAATAGCATACAAAATAAAATCATGACTAATAGCATAAATCTGTTTTTTTTCTGAAATTCGAATAAGAAAATGCAAAGAAACGCAAATATCGCATCTTAAAGTACAGTGGTGCATTAGAATTACTCTTGATTTTTCTCGACCAACCTACATGACATACCTACTGAACGTGCACTTTCATTTCAAAAGAGAAATTTTACAGTTCTTAAAGAGTTATTATATTTTGTAGTGCAAATCAAAATTTACATTAGAAAAAAAATGATATCTTTTAACGGTCACAAAATTACTCATCTTAAAAATGGTGGGTCATACGGCAATGGTATACCCATTGAACAGTGTTTACGATTTCGGAAAATTTTGGACCCTGGCACAAAACTACTTCACTGAATTATTTTTCCCTTTTTTTTCATGAATTTGATCGAAAATTTGTTCAAAACCTAATAAATAGTTTTTAAATATCCAATATCTCGGAAAATTTCGCTACCCAGGACCCACGACACAAATGCTGAAAACGAAAAGGACTACCTATTAAACTTTTGGTACATTTATAACTTTGAATCTTACATAATTTTCAACTAATAGATATATAGCCCGTTTTAAATGAAATAGAAAAAAAAGAGACAAACATGTCAAAAAAAAAACCGTAAATCTAACTTAAAATAAAATGTTGTGAAAAAAATTCTAATGTTTGTACACGATTGCAAAACTCTGCAGGTGCCGGCACACCAAGATCGGCGGCGCGTTCGTGCGCGGCGTGTCGGGCGGCGAGAGGAAGCGGACGAGCATCGGGTACGAGATCCTCGTCGACCCGTCGCTGCTGCTCCTCGACGAGCCCACCTCGGGCCTCGACTCCACGTCGGCGGCGAAGCTCCTCGTCGTGCTCCGCCGCCTCGCCAGGTCGGCGGCCCGCCGGACGGTGATCACCACCATCCACCAGCCCTCCAGCCGGATGTTCCACATGTTCGACAAGCTGCTGCTCGTCGCCGAGGGCCACGCCATCTACCACGGCGGCGCCCGCGGCTGCATGCGCCACTTCGCCGCCCTCGGCTTCTCCCCCGGCATCGCCATGAACCCCGCCGAGTTCCTCCTCGACCTCGCCACCGGCAACCTCGACGGCATCTCCTCCCCCGCCTCCCTCCTCCTCCCCTCCGCCGCCGCCGCCTCGCCGGACTCCCCCGAGTTCAGGTCCCACGTCATCAAGGTATGTGCGTGTCTCGTGTCGAGGGCCCAAGAATCACTCTCATGGCGTTGTGGGTGCAGTACTTGCAGGCGAGGCACAGGGCGGCCGGCGAGGAGGAGGCGGCGGCCGCGGCGGCGAGGGAGGGCGGCGGCGGAGGTGGCGCGGGGAGGGATGAGGCGGCGAAGCAGCTGAGAATGGCGGTGAGGATGAGGAAGGATAGGCGGGGCGGCATCGGCTGGCTGGAGCAGTTCACCGTGCTGTCGCGGCGCACGTTCCGGGAGCGCGCCGCCGACTACCTCGACAAGATGCGCCTCGCCCAGTCCGTCGGCGTCGCCCTCCTCCTCGGCCTCCTCTGGTGGAAGTCCCAGACCTCCAACGAGGCCCAGCTCCGTGACCAAGTATGTACACTAGCTTCTTCTTCCTCCTCTCGACACCGCCATTGCTGACGTCATCAAGAACTCAAACTGTCCGATCAAGAACACATACACAAACCCACCCTCTCCTTCTTCCTCCTCCTCTCGACACCGCCATTGCTGACGCCATTGTCAAGAACATACATTCCTCTTCTTCCTCCTCCTCTCGACACCGCCATTGCTGACGTCATCAAGAACTCAAACTGTCCGGTCAAGAACACACACCCTCTTCTTCTTCCTCCTCTCGATATCGCCATTTTCAAGAACATACACTCCTCTTCTTCTTTCTCCTCCTTTCGACACCGCCATTGCTGACGTCATCAAGAACTCAAACTGTTCGATCAAGAACATACACATAAACTCCTCTTCTTCCTCCTCCTCTCGCCACCACCATTGCTGACGTCATCAATAACTCAAAACACACACCTCTTCTTCCTCCTCCTCCTCTCGACACCACCATTCTCAAGAGTCAAGAACATACACTCCTCATCTTCTTCCTCCTCCTCCTCCTTGCACAGTTGCACCGCCATCGGCAAGAAGTCGAGGTGATCAAGAGTAATATGTGTGCGTTTGCAGGTGGGGTTGATATTCTACATCTGCATATTCTGGACGTCGTCGTCGCTGTTCGGGTCGGTGTACGTGTTCCCGTTCGAGAAGCTGTACCTGGTGAAGGAGAGGAAGGCGGACATGTACAGGCTGAGCGCCTACTACGCGAGCAGCACGGTGTGCGACGCGGTGCCGCACGTCGTGTACCCGGTGCTCTTCACGGCCATCCTCTACTTCATGGCCGACCTGCGCCGCACCGTGCCCTGCTTCTGCCTCACCCTCCTCGCCACCCTCCTCATCGTCCTCACCAGCCAGGGCACCGGCGAGCTGCTCGGCGCCGCCATCCTCAGCGTCAAGCGCGCCGGCGTCATGGCCTCGCTCGTCCTCATGCTCTTCCTCCTCACCGGCGGCTACTACGTCCAGGTGAATCTCACAAATATCATCTTCTGATTTCTGAATTTTGGTTCTCGATCACTTTCCCGTGTTCTAAAACATGGTTTAAATGTTGAAGAAATCAAAAGTATTTTGGAAGGACGGATAGAAGTGAAATTTTGGACTAGAAAGCACAAAATTATCTTCTTCTAGTTTCTGAATTTTGCTTATCACAAACATGGTTATAATATTGAGTAAATTAGAAACATTTCTTCTTTTAGAAAAAAAAACAAAAAGTATTTCAGAAACAGAGTTTGAACAAGCAATTTGTTTGGCTGAATTTAAACATGTTCTACTCAAATTTAAAAAAAACTATTTTTTTCGGTTAAAATAATATCTGGGAGGCCATATACCCAAAATTTCTAAAATTCCTTTCCGAAAATTTCAAAAATAAATTTGCTCCGAAATGTGAACGAACAGGGCCAAAAAAAACACACAAAATATTACATATCATTGTGCATGCATCGACTATTTATCGACATTATATTCCTAACTTTTTTCACACCAAATAAGCTCGGATAAAAATGAAATTGAAATTTGGGATAATTTTGTTTGGATTGAACAAAAAACATTGCAGCATATACCGAAGTTCATAAGGTGGCTCAAGTACGTGTCGTTCATGCACTACGGGTTCAACCTGCTGCTGAAGGCGCAGTACCACGGCCACCTGACCTACAACTGCGGCAGCCGCGGCGGCTGCCAGCGGCTGCAGTCCTCGCCGTCGTTCGGCACCGTCGACCTCGACGGCGGCATGCGCGAGGTCTGGATCCTCCTCGCCATGGCCGTCGCCTACCGCCTCCTCGCCTACCTCTGCCTCCGCAAGCGGATCAGCCTCATGCCCTTGTAGTCCATCGATCTGTCAGATCAGGATCAGTTGGTTCGGGGAAGAAGACGACTGATGTGGTAGTGAATTGCAATTGCGATTGATGATGGTGAATGGGCCATTGTTGGTTTGGGTGCTGTGAATTGTTTCAAACTTGAGTTCTTTTCTTTATTTGAGAAGTATTTGAGGCTTGTCTGCTTAGCAAGTTGGGAAATAATCAACCCCATCATTTTAGCATTCAGCTTGTAAGCATAAGCGAAGATTTATTTAAAACTTATTTTTAAAGTTAATTTTAGGTATCTTTTCGTAGTTTATTTTCTAGCATTTACTTTTTAATTTGCTGAGCATGTATATTAAAGTTTTACGTATAATTTTTTTTAAAATTATTAATAAGTTGTTTGTATAAGCGATTAGTCTGTCTCGTCGTCGTGACAAAAAGAAAAACCGATGAGATGGTTGGGAGCCGATTAAGGTTATTGTTTTCCTCGAAAAGAGAAGGTGGAGGGGATGGGGTGAATTTAAATCTCCCTGCAAAACCATTTTTGGCTTTGAGCTCAAAATTTCTCATTTTCCGTTTGTAATGGACATAGTAGTATGTTCTCCTCAGGGCCTTTGCCCTATTAGGCCCAAATCTCCTGCCCGCAAAAAATGGGCTGACAACGTCACGAACCACGAACCGCGCCGTAAATGGGCCAAAAATACCAAGGCCCAAATCCTACAGAGCCCAAAGTAGAGGGCCATAATATGGGCCTAGAAATTCAACGGCCCGCTCCAATGAGAAGTGGACTCGGAGCGGGATTCCCCCACCAAATCCGTTTCGACCTCAGAAAATACGCCTCCGATCAGGCGTTTACGCACACTACTAATATTGACGAGAAAGCCACCTCCTCTCTCTCGCTCGCTCCGCTCTTCTTGACAAGGAAGCAAAAGCCGCCGCCGCCGACGCCGACGAGAGAGGAGAGAGAGATCGCCGCCGACGTCGCAGGAGGGGGAGGGGGAGATGGCGGCGGAGGGGGAGGACGCGGCGGCCGCGCGACGCCGCGCGGCGGCCACCGACTACAGGAAGAAGCTCCTCACCTGCAGGGAGCTCGAGGCGCGCGCCCGCACGGGTACGTATGCCTTCCCCCATTGTTTCGGCCTCTTCCTTCCCCTTGCGCGGATGTGGATTGCTCGGTGTCTAGGGTTTTCGGCCTCTTCTACTGGGGCGGCCCTCCCCCGGGTAGCGGTCGCGTGTAGAGGGGGGATCCGGTTTCCGTGGGTTGGGTTAGGTTGGGTAGGGAGGGACACTGCGACTAGGGTTTTAGCTAGGGTAATCTGTTTGTCATGTGAAGTGAATTTTGGTTCTCGGCGAGGGTTTTTGCTTATGGGGTTTGTGCTTGTGAAAGTAATGTGCGGTACAGGGGTTTGGTTCAGGCGAAATTTTGCTAGTTTTTCACAATATATGCAACTGACAGAATTGTGTATAAAAGCAATGTGCGAGGTGTATGGATCACTCTGCTCTTGTCCTGTTCGTTGGTGATGTTACTTGGCGCCTGGCGGAGTCTGTGCTGCATTTTGTATAGGTTGTTGTTAATTCAGGAGTTGGTCATGAGGACATGCGCTAAAACTTATATGTGGATATTCAATTGGATGTTCTTTTGTGCGGGGTGATCCTTTTTAGTTCTTTGTAGCGTGCGGAGGACATTGCATTTTGTGTTGTGAAGTGTCAAGGTGGTCAGATTTTTGGTGTATTCAAGCTTTCACATTTTGTGTTAATTTTTTTAAAAAAATTTATAACCGTATTTGCTTGTACTTTGGTTGGCTTGATCTTATTTGATGGCCCTTTTTTATTTGATTGCAGCAAGGGACAACCTGAAAAATGCAAAGAAAGATTTTGGGAAAACCGAGGATGACTTGAAGTCATTGCAAAGTGTAGGCCAAATAATTGGTGAAGTACTTCGACCATTGGATAGTGAACGATGTAAGTGAAAAGTTCCCTTCCATTGATCTTTGACAATATATTTCCTGTACAAATAATAGCATAAAATAGGTGCTGCATGCTTATCATCACCAAATTTATCATTTTGTTGTTTGTTCTTAGTTACATAACTTTCCACTCATGGTAGTAAACCTTTAATTTCTTCTCAATCGAGTAATAATTTAGTTATTTGTAGTAAATCAGCTGAAAACTTTCTTTATTGCAGTCATCGTCAAAGCCAGCAGTGGGCCCCGCTATGTTGTTGGCTGCCGAAGTAAAGTTGACAAAGAAAAGTTGATTGCTGGAACGAGGGTTGTTCTTGACATGACAACCCTTACCATCATGCGCACACTGCCACGAGAGGTATATAAGTGATTTTTCATTTGCAAATTACTATAGGTGTATAAAAAATATCGATGTTACGAATAATGGAGGCAAAACCGTACCTTTTCCCTCTGCTCAGGTTGATCCAGTGGTATATAACATGCTACATGAAGACCCTGGCAACGTCAGTTACTCAGCTGTGGGTGGATTGTCGGATCAAATAAGGGAACTTAGGGAGTCCATTGAACTTCCCCTGATGAATCCAAAATTGTTTCTTCGTGTAGGGATTAAACCGCCAAAGGTAACATAAGGAACAAAGTGTCCTTTTTAAATACCATATTATTCATTTATTTCAAAAAGAGATGTCGATGCAATCTTCAAGATCCTTGGATGTACTAATGAAGTATGCAACTTTTTACTCACTGAAGGGTGTTCTGCTCTATGGTCCACCTGGAACTGGGAAGACACTACTTGCTAGAGCTATTGCCAGTAACATTGATGCAAACTTTTTAAAGGTCTGTTTTTTTTTAATGTTTAGCAACCATTTCAGACATGCTAGATATATGTTTAACTGATGTGTACTTTTAAAACAGATTGTGTCAAGTGCTATCATTGACAAGTACATAGGTGAAAGTGCACGTCTCATAAGAGAGATGTTTTCCTATGCACGGGAGCATCAAGTAAGTTCATTTTGTTTTGTTACTGTGTACCTAATAAGTTTTAAATGGTCCATCTATCTTGGTACATACTCTTAATGTAGTGAGGGAAGCAGGAAGTTGCCAAAGGTGTAAAACTGAAAAAATAATTGTTTTTTCTGCGGTTTTTAAATGCCTGGAATATTCTTTGTATGCTCCCTTTTCAAATTCAAACAAATTAGTAAATGAGAGTGCCTCAGCTCTTGATGTACTCTGCCAGAAAACAAAGGAAACACATTAGTTGTCATGTATATCATGTATGCATTTGTCCACTTCTCTACTTAATAACCAGTCTACTTATATTAATCATTTGTGCTACTTTTGTTTTGAACTTTTTGTTTAGCCATGCATCATTTTCATGGATGAAATTGATGCCATCGGTGGCCGAAGGTTCAGTGAAGGAACCAGTGCTGACCGGGAAATTCAGAGAACACTAATGGAGCTCTTAAACCAGTTAGATGGATTTGATGAGCTTGGAAAGGTACACATCTTTTACTGAATAGCATTAGTTATGCATAGGCATGTAGTAAATTACTGCTAATGCAAATGATTTTGTGTTGATGTGCATCATAATAAGGTTGTATGAGCATGTGCATATACAAGCTGATACAGTCACACACGGTTTCTATTGCTTGTGATTGGCAATTGTACAATACTTGAATAATAGCATGTTTTGTTCTGCCGTCTTTGGTAACGTGACGCATTATTTTGTCCATTGATCAGAGTACTGATTTAGATTTGGAAACATATGTTTGTTTAAGTTTGGTTCCACCAATCAGCTGCACAATCAACTTTATCCGAGTTGCTTCTTGTAAACCTCTTTTATTTCCTTTGTGTTAAGATTGATTGACTAGCTGATAGCACATTTGATCTACATCAGTATGGAAATGTAATTTTGGTATACAGATTCCAGATAAGAGTGCTAGTTTCAAACCATTTGGAAGTCCTTGATGGTTGTCACTGATTCCTTTAATATGATGTGGAAAACTGTATGTGACTCCTGGTATTGCATGGATTGTGTGTAACAGAATTTTCCTACTTTTATACAGGTAAAAATGATCATGGCGACTAATCGTCCTGATGTTTTGGACCCTGCACTCCTTCGTCCTGGGCGGTTGGACAGGAAGATTGAAATTCCACTGCCAAATGAGCAGTCGAGGATGGAAGTCCTCAAAATTCACGCAGCTGGTATTGCTAAACATGGTGAAATCGATTATGAAGCTGTCGTGAAGCTAGCTGAAGTGAGTTAACCTACTTAACCTGAGCATGGTAAAATCTTGTTTTGCATTTTGTTCTAACTGAGGCTGTTCCAGGGCTTCAATGGTGCCGATCTGCGCAATGTCTGCACTGAGGCTGGCATGGCTGCTATTCGAGCAGAGCGCGACTATGTCATTCATGAAGATTTCATGAAGGTGGGTTATCACAAACACTTCTCTTCTGTCTGTCTCTGCATCAAAACACAAGGTTAGTTCATAGTTCTCACCATTTCTATCTTTGTGACGAAAAATGGTTTCAGGCGGTGCGCAAGCTGAACGACGCCAAGAAGCTCGAGTCTAGTGCGCACTACAGCGCGGACTTTGGCAAGGAATGAGGCTGATTTGGTGATGTGCTGACTTCTTTTTTTTTCTCCATGGGGGAGGAACTGTCATGCTGATCCTACTCCTCACTTGCAAAAATCCTGCGATGATGATGATATACACGCCAAATTGAATTAGAAACTGATCCCTCTGAGGTCAACCTGACAAGGAGTTGTGATCCTGTCTTCTATTTATTGTACTTCTTGTAACTTTGGGCATACTCCTATATGGGATGATTAATTCGATTTCATTTATTCCCACAAGCGGCTCTGTTCTTCACGAATGATTGGACAGATTATGGACGATTGCTTATCATAAACCTACAAATAGGTTAAAACAAAGTTCTAAGCAATATTGATGTTGAATTTATTTTCAAGAAAGTTAAGTCGTATCTGAATTGTTGACGAGGTAAAACAATCTTCTACAACTGCCAATATCCCGGTGAAATAGCTTCTGGTTTCCGAATATATCTTCTTTTCAAACAGTTTTATGACGAAACGAACAAAAAAAAAAGAAAAACGAGAAAAACCAATTTTTTTCAAACGGTTTATGACGAGATTAAAAAAAAGAGAAAAACCATTTTTTAATGTTTTAATTAAAAGAAACCTTCTCTTTTTTTTACCTGAAGCCACCCAAGCAGCTCGGAGCCCCGGTGCCACGTGTTCGGCCGAGACGCCCTCTCCTCTCCCAACGCTCCATCCCCTCCCGCAAATCCAACGGCCACCGAACCCCTCCATCCCATCCCGCACGAATCTCCACGCCAAGCAACGTCCCAAAAACAGCCAGTTCAAACCGGCGCGCGGAAAAAACCAACCCAACCCACCCCACCCCTCCTCCAAATCCCCAAATTCCAAGAAGACGACGACGACGAGCTCGACCCAATCCATCCTCGCCGCGATTTCCCCGCGAGATCGCCGATCCTGCTGGTGCGGCGGAGGAGGGGGAGGAGGAGGGAGGTTCCGGCGTCGAATGGTGGTTGTCGGATGACAAGGCTCCGGAGTTTGTCGTCGAGCGCGCGGCTGGCGGCGGCGGAGTGGGCGGCGCCGATGAAGCTGCAGGTGAGGGTGGTGGAGGCGCGGGGGCTCCCCGCGGTGCGCGTGGACGGGACGAGCGACCCGTTCGTGAAGCTGCAGCTCGGGAAGCGGCGGGCCAAGACGGCGGTGGCGAGGAGGACCCTGGCCCCCGCGTGGGACGAGGAGTTCAGCTTCCTCGTCGGCGACATCGCCGAGGAGCTCGTCGTGTCCGTGCTCAACGAGGACAAGTACTTCAGCAACGACCTCCTCGGGAAGGTCAGGGTGCCCCTCGCCGACGTCATGGAGACCGACGACCTCTCCCTCGGCACCGCCTGGTACCAGCTCCAGCCCAAGAGCAAGAAGTCCAAGAAGAAATCTCGCGGTATCGATTCACTTCTTCCATTCCCAAATTGCAAATCTGCGGCCTGTTCATTTGCAAATCTTGTCGAATTTTTGTGTAACAAACTGCATGTAGAAAGCAATCATATGTAAGTACATCTCAATTATTGATTCTGAGAGGTAATGCTCTTTATTTTATTTTTTTTCAATTGCAGGAGAAGTTTGCCTGTGCATATCATTGTCTACAAGAACTCATGTTTCAGAGGAATCGCAGAGTGTGAATCCTGCTTCGGATGATGCATCCAGCTCGGACAGGTCAATTGAACATAAGGATGCGGTTTTATCAACCACTAGTAGTTACATTGACCTATCAGCGTGTGCCAGCGCCATGGACCGGGCATCGCAGAGCAGCATGGAACAATTGGCAGATAGCATTGTGGATCAACCACCGCGTAGCAGCATGGAGCAATTGGCAGTTGCTGAACCTGGAGCAGCGGCTGCTGAAGGCGATGCGATGTCGAATTCATCGTCAGTGGTAGAGGTCCTCTCTCGGTATTTCTTTGGGAATAAACCTGCCGATGTCGCGCCTTCGGCTGCATCAGATGCTGAGTCGGTCGATCAGTTTCAAGAGCCAAAAGTGTGTTCTGAAGACCATGAAACCCCTGAAAGTGGCACATCATCTGAGTCAAGCCTTGATGAGCTGCTGAAAACTATGGAGTCCAAAGATCAGGGCTGTGAAATGCCAGCGAACTTGCCTGGGGGTGTACTAATTGACGAATCTTATGTTGCTGCACCAACTGAATTGAATTCCCTCTTGTTCTCTAAAAATTCAGATTTCTGGCCAGCAGTATCTGAGCTTCAAGGAACAAGTGGGTTTCAGATTGAACCATGGAAGCTTGATAATAACGAAACTTGTTTGCAAAGAACATTGACCTACACCAAAGCTGCGAGTAAATTAGTTAAAGCTGTGAAAGCCACAGAAGAGCAGAAATACTTGAAAGCGGCTGGGAATTCTTTCGCTGTTCATTCTGTTGTTAGTACCCCTGATGTTCCTTGTGGCGGTTGTTTCAAGATAGAGATATTGTATTGTATAACACCAGGTCCCTCGTTATCATCTGAAGAACAAACATCACATCTCACTGTAAGCTGGCGGGTGAACTTTGTTCAGAGCACTATGATGAAAGGAATGATTGAAAGTGGTGCAAAACAAGGAATGGCGGAAGGCTTTGCGCATTTTTCTGAAATACTCTCCCAGAAGATTAAAGTAGCTGAGGCTGATGATGCTAATTCCAACAAAGAAAAGATTTTATCTTCACTGCATGCTCAGAAAGAATCAGGCTGGAGACTGATTGTCCGCTTTCTTTTCAACTTCACGTTCATTTTTTCAGTTATCATAGCATCGTATGTCATAGCACACCTTCACTTGTCAAAGCCCAATGCAATGCATGGGCTGGAATATTTTGGCATTGACCTTCCAGATTCAATTGGAGAGGTTGTGGTTTGTGCTGTTTTGATCCTTCAGGGACAGAATATCTTCAATATAATAAAGCGCTTCTTAAATGCATGGAAACAAAAAGGTACCTTATCTCAGAGTTACCACTGTTCTTTACCCCGAAATTGGTAAATTCATATGCACCACTAAAAATGATTTTGCAATATGTATTATATATGTTGTATGCTGTATGACTCAATACACGTCTCTCAAAAGGAGATGCGATGAATGATTTTCTATTGCACCTAGTGAAAACTTGCATCTGTTTTAATATTGTACTGCTACTTTATATTTTCTCCTTACAGTTTCAGATGGGATTAAGTTAATTAACTTTTTTCTATGTATCAGGTAGTGATCATGGGGTCAAAGCTCATGGTGATGGTTGGTTGATGACTGTTGCACTTATTGAGGGCACTGGTATCACTAATTCTAATTCAAAAGAATTATTTGATATGTATGCCGTTTTTACCTGCAACGCAAAGAGGAAAACAAGCTCAGTAAAATTCCAAACATCAGAGCCAAAATGGAATGGTTAGCTTCTTTCCCTGCTGTCATGTTTCTTTTTCCTCATCTGTGAAGAGCTAGAGATTCACTATCCCAGTAGTACAGTCCTAAATGGACTGGCCCCTGACTCATTTGATGTCTGAATTTCTAGAGATATATGAATTTGATGCAATGGATGATCCTCCATCAAGAATGGATGTGGCTATTCATGACGCTAATGGGCCATTTGATCAATCCCCCATTGGTCACGCTGAAGTGAACTTTCTGAAAAGCAATTTATCAGATTTAACCGACGTATGGCTTCCTCTCGAGGGAAAGTGCGATCAAACTAGCAACCCTAAGATACACTTGAGAATATTTTTAAATAACTCGAGAGGAACTGAAGTTGTTATGAACTACCTGGCAAAGATGCGGAAAGAAGTTGGCAAGAAGGTATCGAATTGAGCAGCTCTTTTGTTGGCCTTTTTCGCCATCACTTGTTCTATTTCTATAATGACAGAACAAATCATGCAGATAAATTTGCGGTCTGCCCAAACAAATGCAGCATTTCGGAAACTCTTTAACCTCCCACCGGAAGAGTTTCTCATCGATGATTTTACCTGCCATCTAAAACGAAAGATGCCACTTCAGGTTGGGCTTTCCTACTCTAGCAATTCTTTTAAAGAGAACAAAAATTTCCGAATGCTTCTTTTCATGTGTGCAGTTTGCTATTATTGAGCTTTCATACATAGTGTATTCATAATATGCATATTGTCTAGCATAATAGCCATAGGACTTAGACATTACAAGAAAGAGGACTAGTACAATTTTGTACATCGAGGATTTATAGTGTTGATTGGTTTTTGAAATTTGACTTTATTTGTATGTCAACCATTTTTCTGTCAAAGTTTGAGAATATTGAGATCCTTACTTTTACAGGGGCGCCTCTTCTTTTCACCAAGAATTATTGGATTTTATTCCAACATATTTGGTCACAAGACCAAGTTTTTCTTTTTGTGGGATGATGTTGACGATATCCAAGTTATCCCTCCCACCCTGTCAATTGGTAGCCCATCCTTGACGATCATCCTCCGAAAGGGTAGAGGTTTAGAAGCAAAACATGGTGCCAAGGGAACAGATCCTAATGGAAGACTCAAATACTATTTTCAGTCCTTTGTTTCATTCAATGATGCCCATAGGTAATTTACATTTGTTTCTCTTTCTAAAGTTTAACAGGACATCTTGTACAGGGATATGCTTTATTGTTTAAATCTTGTCTTTAGCTCCAGATTAATATGTTCACAGGCAGCCGAGCCTGATAAATTGGGTCTGGCTGGACTGAGGCTTTGAGTTTTCTAATCCACAAGACTGATACCTGCCTGGCCTGAAAAAGAAAAGTTAAATATGAATTTATGGGGAGTATTTTTCAGGCTTCTTCATGTGGTAGTGAAGGTTGTAGGGAGGCACCAGACTCAGATCTAGAAGATAGGCAGTCTTTTCTTACACTTTTTGGGAAGCCTGACAATAAGTCATATTATGCACGAACCTACAAATAAGCAACGTTGTAAAACTGATTTTTTTATTACACAACTAGCAAGCAGGCTCCTAATTTGGATTAATTTTGTTCCATTTTTTCCTGACAGAATAATCATGGCAATTTGGAAAATGCGATCACTGAGTCCAGAACAGCAGGGGGATATGATCGAAAAAGAGTCCGATACCAAAGAACTCCAGCTCGAAGAAGGTGGAACCTTATTTACCCATGAAGATGTCAAAATGTCTGAAATATTCTCATCGGCCCTCTCTGTTGATGTGAGTGTTTTTACCTTTGCAAGCTCATGCTTGAGCTTGACACGATGCGTTTTCGCAACATATAATCTGTTTTGAGCTCCCTACGAATGAATGTTTGCATTTACAGGTCGAGTCCCTGATGGAGATGTTTTCAGGAGGGCCTTTGGAACACAGAATGATGCAAAAAGCTGGTTGTATTGACTACTCGCCAACAGAATGGGAACTTGTAAGCCGAAATATATACCAGCGGCAAATCAGCTACAAGTTTGACAAAAACTTGTCAAGATATGGAGGAGAAGCAACCACCACTCAGCAGAGGTATGCCCTAGTGAACCAAGAAGGCTGGGCCATTGAAGAGGTGATGAGCCTACAAGGTGTTCTACTGGGGGACTGCTTCAATGTAAGATGTCCCTTCATGCATCTCTTACTCTGCGTTGTAATTTTTTAATTCAAAATTTATCAAGATTCTGAAGCTATGGTGTTGGAAATATAATATGAGTTAGACATCACCAGCTTGTGTTTTCTTTGAATTGTTCTTGCTTAACTAGCCCTTAACAAATATCAATGATTCTTAATTTGCAGGTTCAGATGAAGTACACTGTGGTGAATGTACCGTCAAAACCGAACACTTGCAGTGTGCAGGTTTTGTTGGGGATAGCCTGGTTAAAGAGCACTAAGCAACAAAAGAAGATCACGAAGAGTGTCATTTCCAATTCATCCATTAGATTGAAGGAGCTCTTTGCTGAAGTAGAGAAGGATCTTACATCGAGAAGCGGTAGTATTTTCAACCCAGATTTGGAACTGAACCCATACTATTGCTTAATGTTTTAGTTATCACATAAATTAATTACAAAATCCACATAATTCTTTTTCAAAAAAAAACAAAATCTAAATAAAAAAATCAATTCAAGCCTGCCAGGATTGACCTAACATGAAATCTCCCAGGTAGCAAACCTATATATTGTTTTACGGTTTGTCACAACCATTCAAATTAATTATTACTTCATTCGTCCCAAAATTTTGCCACAACACATCCTACTAGGATGTATCGTATTCAGCACTAGGTAGCAATATTTGGGGATGGAGGTAATACCACATAATTTGGCTAGGTATTAAATAGATTAATCTGATTTAAATTTTGACTGCCTTGTTACAAACAAACATCTTTCCTTGAGACTACAAACCAATGCTGTTTATTTTATCTTGGGCAACTATACTGATTTGTCTTTCTGCAACGTTTTCAGGGGCAAGCTGACATCTGCACAAACTAACAGTAGATTGTTCATTGCAACAACCAAATGTGTTTGAAGAGACCAGTATACATGGAGCAATTTGGGAGAACTGTGGCTGTTTGCCTGCGGTTGACTGGTTTCAGCTTTGTCAACATTCTTGCTGGTAGAGTTAATACACAGATGGCAAAGCCAAAAAAAGAAAAAGAAAAAAAAAAGAAGTGTGACATCAATGTGAATAGATTGTTCAAAAACACTTTTTTTCTTAAACATTCCTGATATGATCTTACCTTCATAGGAAGTGAAGTAGAGTTGTATACTTGTATATGCACAGCTGACCAATGTTATACAAACGATATAGTAAAAGGAATCTAACTTTGATTCATATTGGTTTTTCTTAGTCATTAGATGTCCTGCACAACAGTAACACCTTGTTCAGATTACCATACTACTTCGCTGTAATCCTTCCCTAACTGCTGCTAAGCTGCTGGTTCATTGTACAAATATTACTCGGCATCATCTTATTAACAGATGGATATTGCCTAATTAATTTGTCATGAAATTTGTGAGTTGTACTCAATGCAGCGTCAACTCTGACTGTAAGATTGTTTCTTTCTTCCTTAATTCTATTTATGCTTGGAATGTTGGTAACCCTCTGTCAGGCTAATAGCAGCATCTAATGAGGAGTACTGGATTAACCAACCACACAGTTTGCATGATAAAAGAAAATGTTCCGTTGGCACCATTCCCACATATCCTGCCCTTTTACATGGACATGCTTAATAGAATCCCTGAAAGAACAATTCATGCTTACCACCACTACTGAAGTGTGTGAAATTCTTTTTTATTTTACTAATTATGAGGTGCATGATGTTCATTTAAACTTAACAGAAGATTGATTCCAGTTTTGTTATATGTAACGCCAAGAATACTAGTTTTGCTATTTGTAATTAATAACTTGATATTTCCATCATTCATGATAAACATCTGTATCCTTCTCGGATAAAATTGGACGCACCCCAGGAACTCTGCGAACTTGTGTGACTCGTGTCAATGCAGGAGCATTTGCAATTTTCTCGTGAACAAATCTTATATAGTGAAAGCAACAAGCTTTCTTGCACGAAAATGCGCCACATCATCACAAATATATTAGCCGTTAGATAAAGGGTTTGGATAAATAATGGCCATCAGATCAAAATGGTACATGTATTAAGAAAACCACAAATGGGCTAAACATATGGAAATTTCCGGAGTCTTCTGGTACCTCCTCCTAAACACATGATAAAAAAGAGAGGAGATAAAGAGAGAAGAAACACGAGGCTTCTAGTGATTGCTCTTATAAACATATAGTACAACTTAGTTAAATTTATAGTTGGCTAGGGAAATCAGTACTTTGTAAAAAAAATAACTTATTATATCAAACCTTTTTAAAAGCTTACCTAAACTAATAGATCATATAGGAAAGTTCTTAAATAGAATCAAAAGTAGTTAAATGTATAGTTGGTTAGGAACAATCAATACTTTGTAAAAAAATTAACTTATTATATGAAAACCTTTTTAAAAACTTACCTAAACTAATAGGCCATATAGAAAAGGTTCTTAAACAGGATAAAAATCAAAAGTCGCGCAAAGTCCGAGTATGTGGCTAGTTCATATATGGTTTTAACTGAAATACAAAATTAAAAGGATGTGCGCAGCAAACCCACATTTATATGAAGGGAATAAAGGCCGTTTTGTCATTTTGTGTCCTTCGGCTTTGTGGAGATGAATTAACGTCTGAGTTAAATCCTCCATTCCAGGTTAATCCAAGGACAATTTTCCACAATATATTACAGATACAGGGGACATTTTTTTCTTGGTTGAAAATTAATCTAGATTTTTATGAAAAAACTATGTTTTTCATAACAAGTAAACAATATATTAAACAAATTTTTATGCCCCAATTATGCGGTGTACTCCCTCCAAAAATAGTCACACTCACACTTGTTCAACAGATAAACGGGCATGCATGTTGGATATATCTGATGCACAGGATAAGACCAGTTAATTAGGAGGACATGATAAAAATAGCATGTGCAGCTGTTATGTAGCCTTAAATAGAGTTAGGCTCTGATAAACCACTCTCTTTTCACCACTTTAATTTGTGACTAGTACTTCCCTATACAAAATCCGATAGAGTACTTCTAATCTTCTATTTAGGTTGAAAAATAATTACAAGGATCCGTAGGTAACTTATAGAGTTTGTTTTCAATCCAGGTAACCAATCAATCAATCTCTTGTTCTGCATTCCTTCTTTCTCTCTCTTCTATGCGGATTGGAAGCAAACTTTTTTTTGTATTCACAGAAGGAAATTTACTTATCTTGAAAGAGTTTGTTCTTCTTATCTGCAGAATAGAAAGCAAAACTGTTTTTGATTCTCAGAAATATTGTCTTTTTTGCGCATGAACTTTACTGAAATGATTTTATTTGTGTTTATTTTTTCTCACCTGTTCTTTGTTTGATCAACATTTTGCGAAAATGGCGTGGCAATCGAACGATTGATTAGGTGTCAAGAGGGCATACCAAAGATCGTCGCTCCGGCGGCAATGGAGGAGCAGCTGAAGAGGCCTATGACGATGAAGAAGATCTCGGTGCAAAAGAAGTCGCCGTCGGGGAAGTTCCTGCACATCCTCCACGCCTCGCCGACGGGGAAGCTCTCGGTGACCAACTCGCCGGAGGCGCCGGCGGTGATGATGACCACACCGACGAAGCATGCCGCCGCCGCCGCGCAGTCGAAGCAGCTGCTGGGGAGCCCCCGGGTGGCCTCGCCGTCGTGCCTCTGCTCGCCGACGACGCACGCCGGCTCGTTCCGGTGCAGGCTCCACCGCGGCGGCGGCGGCGCCGCCGCCGCCGCCGCCGGGCTCGCCGGATCCATCGGCTGCGGCTGCGGCGAGATGGACAAGAAGCCCGGTGTATGACAAAGTCCCGTGCAGGTGCAATGCACGTCAAAAATTGCGCCATGTTTGCTGTTCTTCTTCAGAAATGGCCGGGCCTTTTTTCTCTCCCTCCCTTGCTTTTGTGATGCAGGGAAGGGAGAAGAGAATGATGATCTTAGAAGCTCTGCACCTCCATTTTTCTTGTAAATGCTACTCCTACTATTGAGACCTTGATCATTCAAGATTTCAGTCAGTTTGGCGGTGTTGTTTTCCCTATCACATTTCTCTGGATTGTGTGTTCTCCCTTCCACTGCTCCTCAAACAACCTCTTGATCGAAAAAAAAGATCTATGGCAATATATAATGACAGGTATCAAACGGCTGGTTTCATTCTTGATCTTATTGGTAATTCCAAAACTTGCCCAAATGTTTATCAGCGAAGAAGTTTTTATTTGGTTTGCCACCTATTTTTGGGTAAAATGAGAAGTTTATACACACGATACGTTGATAAGGTATGAGTTTTTCCTTTTTAGGAATGTTTCACCCCAAGAAGGTAGGAGAATCTATAGAGTATTTAGTTTTCTAACAAAATAAGCATCAGTAAATTTGAGGTTACAGCATGAGCCAAACTGCCTATAGTTCCTTGCTTCGCTAGCTTAAATATGAATATAAAATTTTATAAAGAACACACTATAGTTAACATTCATCAGTAAGTTTTTCTTTTGTTGGTTATAGATAAGTACCGACCATCTATTTTCGAGAGGGTACAACTACCAAACTACCAACCCATTCAAATCTACAATACAATAGCAGAGCAAGCAGTGCAGCAAACATTTTTCGCCAGTTCACAGTGAAAATAAATGAAGCAAGAACAGATGAACCAAAGTCTGACTGTTTAGTAGGACATCAGATGGAACCATGGCCATTGTAACAAAAAGCTCACTACCGCAAGTTATCATGACAAGATTGCAAGAGTGACTTTGACCGCTTTACATTACGAAGGTTAAGTTGGCTATATACACTGCTTAAATTACATCATTGTAAGGTTATAAAAGTATTTTGATTGTTAAACATAGCATTCATACACTTGCTAGTTGTCGATTTTCTACTCTTAAGATTCACAACAGTTAACCACATGAGTACATCCGGCAAAATAATATGCATCGCATTATGTAAGCGAGAGGAAGAGATACACTTACAATCAAGAAGGTGAAGATTCTGTCCTGGTTTCTGCAAATTCTGCAATCGGCTCAAGCCAAATCAAACCTCCTCTATCGACTTCTTCCGCCGCACTGCCCTCGTTGCCGGGACCGCAATACGCAGATGGTCGATTCCACCGCGCTGGCGCCGCTTGGGCGCCAATGGCGAGCGCGGGTCGTCGAGGAGCGCGGCCGCGCGTGTGTCAGGCCTTTGAATTCTGACGAAACTGAAGAAACAAGCATTTGGTCTGACTATGTAAATCGGACGGATGGGGTTCATTTTAGTAATTACTGTTTCTGTTCTAATGTTGTCATTAAGTCTGAAACTTAGCTCGTAACTCAGTTGCTGAGCTGTTCTGTCCAGCTGTACGCCTGTACCCAGGCGGCGAACTCCTTATAAGCCGATCTGAAATCGATGAGAAGGGGATCGAGAAATTAAAACCTGTCTTGCGGCGCCCATTTTAATTTCGTTTATTCCCTGTTAATTTTTCCTCAATTGCTGTAGGATTCCCGATAGGTAGCCACCTAGCCCAAAATTCGCTCGAAATCCTGTGGATCCCCGGTTCATTTGGCGCCGGGATCTGACAGCGTGGCATGTGGCAGCCGCGGCCAAGCTCAGTGCCGGTTGCCTGGTTCCCCATAGGCGCGATCGACGGAGGCCGAGAGATGCAGCAGCAGCAGCAGATGCGCAACCTTGTCCTTCCACAGGTAAAGCGATGAGCAATTCGTCGAGCAGGTGGCGGGCGGGAGGCGAGGGGAGGGTCAGGTGGTAGAAGATAGCGTTACCGCGGACGTGTCGCTTGGCGGCGCCGCCGAGAGAGAGAGAGAGAGAGAGAGAGAGAGAGAGAGAGAGAGAGAGAGAGAGGGGGGACCAGGTGGATACGGCGGCCGCTCGCCGCCGCATGGTTGCGCTGCTCCGGCGAGAGAGAGCCACCGGACGGCGCCGACTCCTTCGCTGTTGCCAACTCCTTTTTCGTTTCCTGCCTCATGGATGGAATGATATAAAATATCTTCTTTTGCCTCAGAATCATAATATTCCTATCCCAAAAAAGAAAAAGAAAAAAGAATCATAATATTGGACCAAACTGTCATCAGCACGAGGAAAAGATTCAAGAGATTTTGTTTCTTACCATCTGAAGGCGCAGTTCATATTTAAGATTTGAGATGACCTTGTTAGTTTCTCTTCCTAACCGTATCTAAGATTTGAGATGTCAAGATAGCATCTGCAAATGCGTTACTACATTTAAGATTTGAGACGACATTTAAGATTTGAGATGACAAAGCATTTTTCTTTGAGAGTGAGATTTGAGATGATCTTGTCAAATTTCTCTTCCTAACCACATTAAGCACCAAGGGAAAAAAATCACCATTTATATGTTGAGAGTGGGATTTGAACCCACGCCCTTTCGGACCAGAACCTTAATCTGGCGCCTTAGACCAACTCGGCCATCTCAACTGGATGGCCAAGTGAAGCGAAGGAACATTTTAACTCGAATACTATCATATCCTCCAAAGTGAAAACTCCTCTTAAATTCTATTAACAAAAAAACGGCACATGGACATCATTACAGTTGGAGTAAGCAAACCACTGGTAAGAAGACACAACTCACTTGCAAATGGCAACAAATTAAAATGATTCCTAGAGGTATATACAACGTCTTTCAATGGATTGATTGAAAGTCCCCTAGGAAAAAACTGCCGATTTAAGGCTACTAAGCATTGCATACATACGGAAACAAGCATTACGATATTACATGGCGGTAATATTGCCCACACTATTCATCATTTGCTCTACTTTGTAGAAGGAAAACAGGCTCAGCTTGGCAATTCATGGATTAGCTGAGAGCCCATTCGGCAAAGCCTTAGGATCATCAAGCGTCCTGACTGAAGGTCCCTTAAAGAAGACATAAACTCGTCCAGGCTTGGTTGTGCTACCGTCGTCTGAGCTTCGCGCACATTTATCAGCAGCTCAGATGGATAGACGGCGCTGTTCCAAGATAAACAAAGATGCTACAATGACAAGAACATAGTAATGGAACGTAAATAAGCTTTAGTTATACTGAACTGACCGATTCAAGTCTGTCATGTCAATGGTGAAAGAAATTCTCTTCCCACTCTTGAAACTCATGAAGCACAGAGAGAGGGCAAGTTGACCTAATTGAAACAAGGCAAACACTGTAAATATTACTCAATTTCCTGCTTTAGAGTGTACCACATCTAGAGCACTTGGCATACATTCAGAAAATTATTTTTGCCTCATAGATACTTCCATTAATGAGCTTGATATAAAGATAGTGGCATTGGAGTTCCGAGTAATCTCACAATTGATAACATAAATAACCTTTTGTTTGTATGCATTTTCAGTTGATCAGCTAAAACATTCTAACAAGAAATTTTGTACTCTTTTATCTCAGGTGTACCTTCATCTATAGAACATGGAGAAAATTTTCACTGGTTATCAGTATTTTTGCCTGGCAACCCATGCCTCTCCTGCCTCCCCTCAAGGAAAATGAGAAAAAAACAGCACATGCATAGAGAAGCTGACAAGAGTGATAGTGTACGTACTTTGTATGATGATTATTTTGGACAGGAATGTAAAGTTCTAGTTAAATTTTAATGACACAAGCACATAACTTTGAAACCCAAAACAGGAGGGATAGAGATCACACATGTCTGGGACGCCATATCAAAAGCTGCAGCCGTCAGGTTCAATAACTCCAGTTTAGCCATCTTGATTTCTTTTAGCACATCAATAAGATTACCCAGGAGCAAACTTGTTTCCTGCAGAAATAGATGAACCTCATTAGCCTGCTAAACATATATTTCTAATATAGAACCTGTAACACATGACATCATCTACAGTAAAAGCATAGTTGTTTCTATTCTCAAATAGATGCAACTTTTCGGTATATTATTATTAGGATTATTTACTGTGCAGAATGTAAGAAGTTCAGAATGTGATTTCGGTAATTATCATTTTTGTTGTATCTCCAAAGCAGGGAGATTCTCTGTGATTCTGTTGCACCATGCCATCACTTTTTCAATTTATAGTCAGATATTTACTTTCATAGTGATCTCCCATCGATTTAGGAGAGATGCAAATAAGTCTTCAGATATATAAAGAAAAATGTGCTAATCCAGTGTATGCTAGAGATATGAAAAGAACCGCTATGGAAGAGCTAGATGAGAGAGAGCATCTCAGGACTTTTGGGAGGACAGCTGCAGTTCACTCATCATCCGTGTAAGTAGACACCCTTGTACATGCACTGATGCACAGAAGCAGACACATCCACAGCCCCATGCAGATGTTAAAATACCGTTATATACCAGTGCTATTTTCACTGAAAACCTCAGGTTGTGAGCAAAAAAAGAAAAGCAGAAGAGTGGAAATTCACTAATGAGCTTTAAAGGTACCCAATGGCTCCAGAAGTACTTTTCCATGTTAAATAAGGACAATTCTTTTCAAACAAACGTCATAATCCCTCAATTCCAAAATATAGTGTGCGCATGCATGCATGCAATTAGCTAGCAACTCCCCATCCCCTAAATTCGTATTTTTTTTTAAATCCTCCACCCTCAAGAGATTTAATCCCATTGGGTGCATACATTGTATTTATTGGGGTAATAAAGCAAGGAGGTGATAATAATTCTTTCTTGGTCTTTGCATTAGTGATAGTTGCACCTTACATTTTGGGATAGAGGAAGTACTAAATATAACAATTTTTAGCCTTCGGAATTTGTCCCTACAACTTCTCCACCAACATTCTCTTCCTAACCAATCCAACCCTCCACCATTCAATTTTCCCACCTACCTCCACTTCTCATTCAATCACAATATCCTTCCATTTAATTCTACCTACTTTCTTAATAACCGTGTCAAACCCTAAAAATACTTATATTCTGAAACGTAGGTAGTATATTATATCTACAGGAAACATATACAGTATAATTCTCTTAACAGGGTGCACCAACTGCATGGTGAAACCTAATCCTTATCCCATATGCATGTCGAATAGAATGTCATGTGTATATCATGCACATGAGACAAAAGGTTATCGAGGTACTCATTTCAGACAAGTCACATGCAGTATGATATGAATATGCATTATTAACTTTACTAAGAAAAATAGTGCAGTTCAACTTGTTTCGTACCTCAGAATTTTCAAAGTAAAAGGTCAACTCTTGAACTCACCGTTGTCATCTTCTGCAATGATCTTAAGTCACTGACTCTTTGGGTTCCCTCAGCTTTGAATACAAAATTGAATGCCACAGATGCATTCAAATTTGGAAATGCCTGACCAAAGGTAGAGGGTCACAGGATTTCTTAAATGCAGAATAAGAAAATGCCAGTTTCATCGTCTTACCTGGCCTATTTTGGTTCCATTCAATGAATTACTCACAAATATGCCAGACATATCACTAATGTTTAACACGATCCTGCCAAAGGAATAGTAAAACAAGTAAGACACATAACAATGAGGAAGAACTCTTGGATTGTTGACTGCGGTAATCATAGTTTGTTAAACAGGATATAATAATCTACAATGACAATTGCAAGAATATGTGGTCAGGAAAAGGGTTACACCAGCAAATAGCAACAATGTAGCTTTTTTGACATTTCAACTGTTGGAATTTTTTCGGATGGGTATAGCTAGGTTTTATGTTGTTTTTGCACAAACATTCTCTTGAAATGAAGCAAATAAAAATGTTACAACTTGCTAAGTCTATACAGTTTCACCAGAACAAGAAAACCATCCATTCTATATTTCTATGGCCGGAAGCCTGCTGATATACTTAATGCCAGCAAGTGGTTTGGACAAGTACCGACAATTGGTGTCCCATACCAGAGTGTAATAGTCATGGTTGCTATACTGCACAAAATGAATGAGTATTCTAGAAATAATTACCTTTGGAACAACAAACTGCAATAGTTCAGAACAATATCACGCTTATTCTCCCTTTTAACAAGGTCATTCAACTTCCATAGCTGATAAAAAGCAAACACAATGTCAGTCACAAAAAGGAGTGAAGTATGTAATAGTAAATTTTAGTCATCAACCAATACCCGTGCTTGCTGGTTGATGATCCGACATTGATTCCTCATCTCCAATTGCTGTTCAGCTGCCTTGATAAAATCATCGCAGCTAATATCACCTTTAGTGTTGCAAAAAGATTCAAGAGAACTCCTTGCTCTCTCCACCTTCTTTTTAATCATCTCCAGTGCATGCATCTTTTCAGTTATCAAAGCAAGTCCTTCCTACATATACAGCAGATGTATAAGCCCTTCCTTCCAAAATAAAAATAGTTCTCTACTACAGAATTAGATTGTGGTAGAACCATGGAAAAGCACTAGAATATTACAAAGAAAGAACAGGCAAACAAAACATAGAAGAATTGGCAAAAGAAGTAGCATGAACAGCAGAAGTAGGCAGTCAAGGAGGTCAGCCATTCAGAGACCAGAAGTAATAGATCAGTTCCTGAGCTTCATGACAGCAACGATGAGGAATCCCTAAATTATTGAATGTTAGATCTCCAGGATTGAACTTTTCGGATTTGCAAATATTCCCAGACCCACAGTCCCGCACTAGTAGCCAGTAACCTGTCAACTTTTTCCCCACTGATAGAATATTTTATGTAGGTTTTAAACTACAAACAGCATCTCATCTAGAACTACTGAGATCATGCAAACCATTCCAAAACAGCACAAGTCAAAATTCTATTAGCGGTTTTCCTAACATTGATCCTTCATCTGTAGATTGTCTGTACTCTGTAGTCCATAGTTGACTGGAACTTACAGGCTTGTTAACTGGAACTAACAAGGCTATTCGAAAGGAATGCCAGAAAGCATGGCATGTAACACTAAAAGAGAGGCAGAATGTTCTAAACTCTGCATTTATGCGAAGTATATTAGCACAGTTGTACACACTACACTACCTGTCTGTCACTGGCAGTGATCAAAGTTGTTGAATCAAGAGGAACACCCTTCTGGTCTGAAATCTTGGATTTCAAATAGCGGCACTCTTGGATTCCATCTTTGCATACCTGTGCTCTATTCTGCACCAAAACAGAAAGAAAGAGTAAGTTAGCAGCTTACTGTACCTTAGAAGCAATCAAAGGGACTGAAAGGACGAGGAAGAAGTTCCAACCTGCAGTTTCTCCAGCTTCACATGATTTATTTGCAGCTTTGCCTTTTCATACAAAAGCTTGTCAACAAGAGATCTTGCCTCAGCTAATCTGGAAACAGATGCAGAATTATATATGTGCAGCAACAATTATGCAGTCCTACATGATGCAGCATCAAGACCTACCTCTTCTGCTTATCGTTGCCACAATCTTGAATCCTCTGAATTCAGAGAAAAAATGACAAGAAGATAAATTGAGGTAATTTTCCTAACAGAAACAGAAATCACAATACAACTAAGTGCTGAAAGCATACCACAGCAGTAGAAAGCCTCTTAAAGTTTCTAGCCCTCTGAATTCCCCCCAGCATATCTTCAATCATGTCAAGCTTCATTCAAAAAGAAACAATAAAGCACAATCCACACAGTGTAAAACAGTTCAACAGAACTTTACAGTGCTAGGTTATTAGATTGAATTGAACCAATCAGATGCAACAATGAATATTCTAAACAAGTGAACACAGAGATTCACTGAATCACAAATCTAGAGGATGTAGATTTTGACTATATGCTGGCAACTGCATCAATTCCAAATAGGCAATAGGCTCACTATGAATTGCTCAGAAGTATGCACCTTAATAAGATTCGAGGAAAGAATGAAAGATATGTTTGGGAACAAGCAAATAATGTTTGAACGAATGGTGATCAATTGAATCCTGGATTACCATACCTGTTGTGGTTTAACCTTACTTATAGATGTTGAGAAAACTTGACTTGTGGCATTAGATACCATGGATGCAACCTGTACAACGAAAAACAGTTCAGGCTTATGTAAACTACTATTTCAGAGTTCAAATACCTTGAAGAACAAAAAACGTGAGTAAATTATAAGGTTTAATTACAGTTTAACCAGTCAAGCTTTACCTTGTTCCAATCAACATTTATTGACTGTTGGTTGCCATGAGTAACACTCTGGTTTTCTTCCATCATACTAGAAGACAAGGATACACAAGGAAGCTGTTTTAGTGATGTTGCTGGACTTCTTGGTGGCTTTGATATTTTCTGAGGGCGCTTTTGTGCAGCATGACCATTTTCACTACTACTCCTCTTTCTTCCACCCCTGTCTAAATCCGAATCCTGAATAGAATTGCATTCATGGCTAGGTTGGTCATCTGTCATAAGGGCATTGCATGGCATCTCCTGAATCTTAGTTGCAGGTGATTCATAAAGACCGAATTTCAGGCGATCTGCCAGTGCTACAATCCTCTTGCTATGTTTAACAAACTCACTCCCCAAAGAGGAAGCATCCTGGCTTACCACATTACTAGCGGAATGAGTAATAGGACTGAAAAGTTGTCGCCTTTTGGAGCGTAGGGAGGATATAGACCCTTGTGGAATTTGGAAGGTCTGAACTACAGCTTTAGGAGTATTCAGAATGTCTTCTGATGTGACCTGAGATTTCTCATTAACATCAACTGTCATTGCATTATCCTCTTGAATTGGATCAGTGCTAGTAGGTACTGAATTCCTAATGGGAACATGTTCCTTACGAGAACCAATAGTGTCCAGCTCACTAGAAGAGATACCATTGACAATGGATGATTTTTCTTCCCTATTTTTTTTCTTGCAGGCAGCCAAAGCTGAACTGTGATCAGGAGTTACAGTACCAGTGCCATTTTTAGGAGATATTAGTTCATGGACATCTTCGACTTGCTGCAATAGGTTGCTCAGAGTTGGAGAAAGCTTTGCATAATCATAACGCTCAGGGTTATCTGCGAGCAGACTCATGTCAGTCAATGCATCATGGCTATTACACGATTTTACACCATATCCAGACCCAGTCTGTTCCTTTAATGGCCCTGTAGATGCTGAATTTGGTGTCCTTAGACTTCCAACTGAATTGACTGAAAAGTCATCTGGAGGAGCAATGTTACGGTAATGCATTGAGAATGTCTCTGAATCTAAAGTTATATCGTGGTTTCCATCCTCAGACATTCCAGAATCTGATGGTCTTCCAGATTGTATAAAGCTTCTCGACACAGGACCAAAAAAATCCTCATCTATCACAAGGGATGTGCAAGATGCAAGTAAGAAGACAGTATGTTTCCACAAAAATAATACCACATTAGCTAAGAAACGACTAACACGACCGATGTGCTGTTGCACTAGAGGCATGAATAGTTTGTCAAAGTTGCAAAATACTACACAATACCATAGTACATAGAGACTGTGTAGCGAGGAAAATTAACTACCAATCACTCAAATGTGGCAAGTATATGTGACTTTTAAAGAAATTAATGAGCAGGAACTGTTACATCAGCTTCCTTAATAAATTGAACAATCACATCAAGTTCAGATGTCCATCTCCATCTGTGCTAAGAAGTAAGGGCATCCAATCTGTCTGCCGTGCCAAACTAGTAAGGGAACAAGACATGCAAAAATAATTTGATACTAAATTGCTCGATTCTTAACCCAAAAGCATAAATCACGTCCTTAACACAACTGTAGCATAGTTTCCACAGGCAATGATAGCCTATAATAAATGATAAATGGACTAGAGAAGATGAAGTGAGAAGTAAAATTGAAACCCAAACCTGAAAGCAACTAAAACCAAAATTACCACATAAGGATATACAGGTGGACAACCATTTGAAATAAACATTTGGGGTTGAGCAGTTAGAGAAAATTAAGTAACCTATGATTAAGCCAAAATTAACATGATAAAATGTAAAAAACCAGACCTACAAATAACCCCAAACAAATACACAATTCAGCGGCACGTGTAAGAAGCCAAAAAAAAACACGAGGATTATCATCAAATTAATGCTTCTTCCCACACACATTTTTGCTTAGAGGGCATTAATAAGGAGGAGCGTCCCACCATCGTTGGAGACGAGGGATCCGGCGGCGCTGCCAGGGGAGGACGAGTCGACATCGCCGTTGTTGAGGAAGCGGAACGGCGGGCGCAGGAACTCCTCCTCCTCCCCCTCCGTCTCCTCGCCTTCCTCCGCCGCGGGCTTCCCGGGGGAGAGGGAGGGGGTCGGGGACGGGGACGGGTAGCCGACGGCGATGGCGCGCTCCTCCGGGGGGGTCTCGAAGTCCTCGTCGCGGTCGAACACGTGCACCGCGGTGATCTCCGCGAAGCTGACGCGGCGGGAGCGCCTCCTCGCGATCGTCTCGTCCTCCGTCGCCGGCGACGGGAGGGCGGCGGGCACGACGCCGGCGACGTCCATGGAGGCGGTGGGGTTTAGGGTTCGAAATTGGGGGCGGGGCGATGCGCCGATGCGGGGATTTGGAGGGAATTTTTCCAAATTTTTTTGGTCGTCTTTATCCTTCTTGTTTTTTTTTTCCCTCAGGAGACCTCCTTTCCTGCTAAGTTTTATTGGGCCAAATTACTCACAAGCAGTAGGCATGTGGGCCAGAAAGGTCAGCCCAATTCTAGTGGACCATTAGTACTATTTTTCTTTTTTTGATGAAACGAAATTCCTGTGGTAAATAAATCCCTCCGGATCTAAATGTTTCTTAGACCTAATATTTCCAGCTCTACAAATTTGTGAATCTGATCTTCAATTTGATTGATAATAGTTAGATAAAAAATTATTTTCTTGTATGAAATTTAAAATTTTAAACCACTATAATTTAACATCACCGTCGATCTGAGATTTAGAATGTGCCAAACAGAACCTAATCAAGTGTTTTCTGCCATTCAACAAGGGAGTTAAAACCATCTGACGTCAAACATACATTCTACTTCAGACAGAATGGTACGTCTCCAATCGTCCGAATAGATAGGTGAAAAAAAATCCAGAACATGGGAATAAAGAGTAAACGGGTACTGCAAGACATGTGTTGTATCCTTCAAAAACTCAAAGGGTGTAGAATGCTACTTGTAGTACATTAGATGGAACAATGGACAAGGACAAAAGGATCACATCAGTCATTACACCATCCATGCTGCAATCCAGATTAGATGATATCATCGCCCCTCAAAACTTATCTCCAGTTCCGAATGGCTAACTAAAACTGATAAGGTTAGATGATGAAAATGTTACAGGAAGAGATCATACATAAAGATGAAATAGATGGGACTCCCGTCTACCAAAACCATCAATCACAAAAACACCCGACCATCAACATGCGGCAGATAAAGCGCAGCAGCAATGGGCATGCGAACAGGTGAGCACTTGGCTGATTCCAAAGGTTGATTCCAGTTCCCAGTGTAAAAGAAGACATAAGCCATCGCATCTTCTAAAGATCATCAATATGAAGAAACCAATCCCCACTTCACGATTTCGAACTACATCATTTGAAGATGGAGATCAGCAGCCTGCTGCGCCAGCTCGTTCATCATGGCCTCATCAAAGAACTTGTTGATGCTCACATCCTCACTCATGCCCTGAAAATTGTGATTGTGCACTGTTTAAAAATGCTCTCATGTCTCCTAATTTATGCTTCTTCGTTAACTAGTATAGACCGTATTGCTTACCTTCCTTCGCCTAGTCTTCACCATAAACTCACGAGCAAGATGCTGTATTGGTGCTGGTTCCAGAGGCCGGAGGACAATATTCTTGTCTAAAGGGTCACCAGGAACAATAGCCCAGTGATCGAACACTGATAGGCAAAAGGCCTGTCCCTGTGTATGGTACCTCAGGTCGGTCTCAAATCCAAATGACTCTATAACAGGTAAAAATGCCTGACAAAGGTATAGAGTACTATCAGTAAGGTTCACACGGGTGACCACATAAGTTACAATGCTGAATTCAGATAAATGTCTTACCTTAACAACATAGATTGGAGTTCCTGGTTTGGGTACATCCGCTGTTACATGCCCTCGACGACGGGATAGCACCGTATATATGGCAGAGACACAGTCAATTGGTGTTTGGATCTACAAATATAAGATAGATCAGATCAACAAATTAGAACATATACATAAACAGATAAAAGGATTACCGAACAGGATGAAAATGTCTACTAGAAGCATGGGAACTAACCTCAATATAATATACAGGCTCCATAAGGCGTGGATTAGCCATTAGGAACGCTGAGTAAACCACACGACGAGCTGTTGGAATTATCTGACCACCACCACGGTGCAACGGTTCAGGAGCTATGTTTGCATTTAAGATCTTGAATTTCACATTTCTAATTGGTTCATCACACAGCGGACCTTCTCTAGCACCCCATTGAAACCTGTGACAATAGAGTAAACATAATGATTAAAAAAATCATGGCATTCCAAAAATATGGAGTAAACATAACATTGTGCATTATGCATACCCTTGAACAATTGAATCTTTGACTGCATTGAGCAAGTTTTTATCCACCTCGACTGAAAGGGTGTCATCTAAGAGAATGTTAGGACCCTGTATGTGAAGTAACATGCATTCAGTACACAATGATGGAAATATGGTGTTGGTAAAATTGATAATTTAGTACTACCTCCGTTTCAGGTTACAAGACTTTCTAGCATTGCCTACATTCATATAGATGTTAATGAATCTAGGCACACATATATGTCTAGATTCATTAACATATATATGAATTTGGGCAATGCTAGAAAGTCTTGTAATATAAAACGGAGGAAGTAGTAAACTCAGGCACAAACAGCAAGTCAAAAATCAAGTGCACAACAATTTGCAGAGTTTACATGAAAATCAACAGGGTAACAAGGTTCATGCAACTTTAAAAGAAATAAGTTCACAGGAGGTAATACCCGATTTTGTATGGGGTTTCTAGTTAAGTAAAGTTCAGAGTTAAAAGAACACCTCATGCAACGCCAAGTCAATAAGCAGTCTGTAACATCTTACCTGCTTTTCAGGCCCAAAAGCCCATATTGACCTTGCTGCTAGCACATCCCACTGGTAGCGTTGACGAAAGAAGTCAGTGATTTCCTTTTGCCTTGAGTCCAGGCTAACAAGGCCGTTCTCAATATCTTCAGCCAAGCCCTTTTCCAATGGTTCAGCAACCTGCATTTGAGTTACCGAATTAGACAGACACAGATCACCATTTGCCATGACGAAAGAACTGGAACAGCCAGAATCAAACCAGAAAACACACCAAGAGTAACTAACCATGGTAATTTTGTTCCTCTTGTTGGGTGTTTCAGCAAAGCATTTCATCGAAGAAGTATCAACAACTGTTTCACAAAATGTCACGACTGGATCTGCAACCTGTGCACACACAATGTATCAGAAGTAAGTAAATCTTCTCTGCCAAAAGAAGAGGGAAGAATAAAGTAAAACATAAATATACCTTCACTTCTACCTCAGAGTAAAGCTCTCTGAGGTCCTTCATTATAGAATCTAGATAAAGCTCACCAGTCCCAAGGATAGTGTGTTCTCCAGACTCTTCCACCTTAGTAACAGCAAGAGGATAACTCTTACTGATTTTACGAAGACCTTCCACCATCTTAGGGAGCTCACTTGGGTTTAGAGGCTCAGCTGCTATTTTCACGACAGGTAGAGTATTGAAACGTAGAGGTCTAAATATGTAGACATCTTCATCCATCTTCATAGGACATATAGTTGCAGTTTTCATAATTGATGCATCTACACCTTCAATAAGAACCCAAGAACCAGCAGGGGCTTTACTAATTGGAACACGGTACCGTGCCTGATACACCCACAACTTAGTAACCTCTTTCACAGTCATATCTTCTTCATCATCAGGAGAATAGCCTTCTCCAAGAACACGCACAGTTTGCCCAGTCTGTATTGTGCCACTATAAACTCGTCCAAAGGCATCAAAGACACTACAGTCAGACTTAGGATACAACTTTGTAACATTAACCATAAGGGGCGCATGTGGATCACATTTTTTCATAGCATCCACAATAGTGGAATCTTGTGGACCAGTGTATATGTGTTCTATCTTCCTTGGAGCAGCATCCTTGACAGAGGGTATGTGTTTCACTAGCATGTCAGTAAAGCCAGTAGAAGTCCCGAAAATTGAGCGACAAGCTAATCTCAGCAAAGGCCTAACATTAAGCTTATAAGCTGCATTGCTCAGCGTCACACCCAGCTCAGAAAGAGTTGCTTCAACCTTACCCTTTGACTCCCCAACAACCTGACTATATATTTTGTACAAAGGTTCAAGGACAAACTCAACAAATGATCTATTAGCTCCTTCCTTTGGAGGCTTCTTTTTGAAGGTTCTAGTGTCAGGGTGATAATATAGGTCTCCCCATAGACGCGATGCAAATTTCTCATGATCAAATTGAATCCCATGGATCTTTAAATAAAGATGAGCAAAAGATTGCAAGGTAAAAGACCAGCCTGCAGAACCACTTGCAAAACAAACATTTCCAGCAGCAGGATCAACCAGTTGAGTGCCACCTACTGTGGTAGAACAAGACGAGATGAGATCATTGATCGCCTCCAGTGTATGCCGTAGCTTGAAATATGCATCATTAGGTGGCAGCTTTAGCTCTGTAATCAATCTATCAACCTGCAATAACACAAAGTAAGAGCAAACTTCAATTTCGAGGTGCTAGTGGAACAAGTTGCAAAAAGAGAATGAAAATGTTATGGCTACCTTGTTAATCACGACAACAATGGGGAGTCTTTCTTGTGTTGCGTGACGAATCGCCCTCTCTGTATTTACCTATTCATCAATGAATGTAAATAAATAAATAAATAAATAATATATACTGCATTCCCCCAACAAAAAAAAAAGTAAAGGCACTGTATACATACAAGCAACAGTATACAACACACTTATCTATACTCAGAAGATAGTGCCAGTGGTGGTCATGGATCTGATGGATGGCCATCCACCACTACAGCCGCATCGCACTGCATTTTTTTATGGATTTTGTTCCCTGATTATCCTTATATTACACGATAAACCTTCCACAAGTTATTCTCTTATTATTTGGCCTTCAAATGTCACGATTTACATGGAAAGGTCCAAGATAAACGAGTTGTCATGTATTTACTTAGTGCATCAGTTATTTCACAATTAGCATGTGCAAACACCGAATGTTCTTGGTAACAAGTGTTCGATGCTAAATCACATCAATTTGTTTTGAACAAAATTAGGACCTACATGATTCATTTTTATCTGTAGCAAACACACAGGCACTTAGCTAGTCTGTAACATTCTCTCACAGCTGTGCACATATCCCCCATATTTACATATTGTGCACAAGCAACTGGTACCTTTGCAAATATGTCTAAACTGCAGTGGACCATATAGAATCAGATGTTCATGTTATCTAAGTTCTTCAACCGATGAGTATTGAGCCAAGCTGCTTCTACCGTTATTTGCTAACAGTTGGACACTGTCAACTAGCATTTTCATGTTCTAGTCCATGTTATTGCTTAAGAATGGAATATCTTTAATTAAGATAATCTCACCATCAACTAGTCACAGTGACAAGCACAAACTAACAGAATAATAGAAGATGGCAGTATCGCACAACTTAAATGCAAAATCTGTTGATGGTTCAGCCAATTTCTTCTCTGTTATAACTTATATAGAAGCCTAGTCTAACTTTTAAAGCATTCGATACCATGGACAAAGCCACAGCACTCCATAAGCTGGTCATTTCAAAGAACAACAAGACATCTCCTATTTGTACCATTTATGTTGTCTTGGTTGGATGTATATGGTGCTATTGCAAAACTAAATACATGCTACATTCCCTTCTAATGAAAATCAATAAAACTGTCACTGCGGAATTGAGAATGCCAAAAAAATGGTGAAGGTACATTCATAGCAAATTTCCTATAAAACTAATTAGGTTGTCCAAACTATGTTATATAAAAATTAAACAGACCAAATGCACAACAAAGTATTCGCATTCTGACTTTACTTTAAAGTTTAAACATAAACATAACTAGTAATTCCAGCTTAATTTGTCATTATAGCAAGCAGTTAAGTTTAGTGCAATAGGATAAGTCAAATACCATAACACCCTCGGCAGCATCGACAACAAGCACAGCCCCATCAGCGATCCGCAACGCGGCAGTCATCTCATCGGAAAAATTGACATGCCCAGGTGTGTCCATGATATTGCACAGGTATGACTTGCCATTCCCTCCCTCAAGCACAAGGGACATGGGCACGGCCTTGATGGACACCCGCCGCTCCTGCTCATCCACCCGGGTGTCGGTGAACCTCACATGGCGCTCGCCCTCGGAGTCGAAGGTGTCCACCTCGTGGGTCTGCTCCACGAGCATGTCCATGAACACCGTCTTCCCGTGCTGCAGGTGGCCCACGAGCGCGACGTTGCGCACCAGCGCCGGGTTGGCGGCGAGGCCGAGGAGGAAGTCGGTGGTGGCGTAGGTGGAGGTGGCCTCCGCGCGGGTGCCGACCTCGAACCTCACGACGCGTGGGGGCGCGACGATGGGCTGCTCTAGCGGCTGCTCATCCTCGTCCATGACGAGCGCCTCCACGCCGGGCCCGTACACCTCCTCGGCGGTGGGGTAGTACTTCTTGTCCTCGGCGAGGACGACGGCGCTCTGGGACGGGTCGGCGTCGTCGTCGTCGTCGCCGCCGTCGACGTCCATGAGAGCGGCGGGGCGGGAGGGGGAGCCCGACGGGGAGCGCGCGGAGGGGGAAGGGGAGCGGGACGGGGAGGGGGACGGGGAGGCGTCCGCGTCGGAGTCATCGGCGTCGGAGTCGGCGAGCTCCGGGCCGATGTAGTTGCCGAACTCGTCGTAGAGGCTGTCGTCCATGGCGGCGGCCGGCGAGATCGGAGAGGGAGGGGCCTTGCCGGCTAGGGTTTTGGGCGCCGGCGCGGGGAGGGGGGAGGTTTGGGATTTGGGTGGAAAGGGGAAGATGCGGCACTTGGGTAGTTCCTGTGGTAAAAAAAGAAAAAAAAAGGAAAAAGAAAGAAGATCGTGTGGCACTATTTTGGAAGGCAAAATTTGTACAGTCCACTCAAAATTTGTATAGTTTTTATATGAGACAAAAAAAATGTATATCTTCTCATCGACGCCATAAAAATATACTCGTTAGATGGTGGATACTGGTCACATTGTTTTATTATTTCCGTTGGAAACGGAGAGATAAACTTTCATAAAAGACAATTTTGTCCTCGGACCATTTGTATAATCCGACCAGGTCTGGTTGCAGCCAGATCCAATCCAGTCTCACTCGCTCCCCTTATCTGCCGTACTCGAACCATAGTTCTTGGTGGAGGGCGGCACGGTTGTTGCGACGGTGGCGAGGTGCGGTGATGGTGGCGGCAGATTCAAGCAGCGGCGGAGACGGTGGATCGGAGCAGCGGAGAGGCTAGGGCAGCTTCGAGAGGGGGGCGGATTCGAGCAGCAGTGAGGATACGACTGATTCAAGCAGCGGGGAAGAAGCGGGATGGATGGATTGGTGTATGCCGCCTTTAGAAGCAAAATGGCGCAGGGGTATTTTGGTACTTTCAACACTGTTTTTTCTCTCCGTTTCCACCGGAAATAATAAAATAATGCAGCCGGTGTCCACTAGCTAATTACCACATTTATATGATGTTGACGAGAAGGTACATGTTCTTTTGAGTGTCTCACAACAAAGGCCGCAAACTTTGATTGTCTTTTAGCAAATTTTGTCATTTTGGAATTAGGAATATGCTCCCTCCATCTACCTATGTGGGATGGAGTTTGAAGCTATTCAATTTGCTACAATTTTCAACCAACTTTGGTATTATCAGTTTTTCATAAGGTAAAAATCTAAATACATCCTTACCATGTCAAAATTTGATGATTTTCTGAACTTCTTCACATTACACTACACAAGAACATTTGGCATGGTAGCAAGACAAACAATACCCACGTACTTCTATCCTACTAAATTTTAGTATTACTAAACTTTGTCAAAATTTGATGTTGCCAAAATTTGGTAGGTTGATTACCCTATATTCCATACAATTTTTAGAAATACTATTATTTTAACAGCATTAAAAAATGGATAAATCTTTGTTAGAATGTCAAAGGTTATGCAGCAGGATATTTCTCAAGGTTCAAGAAACTATTTGTCCCTTTAGTAGTACACTAAAATTAATTTTGCCATGCATAGGATCAACAAGATTAATTTTGGCGAATAATTATAATGTAGATGTTAGGCTTATTAATATGAATTATCACAACAAAAGTTTACATTCTATACTCACCAAATTGTTTTTACATCCACAATATTACTAGGGCTTAGTTTGATTGTTTTGAGTATATGATAGGTCATATGAGTTCATTGATTACATTTGAGGGTCAGCACTACACATGAATGAATTAGGTATTAAAAAAGTTAAAGGGTTGTTTATAAGGTATTTTTAAAAATATATATTAACAAGTTATTTCAAAGAAAATGCATTGTTTTGAAGTTTATGTAGCTTTGCTATGATAATCTGTATAATCTTTAGCAAGAAAAAAGGAACAAGGCTAGTAGTCAAAGCTATACTATCTGGTTGATTTTGAAAAACTCGAAACGATACTACTTAAAAAAGAATGCAATTCAAGGATGGATGTAGTATATTTCTATTTGACAAATACTGTGGTAATTTCATTTAAGGGCCTAAGGTATCTTTATTTATGAAAACAGATGATTAGATCTAGCTATAACTATTATGTGATCTACCAATCATGCGATTGTGCTTTGAATAAGTTTGAATGGTCGTGGGATCTTATCAATTTGAGCTGCAAGATGCACTTTGATAGTGCAGTGTCGAGGAATATGTGGTTTCAAGTGTTCAATCTCCGCTCATAATTAATTTGTAAACAATGTTTGGAGGGACGTCTCTCCCTCCAAATATCCTTTTTCCCCTTTAGGTAAAACACTTGTTGCCTCATGAAGCATCAAAGACTACTCCGTATGTCACAAAATAAATCGATTTGTAGAGTTTGAATTTTGTTCTAAAATAAACTAACTTCTACCTTCTTATCTATCATTGGTGAGAATTATTTTAGGGGGTGTTTAGATGGGGCTAAAACTTTTTAGCCCATGTCACATCGGATGTTTGGACGCTAATTTGGAGTATTAAACATAGACTAATAAAAAAACTAATTTCAAAAATGAGAGCTAATCCGCGAGACGAATTTTTTAAGCCTAATTAATCTATAATTATAAAAAATTTACTGTAGCATCACATTGTCAAAATCATGACATAATTAGACTCAAAAGATTCGTCTCGTGAATTAGTCCAAGGATATGGAATGTGTTTTGTAATTAGTGTATGTTTAATACTCCAAATTAGTATCCAAATATCCGATGTGACATGGACTTGGAATAAGTCCCTGGAAACCAAACATGCCCTTAGTACCCATCATCTACCCATTCAACGATAGAACTTTTCATTTATTCAGGGTGTTTTGATTTTTTTTAATCCCTCGTTAAGTCTTTCTGGGATGCTATAATTTGAGCTTTTCTAGGAAAGAGGGAATACATTATAATTAATACATCTATCATATAATTCACCAACTCGTTTTACTCATCTTTTACTCTTACACTCTTACCTTCATCATTCAACGGTTCAGATCATCCGTGTAAAATCCGAACGGTTCAGATCGATCCCACCTCCACCTCCCTCAATCAGCGGACGACCCGCACGCCCCCCCTCTCTATCGCTCTCCCACCACACCTGCACCTCCGCCCTCCGCCGGAATTCCGCTCCTGCACCTCCGCCATCAGTGCTCCGCTCCGTATCAGCCGCCGCGCCGTCCTCTGCATCGCATGTCTGCCACCGATCCCCGCCGCCGGCTCGCCCTCCACGATCCTCCGCCTCCCCGCTGCACGAGGTCCTCCCGTCGCCAGGTCGTCGCTGCCGTTCTGCTCCACCGATCCCCGCCGCACGAGGTGCTCCCGTCGCTAGGTAGCCACCGCGCCGTCCTCTGCATCGCCTGTCTCCACCAATCCCCTCTGCATCGCAGGGGTGAGCTGCAGCTATGGAGTTCCTCGCCGGTGGGGGAGCAGCAGGTGAATCCCGTGAGAGGTGAGTAGTTGAACAAAACTCATCATGCAGTTCATCAGCAGGTGACCAGTCCGGAACTTGGCATCGTGGAGGTTCATCCGGATTCATCATGCATTCTGAAACAAAACCCATCATCCAGCGCTTGCCGCTTTTCCTCAGAGTACAATGAACGCGGGGTGCTCGGCGAAATGTCCCGTCCGGCTCCTCACCTGCAATGCATGTGTTCTGGAGAGTGTTTATGGATTCTGGATCTTAGACCCCCTCAACGACTTGGATCATCAGTAAAGCTTCATCTTGAAGGTGCACATCTGCCGTTGTTTCGTCAAAATACTATGCATGATCTTTAGGTGATAAAATATTGATTGAATTGTCTACTGCTATCGCTCAGAATCCATACTCCATCAATCTTACATATACACATATTTGTTGCGTCAAACACAAGCTTGCTTTCCATACATCCCTGAACAATTCAGCCTCACAACTGCTCTTGACATATCTCATTCAGAATTTTTTTTCTCAAATTAGTTGGACTGATAGAAAAATATTGCTTTTCAAGATTGTAAAATAACCAACTGACTGGGAAGTTGATGTCATATGTTGGAAGCAATCTGCTAAAATGTTAAAGAAGTGCATCTAACTTTTGTACCCAGTGAATTGCAAATCTCTATCTCGTTTTTTTATTTACAGTTTCTTTGGTTTTAAAGTAAAATAGGTTGACATGGGAACTTTACTAGCAGAGGAATGGGCTTATATTCTTGGAAAAAATACATTTCTCCATGCAGAATGTGATCACAATAATGATACTTGCTGCCATGATTTCTATCACTCATGCACGCATTGCCCTTGATGATTGTATGCAGTTGGGATATATTGGTTAGTTCACCCTCTATCTCTCTCTCAAACCATTATTTATCTTCATTCACTATTCACTTACAATTTCCCTCGTATTAGTGATATGTATTAGTGAGTTTATGAAAAAAAGATCAAATATTTAAAAACAGAGTTAGCTCCTTTGGAACGAAGACAAAATGCTACTTTGATAACTTGACTTCTCAACACCACTCTTATCTGCACACAATTTTTTTAATGACCAGTTTGAACTTTCATCTCTTTACAGTCATCAAGCAAGAAAATCCTTGGCGATTCTGGTTTATATGACTTCCTGGAAGCAGTAGGAACAACAAGAGTTACTGAACCATAAATTGAACTTGCCTTCTTCATGCATCAGATGAACCATAAAGGGAATAACACTACTACCCTCTCCAAAATTGAGCTGCTCAGGACTTCGTAGAAATTTACAGCTTCAGGACATGTGATTTATCCATTCTCTTTTACTGTTTATTCTAAAATGCAAAAAAAAAGAAATTTTGTTGTAGCTTAGATTAAGGCAGCCTCAGCTTTGTGGTTTGCCAAGCCATGTACTGATATATGAATGTGATACTTTAATTAATGTTGAAACGCATGATTATGTATTTGAACTGAATTGACTGAATGTGTCCTGGAATCGGTTTAGAACTTAATATATCAATCAGACTTTTGTTCTTTGGTTACTGGTTTTTCTGTGACATGGAGAAAAGACGTTGAAGACATAATACATCGTCGACTGAATGGGTCGACCTTATGGCTTGTTTTGCAAATTTTGAACCTTGTCCTGGATGTAGTTTATTTGGCTTGTTTATCCCTTTCGAATATATAATAACTGAGGAACTTCTAATAAGCTTCTTAACTGAACTCGCTCATATGTAAGTCTTAATTAATGTCTTGAATCTATACTTGATAGCCCAAACAATATATTGTATATCTTTTTGTTGTTTCGCCGTAGCGTTAGCACGGGCATGTAACTAGTTTTATGAAGTACGACAATTAAGATGTTTTACTATCGACGAAAGAAAATCCATATGAAACCATAGGAAGTTGACATTGTATTGAGCTCAACATTATTGAATTTTCCTTTAGAATGCTTGAATTTCCCAATTCATATAGAGTCATTGGATCATATTATTTCCGCATGTCGATTAATAACAAAGGAAAAGCATTCCATTATGGACCCCACCGGGCTCAACCAGAAGGCTCCTCCATGACGCCCATAGCCAACCCAACCCAACCCATCCGGTCTGGCCCACCCCAATGCAAAGCCCATTCTGATACTCCTTTTCACCGTGCCTTTTCAACACAACTTCAACCCCATTCTCATACTCTTTTTCACCCTACCCATTGGGCAGAATGGGCTTGCACTTAGGGATGCAAGTGGGTAGTCTCACTACCTGTATAAAAACCCGCTTGCTAGTTCATTTCCCACATGGTAGCATAAAATTTAGAAGGAAAAATAAACTAAAAGTGAGATAAACGGGCTAAAAAAACCCGCTTGCCTGCCCCGCTTGCATCCCTAGCTTGCTTAGACAAGATGGGTCGGGTTGGGTGGGGTTACTCGCACTAGCACGTGACAAAAAAAAATCCCGTAGCATTAAAAGATGTAACACGTTTGTACCGTGTTTCTAAAGAAAATTGATGTAAACAAAAATCCTAAATTACATTACGAAAATTTCCAGTCCCTACATATTTCCTTTTTTTTCCTGCACTGGCCCACAAAAGGCTCAAACCAGTAGGCCATGGAGCCCACAGTTAGCCCAGACCAGCCCATCTTGGCCCACCGTAAGCCCATTCTGATACTAGTAGCACGCGAACGAAACTTCCTTGTCATGCCGGTAACGACTCCCACCACCGCATCCTCCCCGCTTTTCCCACTCCCAACCACGACCGCGGCCGGCCGGCGAATCGCCTCGATTCCGGCGTGCGAATTCCTCCACCTCGCCGCCGCCGCTGCTCGCGACCGATCTTCACCTTCCGCTTCCCCCCCCCTGCAGCCGATTGGACTCGATCCTATCCTATCCTATCCTATCCCCGAACGGGCGATCTGGTAGGCGAGAGAGACCAGCCATGTCGGGGGTGTTCGGCAAGGTGTTCGGGAAGTCCAAGGCGCAGAGCCAGGCCACCGCGCTGGCCTCCATCGACAAGCTCAGCGAGGTGAGCCCCACTCGGTTTGGTTTTCATCCTCCCCGCCCTAGCTTTGACCAGATCCTTTTTTAGGGGAATCTATTTGGCCATCGTAGTAGCGTGGTTATGAATTACCCTTAGATAATCAGGTGAAGTGAATGATGTGATGATGTCCAGGGTGCGTGGACACCGATATGAACCTGATTGGCGATTAAGCTTTTCTTGAGTTGACTGGTGGTTGTGATCCGCCGTCTTACTAGGTTGGAAGGCAGAATGGGGAGGCTTTGTGCTAAGAGGGGAACGATCCTTACTTCCTCGCGTGAGAGATGATCACATATTTATGCCACCGGATATACGAAGAAGGGATAATGTTTCCTCATAGGATGCCTAAGATGAGATATATACAGAGTTTCTGATATAACGAGAACTAACCTAGCCTCTTGGTTTTAGTCAAGCGATGGAGCGTGGGGAACTAAACAGTATATGTTCGTGCGTGGAAAGGTTGCTGCTATTTCTTATTTCCATATGAACATTAAGTTTGAGGGCTTGAGTGTGGGGGAAGATAGGAATTTAGGATTTCGCATGTTTCTTGTTACAGTGGTTTTAATTGGTGTGACTACTCACGTCAAAAGCCACTAAAAATAGGGAAAATGTGGGTATTTCATGTACTCTGTTATCTTCTTCTCTGGATTCTTCAGCGGCTGAACTATCAATGTTCCAAAGGATTTATTGACTGGCACTCTGGCGAATTACACAAAATTGGATATACTATTTACTCCAGTGTGGCTTTGATCAGGGCTGTCTCCAGGAATTTGAGGCCCTGGTGCAAAATGCACATTGGGGCTCTAAAAATTATGCCATTGTTACTGTTTTTTACTCGGTGATCTATTCAACCTGTGATCGCTACTAACTTCGTTAGCAATATTAGCATCAACTCGAACAATTTCAGCGGTTTGAGCCTTTTTTAGCATCATCACCGTGACCTCATGTTTGATTTTTAGAATAAAACTAAGATTGTTTCATAACATATCTATCAAGAGTAGTACTCTTTTGAGATTGAAGTTGAACTACTGCTACTATTAGTCTTTGTTTCTTCTTAAGCTTTTCATAACCATATTCATTTCTTATTTCTAGAAGATGATGAGGGTTGAGGAATAGTACATAAATTCTAGGGCTTAGCACGATAAGAGAAGAATAAAAGATTGAACAACCTTGAGGACATCTGCATGAACTGCATGAGTAATGACGGCAGAGAGACGAACAGCCGGATGGTTCGTGAGAAGGGTGCTCAAAATACGAAACAATCAGCATCAAGATAACATATTAGTACGTACTAATCAGTATGGGGTATATATTTAGGGGTTGATGGGCCTTTCTTTTTTTCCTGGTTAAGCACATAAATAAGATAACTGGTGGCTGTGTGCATTTCATGCAGAGGCCGGGAGTGAGCTCAGTTAGAATGTATCATCTTGTGTATTTGACTGAGTTTTAATAAAGTTTCCATTATCGAAAAACTTAATAAGATAACTAAGATTTGGGGCCCCAATATTTCGGGGGCCCTGTGCAAGCGATCAACTCGCTCTTGCTTATCAACGGACCTGGCTTTGATAAGCTTTAATGCCTTTCACTTCTTCATATTTAAAGAGTTTCTTGCATAAGGACTACAAGAATGACCATAGTGTTTATTTACTGATTTATTGTAGTTTGTGTATGACAACTAACTTATATTATGCACCAGACTCTTGAAATGCTGGAAAAGAAAGAAAATTTGCTAGTGAAGAAAGCGAATCTTGAGGTTGAGAAGGCCAAGACCTTCACTAAAGCGAAGAATAAAAGAGGTATACTATATCAGCTCCAAGAAATTCATTGATATTTTAGCTTTCTTCTCTTCTGTTCATTTTGGTCTATTGCTATTATGATGTATCATCACTTCTAAATTTAATGAAAGTATCGCTGATAACGTTGTAGATTTTGATTTTGGCCCCATATTGCCTTATGTGGCAATTAGCACCCAAGATTACTAATTTTTCTATTGTTAGGCCATGTGGTATCCAGTAAAAACAACTTGCTATTTATGTACTGGTTTTCCACATAAAACTATCATCTGATACATTCACTAAAATATTGTATGATGGAAGTCTTTTCTTTAGAGCTATCATGCTTCCACACAATCCTTCTGTATAAACAAACTATTTATAGGTTTTTCTAATTTTCTCCTGTGGTTCTCTGAGCCATTTTGCTAAATAGACATCATACAGCTACTGGCATGTAAATGGTGTTCCTTCCTCATGTGCTCCAGTGCTCTCTTTCCAATCATTGGTTCCAAGTGCCTTGCCTATGCCTGCTGACTGTTCTACTAAAGATCTACACCAGAGAATGCCATATTTATGCAACTCAACATATGTTTCTGTCTAAGTTCTTAAGTTTTTGCAAAGTCCATGTGTCTGTTTGTTTTGGGTGTCAATGCGAATTTTATTATTGTCTGGTTGCATGCCCACATCAGTACATGTACACATGCACCCTCTTGCTTTCATCCGATCATATGCTTCTTTTCTGTTTCACACCGTGTAGTTTCATCATAACAGACAATCTGCATGAGTTCCCTTTGGAGGCAAATGTTCTAATGGGACAGTGACTTACCTTCGAACTTTTCTTTCTTGTAGCTGCAATACAATGCTTAAAGAGGAAGAGATTATATGAGCAACAGATTGAGCAGCTTGGTAATTTCCAATTAAGGATACATGATCAGGTGATGTCACAAATAAACACGTGCTTTGACTTTCCTTGTGGATCTCATTATGCTTGCTAGATATTTATTGTGTTTCTCCTCTTGTTCTGATTGTAGATGATAATGCTGGAAGGTGCAAAGGCTACAACAGAGACTGTTGATGCATTGAGAACTGGAGCATCGGCGATGAAAGCAATGCACAAAGCGACGTATGTAACACAATACATATGGCTCAGTTTTCTTTGCTATTGATTTTCTCTTTGATTTTATTTTCTGAAATTTCCATACTTTGTGAAAAAAAAAATCACTGTTAATGTTCACTGCATCGGCTGGGCAACTTAGCTCCCATAATCCATGAACATTGGTACGTATGATTGAAAATTGTCCAACAGAATAAGGTAGTGTTCTGAAATGGTAAAATGTAGATGAAATCTGATGTATGATCTACTTGTTATAGGGATATATTAATAAATATTATAAATTATTAACCTAACACTATTATAACAAGTGGTCTAAACAATGCAGTACAAGTTCTTTCTCTAGAAATCGTATTTTTAGAAGCGTGGAAAAAAAATAATTAGTGGTGCAATAAGATTGTTTGACGACTTGCAGTTGCAGGGCAGTATACTTGCCAGGGAAGTCTTAAGAGCTCAAATAGCATATAGTTTATGTGCACTTAAACTCTAATTTGTAGGTTTTGTATAGTAAACTATTACTGATTTATAAGGTGTTCTAGTGAGATTGGTGAGTATCCACGTCTTTATGCTACTGTGCTTCAAGTAGTATAGTGTGCTTTAATTGTTTCATTTGAGTGAATCTAAATTTAACTGAATTGGCTATGAGGCCAAAGTCCTTTTTTCTATCTCTTTTGATTCATTAATTGCAGAGTCTAATTGTTTTGCTTTCCAGAAATATTGACGACGTTGACAAGACAATGGATGAAATTAATGACAATATGGAGAATATGAGGCAGATCCAGGATCTACTATCTGCTCCTATTGGAGCTGCAGCTGATTTTGATGAAGTATTTCTCATTCTCTCACCATGCACCACTGTAAAGGAGAAAAAGAAAAACTAATATGTGCTGTTTTTGGTAGGATGAGCTGGAAGCTGAATTAGCAGATCTGGAGGGGGAGGAATTGGAGGCAGAGCTTCTAGCACCTACAACGACTGCCCCTACTGCTCCAGTGCGTGTACAGCAACCAACTCGGCCTTCTGCCCAGAGCAGCAAAACTGAAGATGACGAGTTGGCAGCTTTGCAGGCAGAGATGGCTATGTAATTAGGTATTTCCCTGTATTTTACTAGCTTAATCAGTATTGAGCGAAACACACAAATCAAACAACTTCCAAGTAGATCTACTTACATGTTTACTAGCAATAGGTTGAAATAGTTTTTTTTTATTAGCTGCTTGCCTTGGATCAGTTATTTATTTACTAGAGTTCATACTTTGCAGTTTTGCAGGCTTTGATAGGGTCATGCCAAAAGATCAGATACTTCAAATACTCCTATATTGGACTCTGGTGTACTCATGAAGATCTTCCTAGGAAGATGTCAGAGACACAGAAGCAAGCTGCATGCCAGCCTAACCCGTTATGTATGGTATCATGTCATGTTACTGCCTTGTAAATCAAACAGAGCTATTTGAGCACATTATGAGCTAATAAAATGTACTACCCGTGATGGCGTCATTATGATGTGTTTCAGTCTGTACCATATCGTTTTGACGTTTTTAGTGTAGGTCAATTTATAGTTTCTCTTGATTCGAATCTGAAGTACTACATTGATGGTCGAATATAGACAGTTCTCTAAATAATGTGAATGATGATTGTATAGGGTGCTGTACATTCCTTCAGTTGTTGGTACTGTCGACCTGTAATAAATTATTAACCTAGGCTTTGTAGCTGTCTAAACAGTGATGTATATTAGTCGTGATAATTGGACACATTTAAACAATTCTATCACTTAAAAAGCTGAAAAAAAATTGGGCCTGTTACTGGTGATCTGTTGTAATAATCTGAAAAATTTAATGCACATGACAGCCATTCATCTGAGTATATTTTTACGAACGAATTTCACAGGAAAAAATAGGCGAGTATATGCGACAGTGCGTTCATCTTTGGAGTTCCGGATGAGTCTCAAGCTCTCAACCAGATTTCGAAGTTCCCTACGAATTTCGTCGCTCCCCTAAACCGTTTAGTGGTTGTCAAATTTTGGATGAAATTTGTTATCAGAATTTGCGAAATTTTCATCATATCTTGCTGGCCTCGGATTTTGACCCCAAAACAAAAAAACTTTGCCATTTTGACCATCGTTGAGCTTTTGGCATGCCCCACCTCTGACCCTCACCTCAATCTCTCTCTCTCCGACTCAACGACGCCGCAAGTGCAAAAGCAGCAGCAGCAGATTCGTCCGCGTCGCTCTGTCTGACAGTGTGGGCCCTCCCCGAGATGCAGGCGTGGTTCTCCGGCACGGGGCCCTCCGCCTCGTCGGCGTCGTCGTCGTCGTCGCCGCCGCAGCCGTCGCTGCTCGCGGAATGGAACTCCTACGCCGCCGCGCGCTCCGCGGAGGAGGAGGAGGACGGCGGCGGGGGAGGCTTCGGGATCGACATCGAGGCCGCCGTCCGCTCCGCCAACGACCGCGTCTCCGGCACCTTCGGCGTGTAAGCATAATCCCCCCCTCCCTTCTCTCCTCCCTAGGGTTTGCACTAGATTCGCCCCGAGCTAAGCTTAATCTCACTTGCAACTGCGTCTCGGTAGGGATCGATCGCAGGTAGTTGTCGGATCGTCTCTGTGTGGATTCTGGATTGTGATGATCTCCGCTATGTGTCTACTAGGTAGGTTAGGTTACATCTGAAGACTGGATTTGGGCCAAGAGTTGGAATCATCGTAGGATTGGAAAAAGCTTCTGACGAGTTGTTATTGTGCTCTAAAGCAATTTGCCCAATGCCCAGTGACTAATTTTTTCACCAACGATCTCAAATTAAAAGCGTACAAGTTCTGTGATTAGTGACATGCGTGTTTTTGGAAAAGCTGACATGAAGATTCATGAGATGTTAAGAGTTAATTTTGAAGTTACTCCCTCCGTTTCATATTATAAGTTGTTTTGAGAGAAATACCCAGGAATCTTCCAACTAGCCGGCTTGGGTTCGAAGCCTCACCCCTTCTATTTATTTGATATTAGGGACTTCCCTAATATTCGTGTTTTTTTATAAGTCATTTTGACTTTTTTCTGGTCAAACTTTTTTAAGTTTGACCAAGTTTATAGAAATTTATAGCAACATTTCCAACACAAAACAAACATATTACCAAAATATATTCAATGTCATATTTAATGAAACTAATTTGGTGTTGTAGATGCTGCTAAATTTTCTATAAACTTGGTTAAACCTAAAAAGTTTGACTGGGAAAGAAGTCAAATTGACTTGTAATATGAAACGGAGGGAGTAGTATTTAGTTAGTTGTAAAGCAACTAGGAAGTGGGAAGACCGAGAAAGAGTGAAAAATGGTAGTGTTAAAAGATGGAATTGACTTAACCCCTGGCCTCTAGGTAGTTACATGTTTCAATTTGCTAATGAGGTTTATTTTCTCTACTGATGGTTTGTGATTCTATTTGTCTAGGGTATCTAAAGGTGTTCTAGGGTTGCCAGGCAGCTTCAAGTCCACAACAAGCAGTGTTCCATCGAGCAAATCACTTGTGTATTTTGGCCTTTTTCTTGCTAGTGGAATATTCCTAGTTTTCATTGCGTTCACGATATTTCTGCCAGTCATGGTAATCATGCCTCAAAAGTTTGCCATCTGTTTCACGGCGGGATGCGCCTTCATAATTGGATCATTCTTTGCGCTAAAAGGGCCGAAGAATCAGCTCTATCATATGATTTCCAAAGAGGTACTAGTTATTATTTTCCCCTAAAGCTTCTTCCACACAATGTTTTGTCATTAATTCTAGCAAAACCTTTTCCATGAATTATTTCATCATCAATTCTAGTAATTGCTGTCCAGCAGATTTGTTGCTGAAATTTTGTTTCACTTTGTTGCTGACGGTTATACAGTGATCTGTCATTCAAGTTATGTATAACTTTCCAGAAACTATTGATACTGGGGGGAGCATAGTATAACTGCACCCTCATAGATAGAATAATAAAGAAAACTGCTTGATGTAAGTGAAAATAAAATAGTCAGTTAGATGATGGCTAGTTGGCCACGTAGCATATTAAGCGCACATACTGAAATATTGACCTGGAAAATACATTGCAGCGATTTGCTACCTATACTTTTTTTTTGGAGTGATGTGTATTGGGATATTTATTTATTTTTTGGGTGAGAGGGGGTTCAGATCTTCTATTCTATCATGGCTTTATATGCTTATCTTTTGTCACACTCATATATCAAAAGAAATGTGTTTGTGCTGCATTCACTGAAGCTGGTTTAATTTTGCTGCAGAGGTTACCTTTCACCATGGGATTTGTGGGCAGCATGGCTGCTACCATCTACGTGTCAATGGTGCTCCATAGCTACATACTTTCAGTTTTCTTCTCTTGTCTTCAGGTGATAATCTCTTCATCATTACACCCTCCAATCTATTGTTATTAAATCATCAGTTATGGATCCCTATCTTTTCTGGAAATATGATGATTATATAATTTTATTTTAATTTTTTTGCTGCTAGTGGCAACAACTTTGAAGAAAACTGTTGACCAGGCATATGAATAGACCATAAAACTCTCAATATTTCAGCTTGTGGCACGAGCGGGTTTAACAAACCTAGTTCAATTTATTTGTTGAACCGCAGCTCGTGCTATTGCTATTTTCTGGTAGCCATGGAGGACTGGGCCTGCAATAACCTGTATTGATTTTGAGCTCACCAAAGCTTGCTCATTGTTTGCTAGGTACTTGCGCTAGCATATTATGCTATTTCATACTTCCCCGGGGGATCTGCTGGAATGAAGTTTCTATCATCTGCACTTGTGTCCTCTGTGCTGAGATGCTTTGGGCGATGAGCTCACCCGTTAGTTGCTCTCACCCATCCATTTGGCGCGCATTCATCGTAACCTTGTGTAGTTCCATTACAGTTTTGTCTTTTTGCTTTTGCTATAGAGGTAGTGCCTGTCAAGATGACCCTGGTGCTGGTGTCCATTGAAATATGTGTGTATACCACTGTCCTGTATTGGGAGCTCTGTTCCTTGGATTGAATTATGAAAATCAGGAAAATGGAAATCTATCGAGATTCGAGAGTCAATAGTTTGTGAAATTTGGAACACTTGCACTGTAACTTACCTTCAATCTTGCATTGGGGGATTTCCCTTTTTTGACTTTAATCTGCCCATCTGCCTTACTACTCTTCAGATATTTGTTTTTATATTGAAGTCCCAATTTATGTGAATATCCAACCCAGCAAGCTATGTCCCAAACTGTCAATTGTAATCTCAACTATGAGGCAGAGCCATGCTTGTTAGAGATATGTAGAGCCCATCCATCCATATTAAGCTAAAACTACACTACACAGCACATCTCAGTCACACAGACTGGACCACAGTTTTCATGTGCATGGCTGGGTATGAAATACATGTACACCTTCACCATCTCAGACCCCCATCCAACCACCACCACATGTTCACCTCTTTTTTGTATCTTTGTTACTCTCTGATCGCTACACTGTTTGTGTTGTCCCGGTGCATTGTTCACCTGTATGGCTGTGTTGTTTTTTTTGTTTGGCTTGGCCATTTCAGAATTTGACAGGAATTTTGGGTGGCATGGCGCGGCTCCCCTATCCGGGAACGGGTGATGGGGTTTTCGCCGCCCATGGATATCTCAGATTCGGCCTGGGAATTTGGTATATCCTCTCTCTTTCTCTCTCTGCGTGTGTGTGTATGTGTGGGGTGTGTGGGGTTATAAGAAGTGGGTGTCCTGAAAGGCTACTCTGCACCCCAAGTGCTTGGATTTTGCAGCTGCTCCCCTGATCCGGTTCAGATAGGCTCTTCTTGACAGGATCACCATGTCTGCCTTTGTGGGAAAATACGCAGGTTCTTGCTCCCTTGCTCCATTTCTCTTGTCTTATGCCTGTCTATGCAAGTTGGGTTGTTTGGGATATATATGGCTCCGTTTTGCATTGTGGTGGATTATTTGAAAACCATAACTTTTCGTTTATATTTATGTGCTGCGGCAAGAGTCAGTTGAAAAGCATCTTGCTACTCTAGCGTATTTGAGCAACTGCAAACTGTCTCCAACGATGATAATATATGCTGAAATGTTGATTTTACTCTTAATGCAAAGATACACAAATCTTTTGCATATTCACGATAATGAAGCTTTTGATTTTACTACAATATGTGTTCTGTAAACAAATATTAATTTGCCTTGAGTTTGATTATTACTGGAGTCATATGTACTGTGTACTGTGTAAATATGGGGGTGCAGATGAGCTGATCAAGACGGCCAAGTACATCGCGACGCCGGGGAAGGGCATCCTCGCCGCCGACGAGTCGACGGGCACCATCGGCAAGCGCCTGGCCAGCATCAACGTGGAGAACGTGGAGCCCAACCGCCAGGCGCTCCGGGAGCTCCTCTTCACGACGCCCGGCGCGTTCCAGTACCTCTCCGGCGTCATCCTCTTCGAGGAGACGCTCTACCAGAGCACGGCCGCCGGCACGCCGTTCGTCGACGTGCTCAAGGCCGGCGGCGTCGTGCCGGGGATCAAGGTGGACAAGGGCACCGTGGACATCGCCGGCACCAACGGCGAGACCACCACCCAGGGCCTCGACTCCCTGGGCGCGCGCTGCGCCAAGTACTACGAGGCCGGCGCCCGCTTCGCCAAGTGGCGGGCCGTGCTCAAGATCGGCGCCGCCGGCGAGCCGTCCGAGCTCGCCGTCAAGCAGAACGCCGAGGGCCTCGCCCGGTACGCGCTCATCTGCCAGGAGAACGGCCTCGTCCCCATCGTCGAGCCCGAGATCCTCACCGACGGCGCCCACGACATCAAGACCTGCGCCGCCGTCACCGAGCGCGTCCTCGCCGCCGTCTACAAGTCTCTCAACGACCACAAGGTCCTCCTCGAGGGCACCCTCCTCAAGCCCAACATGGTCACCCCTGGCTCCGACAGCCCAAAGGTTCATATCCATTTCCACATCTTCGCCATCATTTCTTCTATCGTATGTACCAATCAGTTCAACCTAAAAGCTTAACCTGTTATATAGGTTGGCGCGGAGGTGATAGGGGAGTACACGGTGGCGGCGCTGCGGCGCACGGTGCCACCGGCGGTGCCCGGGATAGTGTTCCTCTCCGGCGGGCAGAGCGAGGAGGAGGCGTCGCAGAACCTGAACGCCATGAACAAGCTGGAGGTGCTCAAGCCATGGACGCTCACCTTCTCCTTCGGCCGTGCCCTGCAGCAGAGCACCATCAAGAAGTGGGGCGGCAAGAAGGAGAACGTCGCCGCCGCTCAGGCTGCCTTCCTCGCCCGGTGCAAGGCCAACTCCGAGGCCACGCTCGGCAAGTACGGCGGCGCCGCCGGCGACGCCGCCACGTCCGAGAGCTTGTACGTCAAGGGCTACACCTACTAGAATTCGTCCCAATCACTGGGTGGCGCCTATGCGGCCGTGCCTATGACAGTAGTAGGGTCTCGGTCCAATCCGCGTGGCCCACGTGGCGGTGCGGATTGCATCAAGATTCGTGCGGATATACATGTGTTCCTTTCTGCTGTATACTCTCGATTCTCTGCTTCCTTCCCCTCTAGCTCTTATATTTTAACAAAAGCTGCGTCTAAATGTTCATCTCTTTGCAGTTTATTTGCAATGCAAACTAATATGAATACTTCTGATAAGTGAGTGATTCCAGAGTAGTATGTGTTTTTTTTTTCAAGCTAGTTTCATGGAAAATGAGAGCAGAAAAAGTTAAATATTTATGAGATCAGCTCAACAGTGCTAACAGCTTTAACACACTGCATATCTGCTTGTTCACTAATTCCTGGAAATTTTGCAACCTTTTATCTTATTTACCAAGGGAAAGAAAGGAGAATGTATAATAGAGAAGCTAATTACTGTACATTATTTAGTGTACCTCTTCTTCACATAACTACTGTAGTTAATACTACAGTGTGTGCCTTAGCTTTTTATATGGATCACTATCTGCCTAAACATTTCTCACTGCAATAATAATAGTAAACCACCAATTACAAGACGAAAGAACAGTACAATTTAGGCTGGTTCATAAATTTTGCACAGGAGTTTCTTCTGATGTTGGAGATTCTGTTTCTGCAGGCTTCAGAAACTTCAGGATATCCATTTTTGTTTTCTCAGTACAGCCTGATCCTTGTGGTTATATGCTGCTGGCACATAGGGCAGCGCACCAAATTCTTCCCGCATTCATAACAGGTCTGCGAATCATTTTATCATGCATGCTGCCATTTATAACAAGAAATTATGTAGAAATAGAGAACAATAAGGGGAAATTTTCTGCACCTGATGTCCACATCCAAATGCAAGATCCTTTGATTTATCCATACAGATAGCGCACAACTGAAACCACACACAAAAAAAAAAGCTGCATTTAGTTTGTAATCCAGTAAGATTCTCAGGGTTTAGCACGAAATTTGATGGTACATAAAAACTTAACACTAGAGGTGTAGGAACTTTCCATGATCTGCGGATTAACAGTATGCCCAAATGACATAAGAATGTGAAATGCAATAGCAATATTCAGCATAATGTAGTTATCAGATCAAGATCAAATGGGCCATTTGAAGGCACGATATTTTTTTTTTCATAAAGGGCATCCGTGAAATAAGTAATAAGCCAAATGAACGCAGGCAGGGTGGTCAGAACAGATAGAGCAATGCAATGCAACTTCCCCTGTTTCAATTAGCCTCCCGAAATGCCACAGTACGAACAAAATAAAAGGGAGACTATTTGTTGGTGGTGTACGATAATGACACCAATGTAGTCTTGCAGTATATAGCTTAAACTTTATTTTACCAATGCTACAGTGTTGCAGTATATATCTTAAACTTTATCTATTCAACATGGTGTGAATATAAACAAAAATACTTACAAGTCTTCCTTCTAAAGAACTTTCCGAGGTATAAGTGTCAGGTGCAGTGGTAGCCACAGGCTGTCTCTGTTTGAAGCTTTCAGATTGCTGAAAGCCACTTGTTTGTGGGCCGAAGCTACTAGATCGTGAATAAACACCAGAATGTTGGTCAAAGCTAGTAGACCTCGAATAAGCATTCCTCATAGGTGGCGGCAGAGGAATTCTTGGCTGTATTCTTTGGCGACGGCTGAAACGAAAGAAAACGTGAAGAAAATGTTCAAATGGATACAATTGCTGCAAGCACAAACTCTAGTACATTTGACCCAGTGCAGTCCTGGGAAAACATGGATTACCCTAGAAGTTGGAGATCAAGTGTTGCCTTGTATTGTGTTGGGATTTCCATCAAGGCGGATAGTGCAAATTCTGCCTCCTTCCTGTCAGCTGCTATGCTCTTTGACATGATGTCCGTGAAATTCACAAACTGCATGAAAGCAAACATTTTTACATGTCTCTATTATTGTGAAAACCACACAAAAATAAGCCAATGACTGGAAATTAAATGTAGAACAGTCACCTGGAAATTGTCAAATGAGCGAGCAGGTATATTGTCATCAAACTGATGCATCATGTCCCATGGTCCATCACCCACCCCAACAAGAACAATAGACAAGGGGAACTGGCTGGAAATTTATTTCGAAAAAAATGTTAACACGTGTGATTCGGGACATTTGATTTGGGCAGAATATACCGATATTAAATTAGGGACTCGATCAAGTACCTAGCTTTTACTATAGCATCAATCGTATCACGCTCCTGCGGGCTTAACTGCCCAGACTGTGTATCAACACTTCGAGTAACCTGTTAGCAGAAGTTTTAGCCACTGTAAAAATATGATTTGAACAAAAAAAATAATCAACTATAATCTAGAGAAGAGTTCTGCTGATCACAATTACTTAGAAAGACAAGAAATAAAGAAAAGGGATAAAACAAGAGAAAATGGTGACAGACCTGTCCATCGGCTATTATCAGAAGAACATGATACTGACCACCAGTGCTGTCTACAATACCAATTGCTGTTTCAATCATCGGGGCAAAAGATGTTGGTCCTGTTGCAATTTTTGCATACATTATTTTTCTGAAGATCTGTAGTTACTACTGCAATCTTATATATAACCAGCTAAATTCAAGATCCTTCTTTAAAAAAATAAAGGAAGAATAAACATCTAAATTGTGAAATTACTGAAACGAACCAGCTAATCGAAGAGTCGGAACAATTTCTCTGTATCTTTCTAATGCCTCTTCAAATCCGTTGCATGGGCGGTTCTCTGGATAAAAGCTGAATACCTCCTGATCATGAGTTGATGCTGCCAGTAGACAAAGCCACAAAGGAGGCATTAGATCAGCATTGTTCTTTAAATATGCTACTGAGCACACACCAAGTGATCAAAATGGAAAATGGGAACAATGAACTTACCGTCACCAAATCCAAAGCAAGGAATCAAATTATCTTCATCAAAAGCTGAAAGTGTCCTTCCAATAATAGATATTGCTTGCTCATATGGATTTGGAGTGTTTCCAATATCATGCAGACATCGGCGATTGAAGGAAAGTTTACCTAATGGAGAAAAGCTCAGCAGGTTAAATGAGAGTGCTATGATTTGTGACATAGCATGACTGTAGGATATGCAAGCAACATGAGAGGCATCCTTGCTACATGCATAATTGCCCCATTTCACATTTCTTTACTTTAAATGGTTTTGTTTGGCAAAAGATTGCACATTGCATTTGTTGTGAAGTTACGGAATCAGGTTCACTCCTTATGTCAAAAGATAACAGGTAGTTCACATAAACTTCAGATACAGAAAAATAACCAGCTTATTAGGGGTTTATAACAAAGAATTAAGAGAAGTTGACATGCCATTTGCATCACAGGCACTTCAGATACAGAAAAATAACCAGCTTATTAGGAGTAGCTAACTCCCTCAATAAACTTTTTTCAAGAAAGTCCAACCTCCTTCCAGACAGCAGCCCTAGTGAGAGCTCATTTATAACAAAGAATTAAGAGAAGTTGACATGCCATTTCTCATTTGCATCATACGCAACTAAGGTAGAAAAGGATGTTTGTCCTAATAATAGGTAAATCAAGATGTATATAATAACACTACTAATTCGCAAGTAATAGGCTACCAGCACAGCACAAAGCAAATATAAAGAAACAGAATTCAAAACAAGAAGTGGTCTGTTAACCTGTCCATTCATTGCTCTTTGTAAAATCAATGCCTACAATAAGATTTGATGATTCAAGACCTGCTTGTGCCAAAGCTTCAGTCACCTGTAACAGTACATATCGATAAAAATGAAAACGTGTACTTCCAATCTCAAGTTCACAGTACTCAAAAGGAAGAGATTGTTCAAGACTCTAGTAAAGTAGTACGTATACTCTGGTGCACTATGAAGGAAATGAAACTAAGAAAAATACATAAATTGAACACAATGATAAGCACATCAACAGCACATAAATATTATAGCAAGGAATTATCTTTTGTAGGAGACATAACAGGAAATGGAAAGCTTGTTATAGTCTTTGGCTCAAACAACACATATATGATTAAAGATGGCAAGCCATTAACTGAAAATGTACTGGAAAATAAATAGCAGCTGGATATCTTATAAATCATTTAAAAGTGTGTACTAAAAAGGGTGAATTCCAGCGTACAAAAAACTGACTGAGATGAATACCATAGTCAAAGAAAGCTCCATTGAGAATCTATAGTGGTTTCTTTGTTAATGCAATATATATAGTGGTTTCCATAAGAGAATACAACTCTTGTTTGGAACCCTCCTCGAAAATATCCTAGAAAAGGATAGCTTATTCAAACATTTCCCTATGCCATATCATCAAAGATGAATGATACTGATGCCATTCAACTAAGCTACTAGTAATCGATAGCACGCATACCAAACGCCCGCAAAGCAAATATCAAAATTCATGGGTTAAACAAGGTCATGTCATCAAAAACATACTTGATTCAGAGAGCGGTAGTCATCACCAATCCTCGAGTACTTCCTCTGCAACCTGGCATGCGTTTCTGGCTGCACATAGTTCTCCATAGAAGGAGCATACCTTGTGTTCTGACTGGAAGATGCATTTGCAGGGTATGCAGGGTATCTCGAGTTATATCCCGATGATGAATTCCCATGATCATATGAAGAAGAATAGCTGTATGAGGGCTTGGAGTCCTTTGCCCCCATTTCTCACCTCAGTTGAATTCCCTGATAAAAAAGGGAACAAAAAAGATCAGTACTTTTAATAAAATAACTGCACAAGAAGCAGAGACTTTTCTGACAAATCTCAAGAAACCATCAGGTTCTGACTGATCATGCAGATAATTTGAGGAAATCCTAATTGAGGGTGGGGGTGAATTACTGTCCATGGCAGGTAAAATTCCCCACCCCCAAGAACAATCTAGCACCCCACATTCCCTTCTCACGAACAATTAGCAAGATTAACAATCGAAACAACCCAATCCCCATGTAAGCATCGAACATATCGAACAATCGAAGTGCGTCCAAGAACACCAGAATGCGACCTACCAAACATATCAAATGCCTATGAGAAAAAAAAAACAACGAATTCTTTTCTTCGCCGGATTAGATCCAAATAATACCTTATAAACCCACCAAGAACCCGCCTTATTCTCGCCTACACTCACCAAGAACCAAGAATCAAGAGCCGAGAGTCCGAGACCCAGAGAGAGAGAGAGAGAGAGAGAGAGAGAGAGAGAGAGAGAGAGAGAGAGAGAGAGAGAGAGAGAGAGAGAGAGGAGCAAGAAGGAAAAAGGAGATGTTCTTGGTGCGAGAGCGCAACCAAGAAACCGTACAGAAGAGAGCTCTTCCACCAAAACAGCACGAAATCCCCCCAAATCAATCCACCCACATGGGCTCACCCCTGCTACGCGGCACGCCTCCGCTCCACGACGAGAGAGGCCCCGAGGAAGACGACGACGATGAGCGAGCGAGCGAGCGGAGGCACGCGACCTCGGTTACTGGAGTCCAGCCAAGAAGCCAAGATATGTATTGGATGATTGCCCAATCACTCAACCAACAGCAATACAAAAACTGCTATTTACAATCGGAAGGGTGCTCAGGTCAAGTCAATCTCTTCATCAAAAACTGCAACCCAGCGGTGGACTGGGCAAATGGCAGATTTCTTGTGTGCTGGGGTTGTCTGACCACCACCATGGATGGACAGTGACAGGGGAAGCTTCGAACGTGGGAAGGATCGATCATTAGGAGTGCTAGTAGACTAGTAGTAGTAGAGTGTGACAAAGATACTTCTGCTTATGAAAAGGAGGTTGAATACTTGAATTGTGTGGTGTGCTGGAAGTTGGAAGTGCAGGGCATGATTATCCACTCAGGAAAAGGTCAGATGATGAGCAACGGATGGTGGTGCCAGATTTGCTAATTGCACAGTGGAAAGCGTACACGGGATATTCCATCTGGTGATCAATCCACAATCGAATTTTGGCATCTTACTGAAACGTCGGTAATGCCATTTTTTTTGTATAACTTATGTGTGTTATTGACATATTTTAGTAATAACAAGCCAAATACTCTATCCGTCTCATAATAAGTTTATTTTTTAGCTTTTCCGTTTGTCTCAAAATAAATTCATTTTTGGTAGTAATTGTATCGGGATTTGTGAAAGTAAAAAAATACAATAATTGTATTGGAAATAGATAAAGTAGATAATAATTGTATTTTGATAAAGTATGGGTATTCTATTTTTTTTCTTTTGTATTGGTATGTATGGGTAAAAAGTAAAATTATTTTGAAACAACGGGAGTACTTACTAAATAGTGGAGTAATCTATTTAAACTATGAACAATTTGATAGAGCATGCCATTGATATTCACACCAGACAAAAACAGATTATAAACATCTACTAATTTATCCGTGTCAAAGGATTCTAATGCTGCGTTCGTTCATTGGAGATAGGGGAGATTGTCACTCGTTTTCCGCGCACACGTTTTTCAAACTACTAAATGGTGTGTTTTTTGCAAAAAATTTCTATAGAAAAGTTGCTTAAAAAATCATATTAATCCATTTTTGAAGTTTAAAATAGTTAATACTTAATTAATCATACGCTAATGACTCAACTCGTTTTGTGTCTCTTCCCGATCTTCCCAATCCTATCTCCCTCAAACACAGCCTAAGTGTTCATTCGGAGAAGATAAGGAGAAGAAATTCCTTGGCGTGCACACTTCCCGAACTAGCCTGTGTTCGGCACAGTAGGTTCCCAACTCCTCTCCCTCGCCCGAACTACTAAGCCTGTGTTCGGCACAATAGGTTCCCAACTCCTCTCCCTCGTATTACACGTGCATGCTTTTCAAACCGCTAAACGTATGGTGTGTTTTTTTTACAAAAAATTTCTATACGAAAGTTACTTAAAAAAACCATATTGATCTTTTTTTTTAAAAAAATAGCTAATACTTAATTAACCACGTGCTAATGAACCGTTTCATTTTTCGTGCGCAGCAGATTGGTTCTCATCTTGTCCAAATGAACTCAGCCTAAATGGTGTGTTATTAATTCATTTTTAAGTTTGAATAATTAATATTTACACCCTCTGTCCCACAATATAAGGGATTTTCAGTTTTTGCTTGCAACGTTTGATCACTCGTCTTATTCAAATTTTTTTTTTGCAAATATAAAAAACGAAAAGTTGTGCTTAAAGTACTATAAATAATAAAGTAAGTCACAAATAAAATAATTAATAATTTCAAAAATTTTTGAATAAAACGAGTGGTCAAACATTACAAGTAAAAACTTAAAATCCCTTATATTATGGGACGGAGGGAGTAATTAACTGCACACTAATGGTTCACCTCGTTTTACGTACGTCTCAATCTTGTACACTCCTCTTCTCTCGAACGCTCCTTTAATAATCAAAATAGTTTGATCAAGTTTTAGCCATCACGCTTTCAAAAACTTTCTATGGTATTTATAATATTATTCAGATGACTTCAGTATATTTTTAGCTTTATAAACATTATTTAATTTAATTTACCCTTATAGACAATCACATATAATATGTCTAATAATCTATTTCATACGGGCCACCTGCATGTACACATGGAGCTCTGATCAGTTGAAAATCATTTTTTTTAAGTATAGTGAGCGGAATACATATCTAGTAGTACTATTTTTTAGTGAATGTAAATGCCTCTTGCTAATTTTATCAGCTTAGGTCGAACGATGGAAGGCGTATATCTGATTAATTTTCTTTAATTAGGAATGAGGAGCGTGCGATTTCTTACGAGGTAAGTAAACCGTTGGTGGGGCATCGATTTTACAAAAATATCACTGGAGTAATTTTAGTGACATCAATTTGATCTAGAGGAAAATTACGGTACTAGTACAAATGTACAATGCTTATGTCAGATCATGTGACGTACTGGATTGCGCAAGTTTGAGCTAGATAGAAAAAGATTAGAGATTTAGAGTAGGTCAGGATGGGGTCACACGTACCATTTAATTTGCAGTTAGATGACACGTCTTAATTAATTAAGTTGACCCAGACACGAGATATCTTGGCGTGGATATATTAGAGCTTGTTTAAAAAAATAAATAATCCCTCCATTTCTAAATATTTGTCGCCATTAACTATTTTAAATATATTTGATCATTCGTCTTATTTAAGAAATTTAAGTAATTATTAATTCTTTTTCTATTATTTAATTCATTGTTAAATATACTTATATGTATACATATAGTTTTACATATTTCACAAAAAGTTTTTTTTAACATGTGCTTAAAAAGTAAATGGTGTAAAATATTTAGAAACGGAGAGAGTATATTAGAGCTTACTAATACTGTTCAAATTAACCTTTTTTCTTTCCTTCCTACTAGCTACTTGTCAAGTTTCGTTTCCTATGCCTCATATTCGAAAAAAGTTTAGTTTCCTATGCTACAGGAAACAAACATGATTGTTAAGCTATGTTTAAGTACGTATGCGTGAGCACCTAGCATAGCTAGTAAGAATACGACGAAGCTATGAGCTGATCTAAGTTTGCTCGTGACAAACCGTGAAAAATTAAACAAAATAACCCATAATAATTTACGGGTAAAAACTTTATATATCTGTGTTTTTCATATAAAAACGAATGATTAAAACTAAAACCTTCAAATCAACTTTAAAATTAAGTTTTTTAGAATTTAAATCTCGCTGTAGCTGATAAGCCAATAAGAAAACTATATAGCTGTATATTCGAAGGTTTCTTCACCATCTAGCTAGTAGTTGGTTGCTGAATTCAACGGGCTAACTTCCAGAATCTGGAGGAAAAAAATATACTACTTGAAGGAGGTATAGTCTCATAAAACAAATGATGATATTCTTAATAAGTAGGATTCTTCTATTAGGGTGTTGGGTTCGTATACTGGTACATGTGAACATGATAAACCAGTATTAGATTACTCTATGCTCTTGAAACAATTAAAGAGAACATGTACAATACTAGTGTCCTCAACATGCATGAAACAATGCACCATCACCAAAGGTATAATATAAGCCCTCCGCTCCAATATATTTGTCGATTTATCTTAAAATTTGACCACTCATTTTTTTCTCCTTTTCCCAAAAGTATTTATAAATACTAAACAAGATGTCGTAAATATTTATAAATACTAAAAAAGATGTAAAAACAACCAAAAACAATTCGGCGATGCCGCAATCGCCTCCCGCCTCCCCTCCGGCAGAGGCGACGTCCGTCGTGCGGCCCTCCGCGCTGGCCGCCCGCCACCGCGCAGGCTGCCGCCCGGCCCTCCGCTCCATCCGACCGCCGCCGCGCCTCCCTTTGCCACCCTACTCACTCGCTCACGCGTCCAATCTACTTGCTCTTGAGGGGATAAGATTGAATAGAGAGGAAAGGAAGAGGAAGAGGTGGTTGCTAGAGGATAAGTGTAAGGGATTATATACTATACGTCGATTTTTAGTCCCGGTTGGTGTTTCCAACCAGGAATAAAAAGACTAGGGGCGGACACTTTTTTAACCGGGACTAAAAATGATCTTTAGGACCCGTTTATATTCCAACTTTTTTCTTCAAACTTCCAACTTTTCCATCACATTGAACTTTCCTACACACAAACTTCTAACTTTTCCGTCACATCGTTCCAATTTCTTCAAACTTTTAATTTTGGCGTGGAACTAAACATAGCCTTAGTCTCGGTTGGTGCATAAAATGGCTATGGGCTTTTCAACCAGGGCTAAAGATGATTTTTAGTTTCGGTTTTTTAATGAACCGGGGCTATTGTAGATTTTGGCTGACCCGGGAAAGATGGTTTCTCTACTAGTAGTAGTGTGGGTTCCTACACGGGATCATGTGCACATGAGAAGGCAGCATTGTACTCTGTGCTCTTGAAACAAATAAGAGAGCATGTACAATATTAGTAGACTCAACACCATGAATCAAATGTACCATCACCAAAGATACACCTGAGTACTTGTTACTAATATTATTTACTTTAAAATTCGACCACTCATTTTTCCTTTTCTCAAAATATTTATAGTACTGCAAAAAATACCGAATCATCGAAGTGTGTCACACCCTAAGCATGAGCGTTAAGCTTTTGTTCATCGTAATCTAATTATTCAAAAGCTATTACTAATTAATTCAGTTAAAATGGTGTTAATCAATAATGATAATATATACTCCTTTAAAAAGGTTTTTGTTCATCAGTTAAAATGGTGTTAATCAATAATGACAATATATATTCCTTTAAAAAGACTTCAATGCCAATTGCATTGAATCTGCCATCCATCTACTCTCGTTGTAATTTTTATATATTGTCCCTTAAATTTTTAATATTACATAACAACTAAATCTAAATGAATAGCCACATATAAAATGAATGTTGATAACATATGCCATAAAAATATAATTTATTTATTTTAGAAAATATTATAATTTTTTATCCGTTGTAAAGCTTATTTAGAAATCGAGGGAATTGCTCTAGTTTGACCTCCATCATTACCATCGGAGTGGAGCTGTGGAGGTGCCACCATTTTACGCTGCCAAGATCCTAGTGAGGAGGCGGTGCGAGGAGCACGTGACTAGGTGTGGCGAGAGAGATACGATCGAATGCAGGTAGACCCGCGTAGTCCTTAGAGTGTAGGATGGTTATGGAGCGGGGTGGAGTGGAAAAAGGGATTGAGTTAGGTTTTCCTACTTGTTAATAATTCTCGTCGTTGGTTTTTTTTTTGGGTTCGGTCATTTTTTTTTCATTCCTACCCTCTCATACTTCCTCTATTCCAAATAAAAAGCCAAACCTAAATAAAGATGAGATATGATATATTGTCATAGCTAGATTATGTCTCATCTTTATCTAGTTTGGTTTTTTCTACAGAGGGAGTAAATAACTAATTATAACTTCATAAAGAACCCACCAAACAATCCCAGATGAATTCCGCACATAACATGTTTTTTTTTTGTCAAAGAATTCATTCTGCTTTATTCTATTTGCGCATGACCAAAAACCACGTGTTTTTTAAATCAACCCGGTCCGGACAGATCGGACGTATTTCGGGCATAACCAATTTTGTCCTAAAATAATATTTCTGGCTTAATCTATACATACATACATACATGACTGAAAAAACACGCTTTTTTAGTGGCGACCCGGTCCGGACAGTCCTTAATATGTTTTTGTCATAAAAAAAATCCGTTCTGCTTTATTCTATGTGTGCACGACTGAAAAATCATGTGTTTTTAAATCGAACCGGTCCGGACAGACTTGACTGATTCCAGACGTAATCAATTTTGTCTTAAAATAGTATTTATGGTTTAATCTATGTGTGCATGATCGAAAACCCAAGCATTTTTTTTCGACCCGGTCTGGACAATGAATTCCGAACGAAAATCCATTCTATTTTATTCTATGTGCACATGACCCAAAAACCACATGTTTTTAAAAATCGACCATGTCAGGAAAAAACCTCGAGCTAATTTTTTTTAAATAAAGAAAATCAGGTTAAATGTTTGGAAGCTGTATTGCCGGACCCACTCGAGTTGATTTTTCGACAGAATTTATCTGTATTACAACCAGGATTCTCCGAATATTTTCTATATGATAATCTATTTCTAAATTATTTAAACCAATACTACTTAATTAATCACACGTCCTTCCGTGCTACTCCACAAAGAAATATTTGGAACCAGCCGGTCAGAACAGACAACTATACAGATGCTTGTCTAATTGTTTTTTAAATAAATCCATGTATTCTCGGACGTGCAGCCCATGTATGAATTTGGAGGCCATGTTACGTACAACTGGGCCTGTACTTGGGGAGGCCCATCACACGACAACCCTAGTAATCTTATTGGCAGTTACAAATTACACCCTCTTCTAATGGTGAATTTATAAGAACTAGCTGGGTGGCCCGTGCAATTATGTGGCTACCACCCAAACAAAATCATATATTTTTCAGTATGATTTTACTTAAGATTTATTAAATAGATATCCCCGTATTTCTAATTATATAGTTTTAAAAGTCACAACAGCTACTACTCCTTACTTCTATCATATTCTTCATTATTTGATTGCTCGGTCTACCACTATTTCTATTCATTCTTCTTAAAACTTTTAAAAATTAGATCTTATAGTTTTTTGTTTTTATTATCTCGTTGGGTTTCTTCTTTATAATTTCTAGAAGTCCCGTCAAACGCTGCCATTATACTCTCATGTACGGCCCGTCCACTGTATTTTTCCCTTTATTATTATTGGGATTTTATAAATCGAACATAATTATCGTTCGGGTTCATTTTTTTACTTTCTATAAGTCCCACCAAACCGTCAGTGGCTTTGCCATTGTACCCCTTTATGGCTTGTCCGCTGCCTCTCCTTTTTATTGTCATTGAGATTTTAAACTCCAACATGATTATCATTTTTTTTTACTTTTTAGAAGTTCTGAACCTTTAAAAATTGAACCTTATATTTTTTAGAGTTTATTGTCTTGTTAGGTTTTATTTTTATAACTTTTATAAGTCCCATCAAACGATGCCACTGTACTCCTCTACGGCCATCCGCCGCCTATTCTTTATTGTCATTGGGATTCTAAAAATCAAACATAACTATTGTTGGAATTTATTTATTTTTATTTTCTAGAAGTCCCGCCAACCGTCGGCGGCTCTACAACTGTACTCCTATATACTCCGCACGCTGCTTCTCCTTTTTATTGTCATTGAAATTTTAAAAATCGAATATGATTATCAATGGGTTTTTTTTTTACTTTCTAGAAGTCCCGGCAATCGCCTTGTCCGTTTGCTTCACGGCCTGCTTGTCGTCCCTCCTTTTAATCATCATTAGGATTCTATTTTGTGTGTTATTAACAGTTTTTATATGTCGTATCAACTGCCACTGTCGACGTTTGATGTCGCAATTCTGTTATTTGCATAGTATGGGGATCGTTGGTACTAGGATATAGCGAGACTGAGGTAAAAGAGACGGAGACAGGGATTTTTATACAGGTTCGGGCCCCTGAAGTGTCAGGTAATAACCCTACATCCTGTTGGCCGGAGCCGGTGTTGCTCTTTATTCACCATAATCACACCAGTACAATATGTGGGGTAGCCTATCTAACTGTTGTCGACATGGCGGTCTGAAGGGCTGACTCGTAGTCGACAACAGGGTAGCCTTCTTCCTCGAATCCGTGTCCGGCGAGATCAGAGATAGCGCTTTCGTCTCTCCTGACGGTATCCGGAGACACCGTAGGGGAATAGCTATGCCTATCCCTGAAGTCGATATCTGGCGTCTTGTCTTGGCGTATGTAGGCTTGTATTGGCTTCTGTTGTTCCGTATATTGTGGTGGTTGTTGATTGTGGTGGGTCTCGATCGTGGTGATCGTGTTGATCGTGTCCCATGGTGGGTGTATGTTGATTGTGTTGGTTCTCCCTGGTGGGTGTCTGTGGATTCGCCCCTCTCCTCCTAAGGGGGGCTTGTATTTATACCCATAAGTGTCCCCTTGTCCAAGTAGAACTAGGTAAACCAATATGGATACAATCCGAGTAGTCCTTGTCGTTTCCATGTAGAACTCTGGTTGTCTTTTCTTATCGGAACTCCTCCTATATCCGAAGGTTGTTTCCGTATAGGACATGATATGTGGTGGGTCTTACCGAGATTTAGTCAACTACTATTAGGTATGTAGTATCCATAACCATGACAGCCACCATTTTACTCTTTTATAGGCCTGTTACTTAATTTATCTCGTCATGTGTTTTAGATGGTCTTTTTTTTCAATAGTTTTTATTTTTTATCATCAATTTTTGTTATTTATAAATTGTATTCCTAATTGAAATATTTTTTCTTTTTCTAATGTCAGATTTTTTTTTTCAAATTTTAATTAATACCGTATAGTGTTCTTTTAATATTTTTATTTTTTATATTTTGAATTTCAGTTGTTTTAAAATTGTATTCCTACTCGAACTCTCTTTTAGTTTTTCTAATTTTAGATATTATTTTATTTTATTCTGAATTTTAATTAATCTCGTATTGTGTTCTTATATGGATTCTTATTTCAATATTGCTTATTTTTAATTCCGAATTTTAGTTGATTTTAAATTGTATTCCTACTCGAACTCTTTCTTTCTTTTTGCTAATTTTGGATTTTTTATTTTTTTATTTTGAATATTAACTAATATCGTATTGGGTTCTTATATGGACTCTTCTCAATATTCCTTACTTTTAATTCCAAATTTCAGTTATTTTTAAATTATATTTCTACTTGGACTCTCTTTTTATTTTCTATTTTCGGATTTTATTTTATTTTTATTTCGAATTTTGATTAATCTCATATTGGGTTCTTATACGGACACTTCTTTCAATATTGCTTATTTTTAATTCCGAATTTCAGCTATTTTTGAATTGTATTTTTACTTGGACTCTCCTTTTCTTTTTCTCTGATTAATGTGGGAATTTCTAGCCCCAACAGTGAACGTGGTGTCTCCTTTCAAAGTTGTTTTAAAAATAGAATAGAATAGATAGATAGATAGATGCCATACACTACTACTACACGCTATGCACTAGAAGGAGTTTTCACCGTTGGATCTCATCCATTCGACGACCCACGTTAAACCAACGGTACAATAAAAAAAATCCAGACTGGACTTTGCTTCTCGCCTTTGCCTTCCTCCTCTTCCCCTCTCCAGTCAAGCGCTCAGTTTTCCAGCGAGGGAGAGGGCGCGCCATGGCGGAGCTCTCGCCGATGAGGGAGGTGGTATCGATGCACCCGCTGCTTCACCTCGACGGCGGCGAGAGGGAGGCGGTGTTCGCGGCAGGAGACCAGACGTACGGCGAGTTCCGCCTGACGCTCCTGTGGTTGGTACTTTCCCCAATCTCTGTTTCCCTCTCCCAGTTCACCCTGCTTGCGATCGAGTTGCGATTGCGACACTGCCCGCCGCCGCCGCCGCCGTGGCTCGCGACTGCCGTACGGTGGCGCGCCGCTGCCGCCGACGTGCGTGAGGGAGGATGCTTCGATTGGGTTAGCATTAGTTTTTTACTTTTTACGTTTAGTAATTATATAAAATCCAATCCCCATCTCCCCATTCACAAATGGAGGGTTACTTCCACTCTGGTTGGTAGAACGGTAAAGTCCTGAGTCCTCCCCCCCCGCGTCGGCGGTCACCCGACCCCGCCGGCCGGCGGCGGCGGCGGTCCCTAAGCCTCCACCCTCAGCCATGTCGCAAGTTTCTTCCTCCTCCTCCTCCGAGATGGATTTCCGCGCCGCCGTCCTCTCGGGGTTTTCCGGGGGCCGCGACCTGCGGGAGTCGTCAGTCTCCAGCGAGGACTCCGTCGACTCTGACTCTAGCCCGGTCAGCGGGGCGCCGGCTTCAGCGTCTCCGTCCCCCCCTCGCGCCCGGCCACGGGACTGGTCGGCGGCTGTTGGCCCGGCGGCCGCGGCGGCTGCCATGGCGGAGCCCTCGCAGCAGCGCCCGGCCACGGTGGCGTCCGTCGGCGTGAGGCACACTCTCAGATCGGTCGTGGTGCGCCCTCCAGAGCAGGCGTCGTCGCGCCCTCCCCCCGGGTCGCCCTAGGGCCGTGCCGTCAAATTTGTAGGCCATGTACAAAGCTCTAAGTGAAACCAAAATCAAGTACCAAATATAGCTAAAATAATGTATGTACGGCAGAGTAAATGCGATATTCCAAGAATAGTACCTTTTGAACTCTTGTTTTGCATAATCTTTACTTGAATAACATTATTCTCTTAGTGTTTTTTGAAATAAAATCTTCAATAATATGCTCATAGTTAATCTTCTCCAGCAATCCACTCTCAAGTGCTATCATAGCCAAACTATTAAGTCTTTCTTGTGTCATTGTAGAACGCAAGTATGACTTCAATAGCTTCAACTTAGAAAAGCTCCGCTCTGCTGAGGCAACAGTCACAGGAATGGTCAATAAAATTCTATATGCTATAGACGCATTTGGAAAACAATCATGCCGCTTTAGAAACTTAAGAATTTCAAGAGGACCCATATTTTCTTTTGGAATGAAATCTTGCAGAAACCTCAACTCTGTATATAGTTCATTGGCATCAATATCAGATTTTTCATCTCTTTTAAGCGTTGCTTCAAGATTGTCGCAGGAATATTTCAAGCTCGTATTATCCAATCATCGCAATGAGTCAGCAGTAAATAAGAAACCAAAATTCTTTTGGTAATGCTGATATCGTTCAAATCTCCTTGTAAGCGAAGAAATAGCTTGATCAACAATAGGTATAAAATAGTTGATTCTAAATGATTCCTCCGCGGACTGTGTGGCAACATTTGTGTCATCTGGGTTCTCATCAAATTGTCTCTTTCTTTTAATTTCTCGCTTTTTACGAAATGTTGTGCTGATATCCAACTCAAGTGCAATTCCTTTGGCTGCCTCCAATGCTTGTAAGAAACCAGTTTCTCTATACCCTTTGAAGAAAGAAATAAGCCCTTGCACTTTCTCAATAGCAACATCAATAAGCATATCCTTTGCTTGCAAATGTTTGCTTACTAAATTAATAGCATACAGTACCTCATACCAAATGACAATTGCCACTATAAATTCATATTCTCTAAGTTCATTATTTGCCAAACCTTTAGCCTCACTGCTAGTTTTTACATCATTATCAACATCAGATACCTGAAATTAAAATAAAAATATAAGTTAAATTTTGAGGACAACCAGAGGAAATGTATCGTTATTAATATTTCAATGTAAAATACCTGAAGTAGAGCCTCTCGAATGTCAGCGCATTGAAATCTGATAACTTTAACACTTTCAACACAGCTCTCCCATCGTGTAGCTGACACTGACTTGAGAGTCAATCCTGTTATGTTATCTTTCAGAATCTGCCATTTCTTAGTGGAATTAGCAAAAGTTGTATAAATGCGTTGGATGATTCCAAAGAAGTCTTTAGCTCTACCACAAGTCTTGGCCATATCACAAAGTGTTAAATCAAGGCTGTGGCAACCACAAGCAGACTAGAAAGCTCTAGGATTTACATCCAAAAGTCTCTTTTGCACCCCTTGATGTTTTCCTTTCATATTTGACCCATTATCATAACCTTGGCCTCTCACATCATCTATATCAAGATCAAGACATTTTATTTCATTCTCTAGCACATCAAAAAGTCCTTGTCCAGTTGTATCATTTACATCTAAAAATCCTAGAAAGGATTCTTCTATGGAGATATTATATGAAGATGAATCCACATATCTTATTATTAAAGACATTTGTTCTTGGTGGCTTGCATCAGGAGTACAATCAAGAATGACAGAGAAATACTTTGCTCTCTTTATTTTACTTACAATTTCAGACTTAATAGCAGAAGCAAGCAAGTGTATCAACTCATTCTGAATCTTTGGATCAAGATAATGAAGTAGAGTTTCTTCACTTGTAATACGACGAACATGCTCTTGGATAACTGGGTCAAATTCAGCCAACATCTCTATCAAACCTAAGAAATTCCCATTGGTATCATTGTACCCCTCATTCGCTAATTGACCCTTTCTATGTCCTTTTGTAAATAATTTACAACTGAAACAAAATACTCTACTGAGTTCCTTACAATAGACAAGCCAATCTCTATCGCAATGCTCTCCATTTGATAGAACTCTATCAAACCTAAGAAATTCCCATTGCTATCTTCATATAGTTTGCTGTTAGTACCAAGAAATGCTAGACTATGCTTGGCAAGAAATTTAACAATGCAAACAATTCTGAATAGAACTTTTCTCAAATGGTCCTTTTCTTTCTCAAGTTGTCGCTGAGCGGTTTTGTCAATAGCTTGATCATTTTCCAACCTACTATGTAACTCATACCGAATGGTCATATTCAAAACATGATCTGCACTTGTCTCATGCTCTTTGGTCTCAGCTGTCTTGTGCTTGAAGTATAATCTGCAAGCACTTCCTTGACTATCACTGCCTTGAAGAAAAGAACCATATCATCGGCAAAGAGCAGGTGCGAGACAGCAGGAGCCTAACAACATATCTGAATCGGTGCTAAGACTCCCTATCTTCATTCATTGCCACCGTCACCTTCTCTGTAATTAGGTTTGTAACCTTTGAGTGGTCAGTGTTGGGGTCAGCTGTAAACATCTCCTTGAAATACTCTATTGACATCCGTTCTAACTCCTTTGTCGTAGTATGAATAGTACCCTCCCTATCCCGGAGCTTCATAATTTTATTTTTCTTTGCTCTCCAAACAGCCTTGCTGTGGAAAAAAGGGGTATTTCTATCACCTTCCTTCAGCCATGAGATGCGAGACCGTTGTAACCACATCATCTCTTCTCGATACAGAAGTGTTCATTTGGTCCATTGTCTGACGGATCTCTATATTATCTGCATTTCTTTCCTGCAACAAGGCGAGTTTCTTCCTGATCTTTTCTATTTTCCATGACACATTCTTGAATTTCCTTTTGCTCCAGGTACAAAGAGAAGTCATTACTTTGCTCAAAGCAGACTTAATGCCTCCCAGGGTACTCTTATCTCCAGCACTTTCCCATGAGTCCTTAATAATTTCCGATATAGCCAGTTCTCTCTCCTAGTATATTTCATAATGCACGCACTTAGTGCGCTCTTGGCGAATAGATTCAGGACATAAATTGACCAAGATTGGGCAATGGTCCGATCTGGATGATGTCAGATGTAGGACTTGAGCATTACTAAAAATTTTCCTCCATCCTTCATCAGCTAAAGCCCTGTTAGGGCGTACCCTTACATTGTTTCTCCCCTCTCTTCTGTTATCACAGGTGTATGGCACCCTTGAAAAACCCAAATCATGCAGATCACGAGTTTGTAGCACATCTTGGAAGGATTGCATCTGAGATTCATTCCTTGGTTTCAGAGAAAAGTGCTCAAATTGCCAAAGAGCTTCATTAAAATCACCCACCACCATCCATGGGAGATTGGACACTTGTTTCAGAGAACTTAACAATGACCGCATGTGGTGTCTATTTTCCACTCTAGGTTCCCCATAAACAAGGTCACCCTCCAAATAGGATCATCCAAAGACAAACGCCCATGCACATCGATATATCTTTCATTCATACCTATAATTTCCATCTTAACAGATTCATGCCAAAACAATGCAAGGCCCCCACCGAGGCCATCACTACTAACCCCCACAAAACCTCTCAACCCCAATCTATTACGCAAACGACGAACTCTTTCTTCCTTTTGTCTAGTTTCACTTAAGAATACAATTTGGGAACCTGCCTCTTTCACTAAGGCACAAAGATCACTAACTGTCATGGCGTTCCCGATACCGTGATAGTTCCAAGCTAGACAACTCATTGCTCCTGACGGGACCCCTTCTTAGGTCCTGTCAATTGACCAGCGGCCCCTGGGCCGGTTGCCTCCATAGCTTCCGATCCCATTCCTACCTATGTCTTATGAAATCTCTTCAGGGCTCTAGGCGACTTCCTTGAATCCACCTACACCAAGCTAGAACTCTGTTTGTTGATATTCTAGCAAAGCTTGTTGAACTCTTCCCAGCTTCTAGGGCTCTATCTGAGCCGAAGATCTTTTTTGATTCCCTTCACTAATCTCCTCAGAAGATACATCCCCAAAGGATGGTTGCTTGTATAGATCCTTGATAGCAGGAATCATCTCATAAGCCGGAGGTTTCCCGGTACCATCACAAGTATCTGCCACATATTGATCTTGTTGCCTCCTTGCTGCAACCACTGCATTCTTCTGAACTTCCTCCTCTGTCACGGATAGCTTCCCTGCTTGATCCGCCAATTGATCATCAATCTTGTGGTCTCCCTCCTTTTCCCTGAATTCAAAACCATCATATGCATCTACCCTTGGTAGCACCTCCTCGTTCCACCAATCACATTTTTTCTTCCTCACAAAAGAAGAGCTCGCACTGCCTGCTTCCCGAAAAGACAGATTACGAGCTACACCAGAAGACTGACCCGCCTTTACCTTGCTGATTTTCCTCTCAAAAGGTTTCAAGGGAGAACATCTTAACTCAGCTGAAAACTGAAAAGGTTGATCGACGTTCGATATCCTTCTATCACAATCTTTATCTCAGTGGTCAATAAAACCGCAGATGAAGCAAAAGTGCGGCACCCGTTCATACCGAAGTTCATATCTGTGCAACACCTCCTTACCTTGGACAGAGACTTCAATGGCAATCTGTGATTTCAGAGGATGCTTGACAGATAAATCCACTCGAATTCGAAAGAGATCATGTAAGTTCTGGCCATCCTCCTCGACATCCACCTCGTGAACTTTACCCAGCTTGTTCCCGAACAATTCACCTTGAGCCTTCGTCATCAATGCCAAGGGTAAATCATAAATTCTCACCCAAATCGGCACCACATCAAGAGGAACTTCTGACGGACTTGTAAAACCGTCAAAGTGTGCTACCAGTAGAGCATCCCCTCTATGTATCCACGGCCCCCTTGCAAGACAAATTCATAATATCCCTCTGCCATGAAAGTTACGATGAACATGCTATCCCGCAGCGATTTATAGCTAATGTCCGACCTCAATCTTCAAGCCCTACGCATATCATCAAAGAGAGCTACTTGGTTTGGAATCCTTAACGAGTAGAATCTCGCTAAGATCGTAACGACCTGCTATCTTCACCACCTCCTCCAGATTCACACATAGAGCATCCTCCTCTTCATCATCAACCACTCCCTCTGTAAAGGTTGTCGGTCCCTGCGATGGATTGATATTCGGGCTCTCCTTCGATCTCTTCTTGTATGTCGATGTCTTGTTCGGTCTTTGGATAGATCCTCCTTCCTCCGCCATACCCTCCACCCTTAACTCCCGCCCTAAGATCTCCAAGGCACCCTCACCGCTTCCGATTGGCTTCGGGTGGGAAACCATCTCAACAATGATCCCTTTATCACCCCCACCATCGGCAGCCGCCATGAGGTACCTTGGCGAAACGTAGAGCTCGAAACCTAGATTGCAGATTGATGATCCAAACTTGGGAGACTTCCTGAATCGTACCTTTGGCCACACCAAGCCCTCCGTTTTACACCGATGAAAACCTGAGTCCGGTTCCCACGAAATCTGCCCAGGAATTCCAATACAGATCAGACTTCCTATTATCTCCCTGATTTTCCAAACGATGTAGGCCACCGAATATGATACAGGGAACCCTGATGGAAATTCCATCATTTGAACGCAACTTACTAAACAGGGAACATAGTTTCTTGGCCTGACGATAGAATTCCATCTAGACTTCTAGGGCAGAATCAAGAGAAACGACAGAATCGAACCATCCAACACCGTTGCCAACAGCAGGCGTATACCTTGTAGACTCAAGAGTGGATCGGAGACAATCCCCATCCAAATCCATTGCACAATGTGCGAGACCGCCGCCGTACCACGGTCGCCCGGGCAGCGCCCAAACCCTAACCCTAACATCCGCATAGCAGTCTTTCTAATCTAGTTAGAGCTCAACCAAATGATCTTGACTTAGTGATTTTATAAGGCGTTAACATGTTAAATTACTTGCTCTTGTGGCTTTGTATATTATGAAGTCTTACTTATACTTTGCTGCGATCTTCCAAGATTACTGGTCATAACATATTGTTTTCTATTTGTTCTCTTTTCATTTAATGGCAGGCTGTCAAGGGAGTCTTGCGGAAGCGAGACGATATGGATACCCAGCTTGCAGAGTGCCGAGCTCACCAAGCAGGACTTGAGCAGTCCATTGTTGAGACCAACGGGGCGCTTCGAGACGCTGACCGGCAGCAGGCCGCGGCGCTGGTTCAGCGCAGGCTCGACATGCAGGCGTCCCTCAAGTACCAGGACCACGAGGAGTTCACGCTGGTGAGGGAGCTCCAAAAGATGGCTATTCTCGTTGACAAGTACTACAACGAGATGTGTAAGTTGGACTAATTCATTAGTTTTTGTTTTAATTTAATTTGTAAGAGAACCTTTTAATCTTTGCATGAGAACACACAATTAACAAGCAGCTTTGTCGCTTCCCTTTTGCAGTGGCACTTACCACGTCTGAGCACTGACGGGCTACGGTTAAGTGAGCAAGAGCAAATAGCAACATTAGAGGTAGAATATCTATTTGAAGTGAGTATCTATGTCATCCAAAATAGAATCATATGCATGTTTTTATTGTTGAAATGTTTATCTGATAATGTGAATTCATGTTTTGCAGTTTTCTTTCAGCAAGACGAAGTGACAAGCTACGGTTGAGTGAGCAAGAGCAAATAGCAGCATCAGAGGTAGAACATCTATTTGGAGAGAGTACCTATATCATCAAAAAGGAATCATATGTATGTTTATTGTTGAAATGTTTATTCTGATAACGTGAATTCATGTTTTACAGTTTTTTTTTTCAGCAAGACGGAGTTCAGGATCATCTTTTTTATCAGCAAGACGCACTTTTTTGGGTACTGTTGCTGTGGTGCGATGTCTCTGGGTACTGTTGTGGATGATACTCTGACTCTTGCTGTGGTGCGATATGTCTCGGATGGGATGATACTCTGACTCGGATCTATTGCTGTGGGTGGTGCATTACGGATACTCTGGGCCTGTTTGGCACAGCTCTAGCTCCAGCTCCACCCCTCCTGGAGCTGGAGCTCAGCCAAACAGTTTCAGCTCCACCAAAACTGGGAGTGGAGTTGGGTGGAGCTCTCTCACAAAATGTACTAGAGTTGTGGAGCTGGGTTTAGGCAGCTCCACAACTTCACTCCAGACTCAACTCCTAGAGTTATATTTAGGAGTTGGAGCTGTACCAAACAGGCCCTCTGACTCGACATGTTGTCGCGGTGCTGTAGTGGTGCATTACGGAATACGGATATACTCGTAGTTTCGACCTTGATTGCCGTAGTGCTGCTACTAGTCAGTCCGGTTTCCAGCTGTTAATACAGTGGGCGTTCTTTTCATACAACCTGAAGAAAAGCACGGCTGGTCCACTAATTTTGATCGATTTTTTATGCAACCCCTTTTGATTGATTTTGGGATACTTGATTTGTTGTTATCGTGCATTACAAATTAGTTATTAGTGTAATCACAGTATAATTGCATTACAATTATACTACTATGATTATATTGGAAAGATATTTTTAAGTATTTTTTCTTGAAATCTGTATATAAAACTAGTAAAAAAAGATTTAGAGAGAAAAGACATCTCGGACTTTCTCCAAGCTCCGAAAAAAAAAAGAGAAAAAGTCTATCCTTGTTCCTAGATATATATTTTTTTGTGGGAACTTCTTCCTAGATACTAGTTGATACCCGCTCAGAGCAATAACACTGTAAAGCTGTAAAATCGTGAGGCCATGTCATCTAAAATGGTGAGCCATTCGATCTGACATTCCACGCCATTCGATCTGAACGTTCCAAATTCCACACTCCATAGCTCAGTTGCCAGTCAAGCCTGGCCCAAATTACCCGGCTAGAACAGCCCATCCAGTCCCCATTAGCTGCCATCCTCTCACCGAGCATTGCACGACAGAGCAACCGTCCATGGTGGTGGCAACAGCAATTGATTCTGAAAACGGATGTCATCATTTTCTTTTTGGACAAATATGTTTATACCCCAACTTTCAACTTTAATTATCATTTTGCTCTCACTTTCTAGGGTTTGCGAATTTACCCTTTTTTTTTTTAAACGAAGGCACCGTTTACCCCTACTATGGTTGGCAGTTAGGTGGATCCCCCATATTAAATTAAAGAAATATATAAATAAAAAGGAAAAAATGATTTAGAAGATATTGAATTACCACTCTACCCCTGACCCCCTGGAGAAAATCTGAGTGCCTATCCGCTCTCCTCTTCCCCACCATTCCCATCCCCAAACAAATAAATTTACATGCTCGTCGGAGAAGACACCGCCGCCGCATGCTCTAACTCCCCCTTTTCTCATGCTGCCTATAAATTTACATAATCCCTATGCATCAATATATAGGACCAGTGGTGTTCCATTTCTGTTGCTGCAGTTTGCTCGCTGGAATCATAAGCATCTCTACGCCATCATCTTCTTTAATCACTCCAACAAGCTAGCTAGCACAAGCTATATTAGCCATCATCTTCCTCTTTCCTTTTGGCAAATTGGTCTGATTTTTTTTCTCAAAAATAGGACCACCATTTCAGTTCGTACATGTATTTCAATGTGTAAGCATGCTCCATACATAATTGTAATTGCATTAGTTTTCCAGTTTGGCTATCTCGCATTTTGTTACACCAGTTTTACCCATATCAATTCCTTCTTTTTTACCATATGCATCCCCATTCGTTTACCAGGAACAAATATTAAAATTAATATCTACTCCTACTCTACTATTGATTTACCTCCTTTTCATTTACATCCTGCTACCTCCATTTGATTTACATTACTACACGTGGTCATTTGTATTTAATATAGTTAATATAGAAGTATATTATATATAGCAAATACTAAGCATGCCCTCCAATTTATCTAAGTTAAGAATTTCCTCAGTAACAGGAAGAATGGATCTCCAGTCATCATTCTTAATCATTGTTCTGCAATTTTACGCACATAACATAATTTTACTTATGACTTTATAAAGTCCCACAGCAACGCGCAGATATCACCTAGTTACCATAATTTGTCTCCCCTATATCTTTATTTATTTACTACTCCCTTCGTTTTACAAGACTTTCTAGCATTTGCCAATATACATCTTACATTGTGAAACGGAGGTAGTATTATTGAATGTGCCGCTGTGCTACTCCCAATCTTTAACTGCCGTCGCCGTCGTTGGGCCATTGATCCCGCCGGCGTGCCCTCCTCCCCGGAGGCGGCAGGCGCAGCACTCCACCGCAGCCCTTGGGCGTGGAGGACGGCCTTGAGCTCGTACCAGTCGTTGAGCGCCTTCGTGGACCTCTCCGCTTGCGCCTGTGGAGCTCCTCGATGGCGGCGCACCTCCGGTACATGCGCGCCAGCTCGCTCTCCCCCGGCGGCGCGAGCAGGTCGCGGAGGCGCCGCATCGCCGAGCCGTCGTCGTCCATGGCTGGGGCTTTCTAAATTTTTTTTTCTCTAATTGCTATTGTTGTACCGATCGATCGCTTTGCCTCCTGAGATCCCAACTCCCAACCTCCCGGCCGAATTTGTAGGCAGCCGATGCCCGAGTCCGACGGCGCAATGATCTTAATTTGCGAGTCCCAGTCGGAGTAGAATATATGAGCAAAATTTGGAAGGGGTTAGTTAATTGTACTAAATCCGTTTCGATCTCCTTGAAACCTCCTCCGTGCGGTGGGCATGTAGTTGTCGTTAGAAACCGGGTCGGGTCATGAATACCCGGCTCAGATATTTACATTAATGGGTCATCACTATATATGAACGATTTTTGTTATTCCTTTGTCGCGTGATTTTTTCTTACGCCTCACAAATTTTTGTGGCTGTTAGATGCTTAGCTAGTCTGTTAATTCGTAGAGCCATACTATTTTTTGTTTGCCATGTTTTTATATTTATTCTCAATGAATTAACTATCGTGTCAGTATACGAGTACTTATGAATTTTTACAGTGTTTTTTTATAGCCTATAATGTAATTCTTAAAAATTACATTGTAATTTTTCAAACTTATAGTGTAATTTCTTTGTATCTTACAGTGTAATTTTTAAATTTACAGTGTAACTTTTGAATTGTAAATAAGATCCAGTCTTCTATTTAATGAGGATATGCTAAACATTGTCGCTTAGATAATTTGTGTTGCAAATAGCCTGAATAGAATACTCAAGTGTTCCCTAGCCCAACAATCTTCCGTGGATGCATCGGTGCATTGCAGACCTGCCACTGCCACTGCCACGTAAGAAATAAAAGCCGAGTGATATCATTTAGAAAATGTGTCGAAACATCCTGTCCGTTATTTTGTTTTTTATCCTATGACTGAAAATTCGTGTGAGACCTAAGAAAAAAAAAATATGTCGAAAGATACTAGGTAGTCCCTATACATAATTGTGCCATCCTCATCAACGTAACAATTGTTTTTGAATTTTTTTTCCATACTAGCAAATATGCCCGTGCGTTGCACCGGGTAAATATCAAACAAATATTGATGGGTAAGATTGTTTGTACTTATAACACATGTGCACAAAAATATTGAATTTGTACATATCTCGCAAATATCTCCAAATTTTATACATATGAGTTGTGCAAATCGTGTGAATTCCATATTGTCGTATTGATCTAGAGCATTACTGATGAGCCATCTATGGTGATAAATTTGGAGGGTGTAGCTCAACGAATTTGCATTTGCTATGTATCTCAGTGTTGATATGTCACTACTACAACCATCGGCGACCTTCCCCGGGATTTAAGCCTATAGACCCCGCCAATGTGGCGGCAGTGCAGGGTGCCGAGATGAGCGCCACGGGGCTATTCTTCCTGTCCAGGGTCATCCCCGGCTGTGTGGTTGCTGCGGTGCTCAGGCCGTCGAGGCGAATATGAGGCACCACCCAATGATGACAGGGAGAAGATTAATAAGGCCACAACACTCAAGGACGTGGTGGGCGGTGTCGCGGAGGTGCTCCTGGCAAACAAGCTGGCCACCAGGGAGGGCGTCGATAAGGTGGCGGTCGCCGCTGCGCAGAACGACAGGAGGCATGCCAGTGGCGGCAGGGAGCTAACACGATCCATTCAATCCCGATCCGAGTCGATCAAGAATCCAATCCCGCACTGTGCAGATGTGTTTTTCTTTTCCGCGGGGAAAGCGATCACCGATGGTAGGGACAAAGTGCGTGAGAGAACGCATTCTACAAAGTCCAGGTCAGTCCGGAGCAGGCCAGGAGTCCAGGTTTATTCACAAAGACCTATTCTACGGCCAGGAGTCCATGTCCTTCCACGCCTTTTCCTACTCTGCCTTTTTTTTCTTTCATTGAAACCTTTCGCTATATATTTCTAGTTGTTCCTAGTATCCACACACATAAAACTATATAGATTTCTCTCGCAAGGCAAAAGGCAAAATCTTTATATTTACCTTAAAAATAGAAAAACAGAACACATTTTTTTAATTCTAATTTACAGCAGCGTTGTATTTAGTCATGTCCTATTAGAGAAAAAAATTGAATTTAACGGAAAGAAGGTCGGAAAAAAAAGAGAACAGGGACCAAACAACAGAAGATTTCGTTTGATTGCCTATTCCTTTGCATTGAGAACGGCAGATACTGCTCAATTTTGAAAACTTTTACGTGGGTCCCACGGGCATACATTGAACTGAGATTATACTACTACTACTTTGCTTTTCTGCTGCACGCGTCGACCCTTTCTGCTGCATGCGTCGAAGCCGAGACAACGGCACGTTTCCTCTCGGTCTTCTCGGCTTCCTTCTATCCTTCTCCTCGCGCTCCTCTCAACCGGCGACGCTCTCCCTCTCCGGCACTCCACCTCCCTCTCCCCTATCACGTCTCTTCTCAACAACGAGAGTGAGCGCCGCCTTTCCCGTTTCTTCTCCCACCCACCACGGATCCGGCGGATCAGGCGGCGGCGGCGGCGACGACGACGTTGGTGGCACCCACTGGCGGATCCGGCCGAGGGGATCTGCCTGACGCCGCCGACGTCCCCTCGGCCCGATCCGCCATTGTTGTTGGTTGTGTATTTGTTGTTTGTATATGTGATGATGATGTCATTGCTACGATTGATTTTGGGGTTTTTATGTGATGATGGTGTTGTTGCTCCCGCTCGCCCCTCCATCTCCTCTCATCATCTTTTGATGATTTTGTGATGATTTCGATTTGGGTTTGGATTGAGATTGAGATTTTGTTTTTGGGTTGGATTGGGATGATGTGGGATATCCGTTTCACTTGCGCGAGCGCCATGGCACGGACGGTGATGGACGAAATCGGATTGTGACGACAGGAAAAATCCAAATATTTATATTAGTTATAGATAAATGCTTAAATCCCATGCAAATAACGGGTACGACTGCATCTAAGCGTTAAAAAAAAATGTCCCAGATCAATCGATCGCTTGCTGACGTGGAAGGTAGAAAAAATTGTCCCTAGAACGGCTCGGATTGGTCAGACACACACCCCATAATTACATATTTGCATACGTATATAGCTGCATAATTAATTACATAGTGACATTGAGAAAAAAACTTAAGTAGTTGGAGGGGGAAACTTTTATCTGTTAGGGGAGATTGGTTTTGATAAATTTTGTTTTATCAAGCTTAACTATGTTTATCATATTTTTTTTAAGATCCCAAAAAATAGATTATTGTAGATCATGTTTGTTCTGGCAAGGTGAGGACCATAAAAAGAAATATAGACTAACTAGATGGGACATTATCTGTCAGCCAAAAGATCAGGGTGGTCTTGGTATTCATAATTTGGGAATTCAAAACCAATGTTTACTAAGTAAATGGTTATTGAAGTTAATAAATGAGCAGGGTGTCTGGAGGACCTTTTGAAAAGAAAATGCATTAATAGTAAATTAATAACTCAAGTTGAGAAAAAACATATGATTTCCATTTTTTGTCAGATCTGATGAAAGTTAAGAGTAACTTTCTAAACATGAGTTCCTGGATAAGTAATAATGGTGAACAAGTTAGGTTATGGGAGGATAAGTGGTTAGGAAATTTTTCCTTTAAGGATAGATACCCATCTTTGTATGCTATAGTCAGAAGGAGAAATGATACATTTGCGAATGTTATGAGATCTGTTCCACTTAATGTGTCTTTTAGAAGATCATTAGTTGGTCAGAACTTAGACAAATGGCATAGCTTGTGTGCTTCAATTGTGCATATTGATCTGACAGAAGAAAGTGATAGTTTCAGATGAAACTTTCATCAAAATAGTCAATTCATAGTTCGATCTACTCAAAGGAATTTTTATGTGGTATCTACTTAAAGGAATTGTGTTAGCTAAGGATAATTTGGCTAGAAGGAATTGGGATGGTAATTTAAGATGTTGTTTTTATATGAAAAATGAAACCATCAACCATCTATTCTTCAATTACCATTTTTCTATATTTCTTTGGAGATCGGTTCACATTTCTTTTGGTTCATCCTCCACAAAGTATGTCTCATATGTTCGGGAATTGACTTGTTGGTGTTGATAAAAAGATTAAGAATCTTATTCTTGTTGGAGCATCCGCTTTATGTTAGGCTCTTTGACTTAGTAGGAATAACATGGTTTTTGGTAAATCACCATCAAAATCTTATTGAAGGTACTTTTCAGGGCAACGTATTGGCTCTAGTGTTGGGCTCAATTACAAAAGGTATGAAGAAGATATTAACCTAATTAATGATGCATGTCGTAAACTTGAGCCAACGATTATGCAGCTGGAGGTTCTCAAATAGAATTCAATAGTTGTGGGATCTTTATCTTGTGTTGGTGTCTATTAGTTCGTGCTTGTTTAAAATTTTCATTCTGTGGTTCTAGACTCGTTGTGTGAGTTTGCTATTGTGTGAACTATGTAATAATTGGTTATAACTCGTTTGAGTAAATGCTGAGATATTTTATTCTATTATCTTAAAAAAAACATATAGTTACATGGAGTCAAAGGGTACATTCATGCACATGCACAGTGCAGATCGCGGCCATGTGAAGCTTTCTCCATCGCAAAGCCAAAACCGCCTACACAGAGCCAAAGTAAGACACAGTCCAGCCTCTCACCTCGCCACCACCACCTCTCGTCTACTCGTCTCCTCTCCTTTATAGCCCAAAACCACAAGCTGCACCACACTCTACTTCACCCTCTCTTCTCTTCTCCTCTCCCGTGATCTCGATCGCCATGGTGATCACCACGGCGATGTCGGCTCGATCCATGTCCACGCGCCTCGAACTCCTCGTCGTCTTCGTCTTCATCGTTGCTCCCGCCCTCGCCGCCACGAAGCCGTCCTACATCGTCTACCTCGGCGGCCGCCACTCCCATGGCGACGACGGCGGCGTCATCTCGCCGGAGGAGGCGCACCGCACGGCCGCGGAGTCGCACTACGACCTCCTCGGCTCCGTCCTCGGAGAGTAAGCGCAACCTCTCCCAACTCCATTGATCTCCAGATTCGCTCTTTTGCATGATTTCTCGAGACGCATTTGGTCGAACGACACGCGCGCGTGCGCAAAAATGCAGCAGGGAGAAGGCACGTGACGCCATCTTCTACTTGTACACGAAGAACATCAACGGCTTTGCGGCGAGGCTGGAGGCGGAGGAGGCGGCGGCGGTGGCGGAGCGGCCCGGCGTGGTGTCGGTGTTCCCGGACAGGGGGCGGCGGATGCACACCACGCGGTCGTGGCAGTTCTTGGGCCTCGAGAGGCCCGACGGAAGCGTCCCGCCGTGGTCGCCATGGGAGGCCGCCAGGTATGGCCAGAACATCATCATCGGCAACCTCGACTCAGGTAAACTATACACTGATCAAACATCCGGTGGCTGCTACACATCGAACGTTCGATATTTAGGTAAACTATACACTGATCAAACATCCGGTGGCTGCTACACATCGGACGTTCGATATTTAGCAAAAGATCGGACGTTGTTCATCCACATATCTGATGCATGCAAAAAAAAAACCATCGTAGTTAAGCTGCTATGCTGCAAGCCTATAACCTTCTCTAGTACATGCATACATGTAGTCTCTCTCTTTTATCTTCTCTACCAATAAATCTTTAAACTATTTTTCCTTCTAAATTACTTAGCCGATCTATCATCCGATTTCATCATTGTGTTCGTTACAATTAAATCTTTACAATAAGATCTCACTTGGCTATATTTCTGATAAAATTTGTAAATATGATTATATTACTAATTGAAACATTTATATATTATACGTGAAACAACGAGTTATAATTATTGAAACAGTAGAAAATATTCACTACAACATCCCATGCAAAACGTGCAACATTTATAAATGAATTAGTGAAACATTAGAAAATACTTACTAAAACATCCAATAGTACCACATGCAACATTCATGAATAAACTAGTAAAACATCAGAAAAAATATTTATTGAAACATCAAAATAATGCCCATGCAACATTTTATATGTGTTTTTAGAAAAATCAACCTTTTGTTGCACCATAAAATTATTTTATCACTTGTACCGATAACTCAACCCACTTTAAAAAATGTTTCAGAGCGATGTAACTTATAAAAATTACTAAATGCAACAATAACCACCGTCACATTAAACATTAGGTCCCAACTACTGAAACATAAAAAAAATGATGCAATATATTAGCAAATATTGATTTGTTAAAATTTTATATCATTCTTGAAACGTTAACTTGCAATTTTTGAAAGCTAAAAAAAATTATTTATTGAAACATATAAATAGATCACGTGCAACAATAACTATATAAAAATTACTGGCTACAACAATAACCACCATTACAGGAAACACTAGGTCCTACCTAGGGAAACATAAAAATATATATATGATGCAAAATATTTGCAAATACTTTATTTTGTTAAAATTTTATATCCCTCTTTAAGCGTCAAGTTGTATTTTTTTTGAAACACAAAATATATTTACTAAAGCATATAAAAAGACCACATGCAACATTATATCTGAATTAGTGAAACATGAGTAAATACTTATTGAAACAATAGAATAATATTATGTGATAAAAATCATCGGATTATTATCATGTGAGATCTTTGTTATAAAGAGTTAATTATAACAAATCCAATGGTATAATTAGTTCATAATTCTAATAAATAGTTTAATAGAAAAGATCATTTAAATTTTGAATCCATGTAACTTGCATGCACGCTCCATTGGCTGCATGCACTTGTAATGCACCTGCGCTACTACTACTCCGTTGGGTTGAGGTGTCCGATTTTTCCTCCTTCCTCGGACGTCTGATGATAAGCATTTTCGAAAACGTCCTTAAGTGCATTTGATTTTCGAATGGGAAAGTTACATATACTGTGTAACATGGTCATTTTTTAAATCTAATTCCGTCTGATTTTGTGTTTGACATTCAGGCGTGTGGCCTGAATCGCTGAGCTTTAATGACCGTGAGCTTGGTCCGATCCCAAATTATTGGAAAGGAGCTTGCCGGAATGAACACGACAAAACGTTTAAGTGCAACAGGTAATTTTATGTTACAAATCTACTCCCAAGTATGAATTTTCTTTATATTTCTTTCAATTTTGGTAAAAAAAACTATTCAAAAATGTAACTGTCGCAATAAATTTAGTGGATTTTTTCTTCAAGAAAAAGGGTTGAATTTCCGGAGTTTTTATTCCTATTTTTCCACCGATGTACACTTTCGGTGGCGAAAAAAACAGAGTAAAAATAATTTTGAAAAAATTTAACAAAATGTAGGCATATATGAATTTTCTCCAAAGGATATATATTTGATTCATTTTTCGTGTGCGTGCGTGTGTGTGCAGCAAGCTCATCGGCGCTCGCTACTTCAACAATGGCTACGCGAAGGTGATCGGCGTCCCGCTGAACGACACGCACAAGACGCCGCGGGACGCCAACGGCCACGGCACGCACACGCTGGCCACCGCCGGCGGGTCGGCCGTGCGCGGCGCCGAGGCGTTCGGCCTCGGCGGCGGCACGGCGAGGGGCGGGTCGCCGCGGGCGCGCGTGGCGGCGTACCGCGTCTGCTACCCTCCCTTCAACGGCAGCGACGCGTGCTACGACTCCGACATCCTCGCCGCCTTCGAGGCCGCCATCGCCGACGGCGTGCACGTCATCTCCGCCTCCGTCGGCGCCGACCCCAACGACTACCTCGAGGACGCCATCGCCATCGGCGCCCTCCACGCCGTCAAGGCCGGCATCACCGTCGTCTGCTCCGCCAGCAACTTCGGCCCCGACCCTGGCACCGTCACCAACGTCGCGCCATGGATCCTCACCGTCGCCGCGAGCACCATGGACAGGGCGTTCCCGGCGCACCTCGTCTTCAACCGCAACCGGGTGGAAGGCCAGAGCCTCTCCCCGACATGGCTGCGCGGGAAGACCTTCTACACCATGATCAGCGCCGCCAACGCCGCCGTTCCCGGCTACCCGCCCGCCGACGCGTAAGCAAAACACACACACACACACACCGATCAACTCTCGCCGCCGCCGCCGCCGCCGCCGCCGACGCCGGCGTCGAACACTAACCATCTCTGTGGATGGATGCCAATGTCACAGCCTGCTCTGCGAGCTGGGAGCACTGGACGGCAAGAAGGTGATGGGGAAGATCGTGGTGTGCATGCGAGGAGGCAACCCGAGGGTGGAGAAGGGCGAGGAGGTCAGCCGCGCCGGCGGCGCCGCAATGATCCTCGTCAACGACGAGGCCTCCGGGAACGACGTCATCGCCGACGCGCACGTCCTCCCGGCGGTGCACATCAACCATGCCGACGGCCACGCGCTCCTGGCCTACATCAACTCCACCAAGTAATCAAACAACACCGTTTCTTTCCAAAGATCAAATTTACGAGTCGAGTTCTTGATTTGTTCGAGCTGAGCGGAAGGTGTTTGTGAAAATGAAGGGGCGCTAAAGCCTTCATCACGAGGGCGAAGACGGTGGTCGGCGTTAAGCCGGCGCCGGTGATGGCGGCCTTCTCGTCGCAGGGGCCGAACACCGTCAACCCTGAGATCCTAAAGGTGAGAAACTTTTCATGGCGAGAGCTCGACGTCGCGCCGCGCGCACACGAGGTAAATCTTTTTGTATGCGTGGATGCAGCCTGACGTGACGGCGCCGGGGGTGAGCGTGATCGCGGCGTGGAGCGGCGCGGCGGGGCCGACGGGCTTGCCGTACGACCAGCGGCGGGTGGCATTCAACGCCCAGAGCGGCACGTCCATGTCGTGCCCGCAAGTGTCCGGCGTCGCCGGCCTGATCAAGACGCTCCATCCGGACTGGAGCCCCGCCGCCATCAAGTCCGCCATCATGACCACCGGTGAGAAATTCTCTCCTCACGACGCCGCGCGCCGGAGACGACGAACTCATCATTATTTATTAGAGATTTGCTCCGATCCAACAAAAAGTACCTCAAGGTACCGGTACCTCACGGTATCAAATCGTTTCCGACCATTAGATCTAACAATGTCCATCCTGCCTATCTAGATTCAACGATCGAAAACGATTTGGTATCGCGAGGTACCGATATGACCGGACTAAATCTCTACTCCCTCCGTCCCAAAATAAGTGCAACCATAGTTTTCCGTGCCTAATTTTGACCATTCGTCTTGTTTGAAATTTTTTTAAAAAATATTAAAAACATAAGTCACGAGTAAAGTACTATTCATGTTTTATCATCTTATAACAACAAAAATGCTAATTATAAAAAAATTTCAAATAAGACGGACGATCAAAGTTAAGCGCGGAAACTTATGGCTGCACTTATTTTGGGACGGAGGAAGTATTTATTAAGCTAGCTGACGAGCCGTTTGTCATGGGCAGCGACGGAGCTGGGCAACGACATGAGGCCGATCATGAACTCGTCGATGTCGCCGGCGACGCCGTTCAGCTGCGGCGCTGGGCACGTGTTCCCGCACCGCGCGATGGACCCGGGCCTGGTGTACGACCTGACCGTCGACGACCACCTGAGCTTCCTCTGCACCATCGGCTACAACGCGACGGCGCTGGCGCTCTTCAACGGCGCGCCGTTCCGGTGCCCCGACGACCCGCTCGACCCGCTCGACTTCAACTACCCGTCCATCACCGCGTTCGACCTGGCGCCGGCGGGCCCGCCGGCGACGGCGCGGCGGAGGGTGAGGAACGTCGGCCCGCCGGCGACGTACACGGCCGCCGTCGTGAGGGAGCCCGAGGGGGTGCAGGTGACGGTGACGCCGACGACGCTGACGTTCGAGAGCACCGGCGAGGTGAGGACGTTCTGGGTGAAGTTCGCCGTGAGGGACCCCGCGCCGGCGGCGAACTACGCGTTCGGCGCCATCGTCTGGTCGGACGGGAACCACCAGGTGCGGAGCCCCATCGTCGTCAAGACGCAGGAGAGTTGATCATCAGGGGGACGCCATGCCCATGCGCCATGGCTGGAGGCCTGGAGCTTGGATTTATTATTATTTTTTGGTTCTTTTTTCTTTTTTTTGGTGTCTCAGATTAGGCTTTAGTTAGCAAGAACACTGAGAGAAGTAGCTAGGAGGTTTTGATTAGGACATAAATTTCAGTCATCGGTTTAATAAACAGCAAATATCAGGTTGAGAATTTTTCATATAGTTATTATATTTGTCTTAGGTTGATGCTAACATCCAAAATGTTGATTGCTGCTTATAAATAATTTTATTTTATTACACAAAAAATAGGCACAGATACATTCAAGTTTTTCACATAAAAGGACTGCAAACTTTTCTCTTTTTTTTCAAAAATGTAACTGAAATAGGAGCACATGAACCAAAGTGTATTGTGTATCCGGGAAAAAAAAATGCAATGTCAACCTTTCATCTGATCATTCCCTTAATCCCTTCCCATTTCCATGTTAGCTTGATCAGGAATATTCCAATTCCTACCAGATCTCCTACGTGTACGAGAGCTCCATGTCACTGACAGGTGGGTCCCAGGTCTCCCTCCTACCTATGATTCTCCTAGCTCTGACCAGAAGCAACAGAGCAAAAAGAAAGCTCTAGAGATCCAAGCCAAGAGCCTCGCAAGAATCCAATCCAATCATTTCTCCCTCGCTTGCAGTCTTTGCTGCTTGCTCCAGGAATCGAGACCCCATCTGGCGATCTCTCCTCTTCTTCTCCTAGCGCCGGCGCTTCGGTTCGCCTCCTGATTTCGAAGCTTCTTGGGATTTTTCAAGCTGATTTTCGTTTCGAAGGAGGCAGGTTCTTGATTTCTTCATTTCACTGCGAATCCGCGATGCTAGCTTAGTGGTTTCTGTGAATATCTGTGGTTTGTTCGCTCTCAATCCTTTCTGTTCGGTGGACTGGTCGATCTATTTCTACCCGGTGGAAGAAGATGACTTAGATGAGGGTTGCTCGATCCCCCAAGGGGCAAATTTCCTTCTCTCTCTCTCTCTCTTTTCTCTACTATTACTGCATTGATGCCGTAATTTTGGGAAGAAAGTGATATGCTGTTCTTGACCATTGTCGTTAAAATTTGCCTATTCTTAGCAGCGTTGAGGCGCACCTGGAGGGGAGTGTTTGGTGGCAGCTGCTGAAATGAGTACCAGCAGAGGTAGTGCTGAGCTTGAGACTTTGTCATTTCCTCTTCCGCTTTTTTTTTTCATTTTTATCGCAACGCGTGTGCTCTTGCTACTTGAGCGCGGCTGCATACTTGCATTTGAGGGACATGTGCATTATATATTATGAAAGTATTTCTCGTGATGAACCTAAAACCGTACTAACATTTATCTTATGATGTTAAACTGTATAATTCTAGATGTTTATAGTCAAAGATACAAATGTTTGACTTAGGGAAAAGCTAGTACGACCACTAATTTGAAAAGGAGGGAGTATATATGTGGAGGACATATATGGTGAAAACGAGCTTAGTGTTGGAAACTTGTGAAAATTATACCTAAAAGTTTTGTAAATTCATGAAAAAATTACTAGAGATAGGTACAGGTATGAAATACATTATCACCAAATCTCAAATCCAAACTCAACTTTGTTTAAGAGAAATAAAAAAATACAAATTTGGGGTGAATAGTGTCATGTTACTATTCACCTGAAATTTGTCTTTTTTGTTACTCCTAAATGAAGTTGAGTTTGAACTTGAGATTTGGTGAGAATGTATTTTATATTTACACCTCTCTTTAGTATTTTTTTTATGAATTTACAAAACTTTTATGTATGATTTTCACGAGTCTCCAATACTTGGCTCGTTTTCACCGGATATGTCCTCATATATGTGAGTTAGTAACTGCTGTTCATCAGAAACCCTAAAAAAAAAGAAGAAAATTTTGATTTTGTATCTGGTACTCAAGCCAGCAGTTCTGTTCATATCGATTGTGTTGTGTTGTATGATGGGCTCAAGTTTCAGTGCTTTCGTGCAGATAAGATGAGAAAGCTCAAGGAGCTGCTGCACAAGAGTGAAAACCGAATATGTGCTGACTGCAGCTCACCTGATCCCAAATGGGCGTGAGTGTTTTATCTTCTGTGAGCAACATGGTTTGTTTACTCCTTTTAAATTAACTATGTGTTTTTTCCTATACAGATCAGCTAATATAGGAGTTTTCATATGCCTAAAATGTTCTGGAATTCACAGAAGTCTGGGGACGCATATTTCAAAGGTTTCACTCGCTGCAACTAGAAAAAAAAAGTTATTTGACCTTCTTGATGAATCCATGATATGATAACAATGATATCCATATTTTAGTAAGATTTAGAACAACCATGGGCTGGTTAGTTTAAACTGCAAAATGATACGAGGAAATGTGTAACATTTTTCAATATTGCTAGAGGCAATACAAGCTTAAATGAATTTTCTGGTTGAAATCAATATCCACTTGACACAGGTTCTATCAGTCACTCTAGATGAGTGGACTGATGATGAGATTAACTCCATGCTAGAAGTCGGTGGAAACTCTTACGCCAATGCAATCTATGAGGCATTTCTTCCAGGAGGCTATCACAAGCCACATCCCGATTCTAGCCAGGAAGAGAGAGCAGATTTCATCAGGTGCATTTATGAAATACACATCAGCCATTTTTGTTGATTGTACCCATGAGTTGCTAGGTTTAGTTTTCAACAACATATATCTAGCTAGTCATTCAATTTGAAATGTGCGAAGCTTTTTTTTTTCCTAATCACTTGAAGTAATTTTATCACTCATACTTTTTTTTGATGGTTTATAAAATTTAATTACTGGGGCAAGCCAGTAGTGTTTCCCTTTAAAATAAGTAATTTTATCTGTATAAGGCTGTCTCATACAATTAAATTTAAATAGCTTAAGTTGATGACTTCCATAGCGGAGTAAACATTGAACAAAGTTAGTTTTGTAATATCTCAGGTCAAAGTATGAGTTGCAAGAATTTCTGAAGCCAAGCCTGAGGATAGTTTCTAACAAGAGCTCTTTACAGGCCATGGACTCTAGAAAAGATATTGGCAATGCTTCTAATTCTTACAGCTTCAAGAGTGAGGTAACGCCATCCCATAATTACTAACTTGGTTGCACAACACTCTCAAATACAATATGATTAGCATTTCAAATACATTTTCATCCATGTGTTTTGCAGGCTGGTATGGTTGAGTTCATTGGAATAATAAAGGTTAAAGTGATCAGAGGGACTAAACTAGCTGTGAGAGACATTCTAAGCAGCGATCCTTACGTTGTGCTGACCCTTGGACAACAGGTATGCCTTTCACCAAATGGAGTAATGTCACCTATATTCCTTTCAGGGTTGATAACTGAATTACTTATGTGCAGAAAGCAAAGACTAAAGTAATCAAAAGCAATCTGAACCCGGTTTGGAACGAGGTGCTTACACTGTCGGTTCCTCAGAAATACGGACCTCTGAAACTTGTAAGTCATCCCCACTCCATATCACCAGCTTCAGAACCATAAAACTTTCAGAAAACTCGCAATTGTTACACCGACAACGGCATATTAATCTCGCCACAATCTTTACATGCTCTTCCATTGACAATGACCAGCAAGTGTATGATCATGACGTGCTATCGAGGGACGACATCATGGGGGAGGCCGAGGTGGACCTGCAGCCGATGATCACCGCCGCTATGGCGTTCGGTGACCCCGGGCTGCTGTCGGACATGCAGATCGGCCGGTGGCTCATGTCGCGCGACAATGCGCTCGCCAGGGACAGCGCGGTGAGCGTCGTCGGCGGCAGGGTGAAGCAGGAGGTCTCCCTGAGGCTGCAGAATGTGGAGTGCGGAGAGGTGGACCTGGAGCTGGAGTGGATTGCTCTCAACCAGTAGAGACTTCTGGCTACATCAGTGTGATCTTCCTCCTTTTTTTAAAATTATTTTTCGTAACAAAAATTAACACTCTTAGCGTCTGCACCAACTATGAATGCGCAACTAAAATGTTGGCTTTTATCCCGATGTATGTTACTGGATTTTGGTGTAGCCTTTGTGTTACTGAAATTGTTGTAGCCTGGGTGATGGTCTTCCTGGACTGTGGTGTCCAAAATGGCAAAATCCATGCTGAACTTTCTCAACTTGGTTGAATTGTACGTGATTTTGCTTATTGTAACTACAGTTGTTTGGTTTAACGGCACAATCATAGCTTTAAATAGTACAAGATCACAAGTGTGATATTCAGTTTTATGTCGTGGTTTTGGCACGAGTTTACGGCAAAAACGTTGTTAAATATGTGATCCGAATTTTGGGCCTACAGTATATTCGGATTAGTTATCTAATAAGACTCTACTTTATAGGATTAGTTTCCTATTAGTATATCCCTTGTAAGCCGCACGGGGAGGGTGCGACAGCCCAATATATCCCTTGCGTTTGTATCCCATTTCTCTATAGTGATCATTGCCGGTCGGCGCCTGTGGTTTTTTTCCGCAAGGGTTTTTCACGTTAAATTCGTGTCTCCGTTGTGCATCTATTTTCATAACAAACGTGGGTGGCAAAGTCAGGCTTGAGCCAATTTTCTACATGAATCAGGTCCGCAAACATGGCCGTGTTTGGAGAAGCTTTAGCAGTAAAGCTTCTTTCAGAGCCTTACGGTTACTCATATTTTCTAATAAGCCAAAAAAGTTTTAGAGAATAAAAATTATTTTGTAGGTAAAACTTTTATATATTTGTTCGTAGCGACTTGAAAGCCAACTCTAAAAGGATTATGTTAAAAATATCTTAAAATCAAATTTAAAATCGAATTAAAAAATTCAAATTTTGGCTTATTAGGCCAACTGATGAGGCTCTGAAATATCGAGCTCTGCGGACAATCTAGGTTCTTTCATCTTTTTTTTTCTTTTTTTGTTAAAAAAAACAAATTCTCACTGACTCTGCTTACCATCTGTTTTTGGGAATCTCTGTCCAAATAAAGGCCTTTGGCTCATCTCTGATGCAATCATACACCGTCCAAAGTAACTCCAGGCCAAGCAGATGACGCCACGTGTCCAACCCCCAATCTGACTGACTCACACGGGTGTTGGCTCTTCACTTGTCCTGAACCCAAAATAACTGACGAATCCAAAGCTGGAAGACACGAAAAAGGAAGGAAAGAAACCTAAGCCCATCGGAAATCTCTCCTCCTCCCAGCAAAGAGGAGGTGGTGGAGATCTCCCAATCCGCGGGAATCACTCGCTGTTCACCCCGATTCGGCCTCCGCTCGAGCTCTGAATCTCGGGAGCTCCTGATCTGGGTGCGTGGTCCTGTCCATTGCTGCTGGGTTCTTGGCGAATTTAGTTGGGGATTCGTTGGTTCTTGGGGTCAGTTTAGGTTCTCCGGGTTATAGACTTTGCTTGCGAATTGCTTCGGGTGAAACTGCTTGCTGGATTTTGTAGGGGAAATCCTTTGTTATTGCTGCAGAAGAGAGCGCCATTTGGGGAAATGCTCGTTACATTTATGTTTACTTCGGCGATTTTTGAGAGGCTCGAGGAAAGCTAGATGTGAGTGTGCAAATAGGGTTGAGTTTCTCATATATCGTGTTGATTGTATTGTGTGATAAGTAGGTTTTGGCAGCTGTTCATTTTTTCCAGGATAGATTCGACTCCAACTCCGCATCTGCTTAATCATTCTTAGGAAAAATGTAATGCTGTTTCTTTGATTTGGAGTGTGTATGGTTATCCCTAGTTTTGTTAGAGAACTTATATTGCCCTTGTTAATACTCTGCTAGTTTGTGTGCTTGGGACGTCCTTATTCCCCACAAATTCTGCTGTCAATTGATGGAGGCATTTGATGTAGTATAAATCTCTGACTAGTGCAAAGAAGCATTGCTTTGAAGTGGCAAAGGTATTACTGTGGACTGTTATTGAATCCCATAAACTTAAGTGGCAACATAATTGTTGAAGCTTTGGTTCTAACAACCACAAGGATAAGTGTTAGGAACATACTAGCATATGGTGTCTTGTTGCACAACTCTCCTGCGCGTTCGAGAAAAAAAAAATTATGGTCCTTATGTAAAGAGACAAAATGCAGATATCCTGTTTGGTAGAAGTTTGGCACCATTCCATACAACAGCTGCCACAATTATTTCACCAATATGACTTTATCTCAACCTGCAGGCATACATTCATTTTATATTTTAGTCTGCCATTGCCAGTGCAGAACTATCTTGTGTGTGCATTATATGCTGGAGAAAGGCTTCACCAGTAGTAAAAGTTCATTACACTTACCATTCAAGCACAGACATGGCACATGCTAAGGAAATCGAAAACATTAGTTCCTATTTTCACTTCATATGGCTCCTTATACCACTTTTTTGTGCTATGGTGGAATATTGTTTTAATGTTTTGTGAAGATGAGTATTTGATCTTCTTACCTTATTTCACAGCATGGTAATTCAGTTTATATATGTCTTGTGCAGAGGATGCCAAATGTATGAACCAAAGCCCTTCTCAAGCATTGTACTAGCTCACAACGATCCAGTTTCCCACAATCAACAAATTGAACGTATTAACAACAATGTAGTATCTAATAGTGGTGGGAACAGCTCAAACAGCAACTTTGCCGCCAGACAGCGCTTACGGTGGACTGATGACCTCCATGATCGTTTTGTGGATGCTGTAACACAGCTTGGTGGACCCGACAGTAAGTTACTATGCCTGCTTAATTACTTTTCTCCTAGTACAAAAAATCCTGTGCTTGCTCTCCATTAAGTTTTTTGTTCACAAACCCTGTGATGCTAAATACATTTATGCTAACGGACTATCTTTCAATTCTTATTTCAGGGGCAACTCCGAAGGGAATTCTTAGAATAATGGGTGTTCAAGGGTTGACCATCTATCATGTCAAAAGCCATCTGCAAGTAATTGAGCTTGAGATTCTCAATACCTGCATATAGTCTATTCTCCAGCTTATGTTCTAGACTTTACTGATTGAATTGCTTGTTTCTTCAGAAATATCGGCTTGCTAAATACATTCCAGATCCCACAGCTGATGGTACGTAATTGCTGTTGTGGAACATAAGAGTTTGATATAGATGTTACAATTTTCAAGTTAAGAAATAAGGATTTAATTTGTGTAGGTGCCAAGTCTGACAAGAAAGATCTCGGAGATTTGCTTGCTGACATTGAAAGCTCCTCGTAAGTTATTTCTCCTTCCTTCAAAAAAAAATGCATGTTGGTATGTATCTGGAGCCTATGTGCTCTTCTAGTAGTTGTGAACTTCCACTATCTTTTCCATTCACTTAGCTGTTTGTGTCCATGGGATTTGATGGGTTCCTCTTAAGAAAAATAAAAAAAATCTAATTCTATTGCCATATTCTACTAGCACAACAGTCTGGTACAATTTGACGTGGAGCCGCTCCACACATACCTATATGGTCATCCTCTGTCGCATAAACTTTTACTTCTCCAACACTGAATTTAAGTATTCATTCACAAACTATTATTATTCTAATTGTGAGTTTAGATCTCCCAGCACCACATAGGTATGTCCAGTAATGGTGAGAAAGCATAGCTATTACCTCCATGAGGAATTAGCCCCATGACACGTGACCATGAGGACTTCCTGGTTCATCTTCCGTTCGCATTCATCACCCTAAATAAATTCTAAGGTTGCCTCATTTTGTACTTCATAGCATTGCATGTACATGCCAACCAATTATTATTTTCTTTTTTCTAATGATAAACCTGTTGTTTATGCTGATAAACTGTTCTGAATTTTCCTTCTTCTGATCATTGTGGTTAAGCAATACAAATGGAAAGCGTCTAGCTCCATAGGTCTGTAGCAATATAGGTTATCCATTTAGGGCATAGAGCATTGAAAATATTTCTGTTGTGCAGAATTTTCAGATAGCAATGCACACTATGTGCATGAGAACTTCTAAAGTTGAAACTAACTGCATCACGTTGCTTGTTTACATGCATATCACAAATAAATTGAACAGCTGAAATGATATGCTGCTGCATTAAAGAAACATAAATACAATATGCACTTTTTCTGTTTTTCGTTATCTTGTTTCCAGGCATCCATTCAATATTGTTCAACAAATCTGTACTTATTGATGTAGTATTCGAAGTAGAAAGTTCAATTTTGCATTGTCTAGTTTAAATGCATCCATCAGATACTACTTAGCAATTCTTTACTCCCAGAAATCTTGTTTAAGGATCGAGTAGCCAAAGTAGGATGTTGAGTTCTTAACAAAGCATACTTATATATGAAGGGGAATGGAAATAGGGGAGGCTTTAAAGTTGCAGATGGAGGTGCAAAAGCGGCTACATGAACAATTAGAGGCAAGTTGCCTTTCGGGCACCTTCTTTATGTCTGACTTCATGTTTGTACTTCATCTCAATTCTGCATTTCTGCTAATGCTGTCAAATAACACGTGTCCTTTAACATTGTGTTGTTTTCTCTATTGGATCGGATAGTCTAGTTTTATTAAATTGCTTACAGACACGCTGCTTCTAACCTCGTACATGGATATTGTTAAAAAATTATATAAGCTCTTTCCTGTAACTAAAAACAATTCTATACAGTGACATCTTCTGTTTATGTTTGACTTCTCAACTGTACTGCTTCAAAATAATGTAACTAGATTTGTTTCATCTATGCATTATTTCAGTCATCAGGTGTTTTCACTGATAGTGCCAAACAAGATTTGATAACGCAGAACATGTCTACAGGTGCTACTCTTTCCAATTCCAGAGAATGTAACTTACTGCTCTTTCAAAACATGTCTACAGGTGCAAAGGCAGCTACAGCTCCGGATAGAAGCCCAAGGAAGGTACCTCCAGAAGATCATTGAGGAGCAGCAGCGGCTCAGTGGTGTGCTGGGTGAATCAGGCAAGTTAGGCGCCCTGGGACCAGCTCCAGGGGAGCCATACCAGGATTCCAACAAAACCGACCCCTCGACCCCGGTACCGACTTCCGAATCCCCAATCCGCGACAAGGCTGGAAGCGGCTTGTTCAAGACCATTTCTTCGCACGACGACTGCCGCGAGCCTTTGACACCGGACTCCAGCTGCCGTGCCGGCTCCCCTTTGGAGAGCCCCCCCAGGGCTAGCAAGAGGATCCGGGTCAGCAGCGACATTGATCATCGTGGGAACAATGAGTTCCCCCCTCCTCTCAAAGTTCCGGAGCCAAGTTCAGGTTCAGATTTCCGACAGGAAAGCTCAGTGTTATTATCATCCAGCGCAGTGCACTTCGATTCTTTGGAGAGCCTGGATGCAGATGAAAATGTCTTCACCAATGGTTCAGGCAGTGATGATTGATTTTTCATCTGTGTAGGGGCAGGGCAGTGATGTTTAGAGGACTTGCTAGTTATCTCTTCAGTAGAGCTGTTGATCTTAGTGAGGCTGTAATGCTGTAAACCCAGCCATGACTGTTAGTTGTTATCTACTGTTCAGTGCATGTTTGTAGCTTATACTTATTCAATCAGAGATGTGCAGTGTGCACATCACTTTACAGTTCATGTAGGTCTGGAAATGTAGTAAGGTGAGAAGAACATAAAGATATGATCTTATTTTCGTTGAGCATGCAACTGAATTATAGCATTTCTCCACATCAAGTCCAGGATATTGGTAAGTACAACCATTAGAATTACTGTACAAGTTCAGATCTATCTGTCATGGAACTCTTTAAATTTGTAAGCATACATGGAGTCTTCAGGCATGTTAAGATATTCTACTAGGATCATGTTGAATCATCCTATAAGATAATACACAATATCAACGATCAACTAATCAACATCATATGCTCCAGTTGTCATTACCACCAAACTTTATAACCTCCTTAGGCTGGCCAGGTCCTAATAATTGAACAACTTATCTTCACGAAATTCATTCATTGTCGTCCTCATTTTCGTCAATCCCAACCCAGCGAGTGAATGCAAACAGAAATTCTTTGAAGGTCACCATTCCATTCTTGTCCCAGTCCATTTCCTCTGGTGCCATGCAAAAAAAGAAAGTGTTACATGTTAGGACTTAATTCTGAAACTGATGGGAATTGTCAATCTAGAAATTTTTAGATTACTATAGAGAAATAAAAAACGTGGGACAAAAATATAATTTATTCATAACATGTACATCTAAGGGCATACAACTAATTGTTTTCGCCCTAAACTCAGAGACCAGAGAGCTGGAGAACAAGCGACTTACCAAATCTTTTCATGGCTATACGCCCAGAAGAGCGTTCCCCTGTTGCAGTCTCATTCATTGATTGAACCATCTCTTCCTTACTGACATATCCATCTTTGTTCTTATCCAAAAAAACAAATGCATCAACCAAGGTCTCAAAAGTTGCCTCAAGATTTCCTAATCCCATCTTAATCTTCTGTGCATTATGTCAAGGAAACAGAGAAGCTCCTGGCAGAAATGAGTTAAGACAGATCTAAAATAGGATACAGGTACAGAAAGTTACTAAGTATCCTATCCATCTAATAAACATTACTCCAATCAGATTTACATCGTAATGAAAGATTGAAGAAAATAGAACAGTAAATAGTAATGTATCATTTTTGCAATACCTAACCTATATGCTAACCCAACATTGCTCTGCAGCAATGCTTATTAAGAAAAGGATACTGCTTCTGACACAGCTGGTTCGTTGAGCAGATAAATGAGGCACAGAAAGACGATGAACTCATTGAACTTCATGCCCATGTCTTCATTTATATCACAAGCTTCAAAGAGGTCATTTATCTCCTCCTCTGTGAATGAAATTTCCAACTTTTGGAAACAATGCTTCAATTCTTGTTTATCTATTTCGCCATTGGAATCTTCATCTGAGGAGCAAAAAAGGTTGTTTTTGATATATGAGTGAGAAGCTGTTTGTTTGCACAAATCAGTAAATATTTGAAAGACGACATAACCATTTATATAATACAACTCATGCTGATAATGTATCATTATTGAAATTCAACAGTCCATGACAAGAACCTTATGAAACAACAACAACAACACTACATATTTATTTCTGGTAAGGATTTCATTGTGTACAGGAAAATAGAATATATCGGTCCGACAGTCCCTATGTTTTCCTTTCAAACTATTTCACCATTGTATAGAAGATCTCTACTGAATCTCACTAGCAGTGAGATCCAAAAGTAGGAGATAATCAGGTAATTAGACAATGATTGGCATGCAGACAGCATGACGAATCTCACCGAATTGCTCGAAGATGATCTTGCATTTCCTCAAGCTCTCATCGATTTTCGGAAACTTCATGATGATGCTATCGAACGACTTGAGTGAAGTCCCGTGCGACGCTCTCTGCTGCATGGACTCCACCATCTTCGTCTCGAGCTTCGAGCCGTGAGAGCTCCTCTTCATGGTGTCATGGCGTCCAAGGATGCCACCCATGCTGGCACTTCACTCGGCTGTCCTAGCTGGACAAGCACCAAACAACAGTTGTACCTGAAACAAAATTAACAAATAGTTGTGGCTCATCTCATCTCTCATGCATGGGACAAGTTGGCAAACTGGTTCAGAACAGCATGATAATATAAATTGTGCAAGTTGTAGCAGCAGCCGACACAATCAAGCAATCAGCATGAAGGGCCAGAACCAAACTAAAGTACCAACTCACCTAGTCTGATTAAATTCAGAATAATACGAATTTTACTCTTTTCTTTACACTAGAAGAAGAGACGGTCTGATCGCTACCATATACTCGTAACAATCAACTACAGACAGAGAGGGTTCACCATCATGAACAGTGCAAGAACAGTGCAGAAAACAACAAGGAGAGTACATGGAAACAAAGATCAACAAGGAGAGTACATGGAAACAAAGATAAGGTATAAGGAAATCCATCGAATCCCTGTGCGCCATGAAGAAAACCGGAAGCCCCTTTCCTTCAACCTTATCATACACCCAGGCACCCAGCTACTCAGCTCCCCCCACACCACACACATCTCCCAAGAATTAATCCACCAAAAAGAAAACAAGCGGATACGAGGTGAATCGTGACCAAGAACAACAATCCAATCCCACCCACTATCCGCCAAGCGACGGAGAAGAGAAAGATTGCAAGAAAAGAACCTTTATCTTTGCTTTGCCTGTGTTTCGCCGTCGCCGGCGGCCCAGATCGGAATCGGCGGCGAAGGAAGGGCAAGGTGGGATGGGTGGTAGCTTCGATCGAGGGCAAAGAGTACCAAATTCTTCTTCCCTCTCGGCTGGCCGCGCTGAAGCCGCAAGAGAGAGAGAGAGAGAGAGGGAGGCTTTTGTTGTTGCTTTCGACGAGGCGGCTGATGAGAACAGCGCAACGGCGGCAGGTGCCGATGCGATGTTGGGGGGGAGGTGTGGGGTCGCTGGCAGGTGGGGCCCAGGTGTCAGGATGACTGTTGACCTCGGCTGGTGGTGGGTCGTTGGTGACTTAACTTACGGGATATGCGGTGTAAGAAACGAAGGTACTGGTTGGGAGCTTAAAATACTGAGAAACAACTAATTTAATAACTAGTTTTTAAAAATTTTAAAAAATAGGTTTTTCAGCTTCTGGCTTTTAAATTATTTTCTGAATTATACAACTACAGCTTCTTAAAATTTGGACCAAAAGCTGAACGGTTTTGGGGAGCTTCTACTTCTGGAAGAAGTTGCAGCAGCTAGAAGCTCCCCCAACAGGCTCTTAGATACTCATAAGAATTTAGAGAAGCTGGTAAACTTAGTTTTCAGTTCTTAGTTTATTTTCTGGATTTTATAATTATAATTTCTTAGAATTTTGGTGAAATTTTAAATTATTTATTAGTGGCAGTTGTAACTAATAGAAGAATCTTCCACTGGCAGAAGTTTTACAAATAGGCCCTTAGAATGAGATGACGCCACGCCGCTGGTCTCGCTGGGACGCTTGTCTTGCTATCGCTGACTTTGCTTTCTTTTTCTTTGCGTTTTCCTTTGTCACGATTCAGATTTTCTCGGGGATACCTTGGCGATGTGCACGAATGTGCGCTCCTCGACGTGTCAAATCCTTGCTTTACTTATGATTTCTTATAGAGGCCGAGTTTATTTACAAACTTTTTCTTCAAACTTTCAACTTTTTCATCACATTAAAACTTTTCTACACACATAAACTTTCAATTTTTTTGTCACATCGTTTCATTTTCAACGAAACTTCTAATTTTGGCGTGAACTAAACACACTCTATAAAAGAAAGGTTACTCATGGATTTTTCTTTCCACCTTTGTTGATTATTATTATTATTATTATTATTATTATTATTATTGACTCACTTCAAGTTCATGCCACCAGATGGCCTCTCAAGCTCTGTATGATCCTAAGATGCAGCAGGCATTAAGGCTGTGTTCGTTTGGACGTTTTCCCAGCGCGCTACAGTGTTTTGCCCCCGCGCACACTTTTCAAACTACTACACGGTGTACTTTTTTGTAAAAAGTTTCTATACAAAAGTTGCTTAAAAAAATCAAATTAATCCATTTTTGAAAAAAAAATTAGCTAATACTTAATTAATCACGTGTTAATGAACCGTTCCGTTTTCCGTGTTACTGTAGCGCGCTGGGAAAACGTCAAAACGAACACAGCCTAAACCGTGCAAGTCACATGAACAAGGTCAGATTAAATTCCAGACAAATTGAACATTTTCAAGGGACTCAGAACTCAGATGAAACTTCTCTACTTCAAATGGTCATGCAACTGACATGCTCATTTCACACTTTTACACTGTGGGCACAGTAATGAGAGCGGTCCACTGTTCCAACACCACAGCGAAAAAACGTTCTCATGTCAATTGTCAATACAGTTTCAACTCAAAAGCCTACCCAGATCTTAGAAACAATGCACCAGGCTACTAGAACTACTACCCCAAAGACCAGGGGTGGTCACACGCTAAAATTATAGTACATGCCTTCAGATTTACATAATCAAACGTGGAAAATGATAAGGTACAAAATGGCAATTACAAGGATTGCCTGATAGGCTTAGTTGAGCAGTAAGTGATGTTTTCAACCAATGTGTGTACAGTTGGCGCCAAGAGTCAGAATCAGGGGTGCATTTCCTGTCCTTCGTGTCATCCGTGTTCCTAGCGGATATTTCCGTGTTAAGATGTGTATTCACAGTTGTTAAGATGACTTGGTTCTCTTGTGTTGAGCCTGGCCTTGGAGGCACAGCCTGAATCGCTGGGTTAGGCTCTCCCCCATCTCTTGCCTCTCCTGTTTGAGCCTCTTCCATAGAGATCGATTCTTCCTCTCCTTTGGTATAGCGAGCGGTTTCCTTCGTATCCGTCTCAGTGGTGTTGCCAAGGCCCGTAGCGTCATGCTCTACAGTTCCAGAACAAATGATGAGATTGAGATCTAATAGAAAATTTCCGTTGTTGTCAGGGACAAAGCAATGTCACTAGTTTGAGAGGTTCAGTAGGTAACAAACAAAATGACATATGCATTCACTTGAGGATCTATTTAAAAGATGTGTTAACAAAAATATCTAAGGTAAGTTACCCTATGAAAAAAGGACAGTATGGTCATGCAATAGATGGACATCAAAAATGAGAAAAGAAAGAAGACATACCTTATGCTTATGACTAGGAATTTCAGGGCGCTCGCCTAGGGATGATCCATCACTCGCTGCCCCCAAGGAAGAACATCTTCCCCAGCTCTCTCGGTTTGAACTTGTGTATGAGCAGCACTCCTCATTTTGCCTGTGAGATTTATCCTACAAAAGGAAGTAATACTTTGTATCAGTGAGATAGCAAAACAGTTCTATGTAATATTCTGTACTCAGGGAACAATCAAATGTAGCAGAGCAACAAAATATGCTTTTGGTGTTTTGTAGGAACAACAAACATATGGTAATCCACATTAAGGGAACTATACCATATGTTGATGTAAAGATGTTTACAGAACACAGTGTTAAATTACAATGCAAAAAAAAACTATTTTATGCTTCAAAATCCTCATTTATTTTACCTCTAAATGAGACTCAGCAGTGTGAGTGTCCATCTCAGTGAGGTTATGATTTTCATCCAAAAGAAAATCCTGCATTCAGATGGAGATACTCAGCTAAGATCTCAAGTACTTGAGGCAAACCAACCACTGATGAACTTACCAAGTCATTATCTGTTTTAATAGACAACTGATTGACCCTCTCTGTCAGCAATTCAACCACTGATTTTGTAGCTAACAAAATGAAAAAGGAATTGACTTAGGGATCACAATGATAATTCATGATATCAATTTAATAACCTACTAAGGGAACTGACTCACACCATTTGTGAAGTTAGCTGCAGCTGCCGATGAACTGCCTGCATCAGGACCAGCAGCCCTTAGACCATTGATGATTTCATACAGTAAGCTCTGAAAAATACAAGCAAATTGGTTGGTAATTTCCTCAAAATTTCTGATAATATAGGCATTAAAAAAAGGATAATCACCTCATTTGTTCCAGCTCCAACCTTAAAAGCACCAAGGTTGTAGTACTTATCTAACTTATTTGAGCATACTGAAGGAAACTGAGGTGGGTGTAGAACATTATAGAAGAATATTGAAACAGAATCATAATAAAATTGAGGCCTGGGGGAATTGTGATCGCCATCAAATTTGATTAAGTTTTTGTCCCCCTGTAGACAAATACACCAAGAAAATGAGTTATAAATGTATTTAGCATGCATCCATTAACTGTTCAGCCTTTGTAAAGCAAGCAAGAGTTAGACTTACCGCATATGCCTGATGAATACGGTCCGTGTGATGGGGCTGAATAAACATGTCATTTGATGCATGTCCAAATAATGCAGGAATAAATGTCTTGGGGGCAAACTGTTGTAAAATAAGGAGACAGAAGAGGTGATTAGGCAAACACCAATGTTAGCTTTGATTTCCATTGAAACTGACAAATGGTAATTTAGAAAGCACACCTGAACAACATCAAGATCCATTATATCAAACTTAGCTCTTCTTTGAATTACACGGCGCATGTACTGCACAGCCATCTTAACCTGAACAATATAAATAATAGCAAACATTATATGATGCAAGTATTGCAACAGTCAGTGGGCAGTTAGGCACTTAACTTAGCAGACAATTAACATGAAACTAGCATCGCTAACTAGAACTTTAGATTATTCCTATACTTGATATATAACCAGAAAATACTAGAATTTTATTATATTATAGAGCATGAACTGAAGTTTGGAAAACTTTTCTTACCTTTTATACATTACCTACCAGTTAGCTAGTGTCATGCACAGTTGCGCAACCAGAGTTGTAAAACATTTGAACCGCACAAAGCTCCCTAAAGACTACTATTTCTGGATGTAAACACATTATTTTCTAATTATAGATACATGTTCTTTGTCATGCACACAGCACACAGCAGTCAGCTGAAGCACAGTAACAAGGTGACAAGCGGTATAACCAAGCACCATAAACCACCGATTGCGGATTACCGCATAAGCTAAAGTTCATCAAAGCATGTGCCTATATCATACAAACTCCAGAAAGCGAATGGTTCCTTTATTCAGTTCATAGTAACAGTGAACAAGACTATTCTGCAAAAATGACAAGCATACCGTGAACTTAGGAACTCGGATTTTGTAAACATCTACAAGCTCCATCATTAAGTCATATAGGTTAGAGAAAGCACTGTCCAAAACCAGACCGGCAATTGAGGGGTCTTCTGCTCCATACAGTAGGCTGTCAAAAGTTTGGACAGAAGTTATGAAGAACTTACCAAAATTCAATACATAAATAGAACCTAAATATTTAAAATATTTTATGGACAGGGGTACTTCTAAGTAACAATTCAAATAATCAACAGGAATTATATATTATAAAGATTCTAGTGTATCCAAAGACTTAAAAAATAATGTATCATTAAGAGAAATAAAGTATTGGATAATTGGTCATAAACTGGGAAACACAAACGCTTTAACCAAATACCTTGTAACAGCACCCATTGATCGCCCCCAAAGGCCTATGCAAGAAACTTCCTTATTGTTTCGCAAAAAGGACACCGCGCATTTGAGATCCTGTTTCTGAGAGTGATTGTATTTTTATCAGATTAGTGCAATTGCAAAACAATAAGAGTGTGTTTTCAAAAAATTATGATGACTATGTACCTCATGCCAACCAAGGCTGACATACTCTCCACCTGATAGCCCTGACCCTGCAAAGTCAAGTGTAAAGAGGGTGATATTTGAAGGGAGAAGTATGACAGCTGCTTCATTTGCATCCGCTCTGCATCCACTGCATTGAGTTAAGAGAAAGAGCTTGTAAGGAATACGATAAGCACAAGAAGAAAACAAAATTAATGATTCATCTCAATAACTCAGAGACTGTAACTAACAGATAAATGACCGGTCTCCAAGAATTAGAGTGTAAACTATGATCAGAATGTTGGTCCCACCAAAAGATTGATCATATTAATATAAGAAATTGAGAACCTATAAGCATAATCCAACTATGATAAATACCTATTTCCATGGCAGTAGATCACACAAGGAAGGGCAGTATTGTCTGGGATGACAGCAGGAACATAGTGGCTGCATTTTAAGGTCTGGTCTCTTCCGTTCGTAAGCTGCCATATACAAGTAACAGAATAAGGCTAATATATAGTAAAAGGGTGATTTTTTCTTCAACAAATGAAAGAGAAAGAAGGCCTTAAAAAGCTCCCCTTACTTGCCTCCAAATCTATTCGTTTGTACTTTCTTCCCGCAAGAGTAAACTCCGGTTCCCACAGATACTGATCTGGATTGTACTCTGCACTGCAAATGCATAGCCAATTAACTGCCTCATACCATAAAGATAAAAAGCATCAGTTGACTATCAACATTTTGTGGGGTTCCGAGTTCCAACTCCATTATTAGACATTAGTGCATCTTAAAGAAAACAAGTAAAGTTATCTTTAGGAAAAAGAGTACTGTGGAATGAATGTTGATGTGCTAACTAAATGCATAAGCCCCCTTTGCGGCACTTGCGACTACAACACTCCGCTAATTGTTCGACAAGCTAGTACAGTAATTTCAACAGCAGGGATTAATAAATAACAGCCTCAAACTCCTACTTTTGGATATTTCAAGTACTGAGCTTTTCAATGCTTGAAGTGGTAAGATTAATACTCAACCACGGCTTAGGAAGCATGACCGTCTAAATCACAGAACCGAGCTAATACAGCGAAACATGATAGTCTACAGCACGAGGCATCATTTCAGTGGGAAAAAAATATTTACAGTGCAATTACCGCGGCGGACGGATGACAAAATTTACGAACTGCTCGATCATCGCGCCGCCGGAAGCTCCCCGACGAAGACGCAGCCGCGTAGGATGCTCGCGGCGCTCATGTACCAGGCGCAGCCACAAAGCCCCAACCTCCTCCTATCCCCCTCAGCTTCCCCCGCCAACCAGCCTAACCCAACCCAACCCCAACCCAAGGCCAAATCAACTCAACCCCCCCACCAAATTCCCACCAAACACCCTCAGATCCGCGCCCGCGGCGTCCCGGCGGCGAAACAGGCAGCTGCTCTCGCGGGAGCCGCGTCGAGCACCGCCGGATCCGGCGAGGTTTCGGGCGACCCGGAGCTCGGAATGCTCGCCGCGAGCCGGCGGATTCCGGCGGGGGCGAGGGCCGCGGCGCCCGCCGGCGGCAGCGGGAGGAGAGGCGCGGTGGCCGCGGGGATCGAGGCGAGGGGGGAGGTGGAGGAGGAGGAGAGTGGAAATGAGAACGTTAATGAGGCGGATGAGATGTGTAATAAGGGGAATAAAATCGGTTTTATGGGGGGGATTTTTTCGATTTTGTTTGCTTTGCGTTTTTGTAGTTTAGTCCTCGGAATGTTTTTTATTTTGTGGACTGTGCACGGATGGGTCCTTGGGAGTTGGGGACGTGGTTTACCAGGGTAGGAGTAATTAGGCCCTGTTTGGAAGATTAGCACAGGGCTAATTTTGAAAGCTAATGTTTAGTCATGAATTGGTAGGCTAAACATTAGTCTAGGGTGGTATGTTTTGATCCATGGGCTAATTCAAGGCTTAAAGGTATAGAGAGAGTAGAAAGAGAGGAGAGAGAAGGAGAGAGAGAGAGCTGTTTTTTGATGGTCCCCACACAAAATTAGCCCCATTAGCACCCCTTGGAAAGGCTAATGTTTTGAGGGGGGCTAATTCACATTAGCTCAAAATTAGCCCACCTGTTTGGATCCTTGAGGGCTAATTTGAGGCTAAAAGGTGAGGGCTAAACATTAGCCCATGGAACCAAACAGGGTCTTAGACACGGGTGACGGTTGCAAGGGTTTTGAAAACCGTGGTGTTTTGTGTATCCATATGCTTTTGTATTGTATTGTGGGATTTGTTGTGGCGTGTGAATCTCATATGGTTGGACATAATGTGGTTTTATTTATGATGATTTCTAGTTGATAACATCATATAGTTCGTCATCCAACATAGGCCATCATTTAATCTAAGTTACCGAATACTTCACATATGTGACGGTTGTGTGGGTTTTGAAATCGTGGTGTTTTGTGCATTTGTATGCCTTCGCATTATATCGTGGGATCGTAAATGTTTGTGTGACTTGTAAATCTCATATGACGGGACATTGTATGGTTTTGTTTATAATGATTTTTGGCATATAACATGACTTATAGTTCATCATCAATGTAATCATTGTCTTAGTTGCCCAACAAATACTTCTACCCGTTTGTTGAAAGGTCTTTTTTAAAGATATGTTGAAAGGCTTAAAGCATATAAACATAATATAAACATTCTTACTAGGCATGACGAAGCATTTTAAAAGAAACACGTATGACATCGTTCACATATTTTTGAAGACATATATGACTCGTAAAGTTATGATATCCAGCTGTTAGCTAATTTATAAAATATTGCTTGACACGACTGTACTATGATAACATAATTATATTAAAAGAAGTCGAAGCCTTAACTTATATATATTTTATTTTTCTTGATAATGAAATAAATCCTGGTGTTTGTCTCGATACATAATTTATGAAGTTAACAAAGTGTGCTGCTAAAATTATGACGATCCACATAACCTTTGCTGAGAAAAACTGGAGATATGAACTTCAAACCAAGGCAGTGAGATATGAACTTCAAAATCAAATGTTAGGCGCTGACCTTTTGAGAAGGAGCTGTTTGAAAAAACTCACATCTACCCAGGGCTATACCAGCGAAATTCTGAATCAAGAGAAGGACAGCTCGGTATATCCACCAGGCCGCCAAAAAAATGAAAAAGAAAAAGATGTGTGCGAAACCTGAAAGCCCCGAATATTCACCCGCCACGTGGGCCCCACATCGAAAGGCAGCGCCTCGTACCACCACCGCTGCTGCTGCTAGCCTGTCCATCTCACCGGAGATGCTCTCCGTGGGGCCCGCATGTCATCGACCACAATACGGGGGCCAGTTTGGTCATTTCCGGTGGCGACGTGATTATTGTTTTGGACTTTGGACTTTTCTTCTTCGGTGGACGACTCGTCAGGGTTTTTTGGCCGCGCACCGGACAAAGCCGCAGTAAAGGAGGCGGTCCATTGTGAGTGTGAGGCCCTGGTTACTTGCCACATAAAAATTTTACATGGTATCACAATGAATATTTGAATATCTGTATAAAATATTAAATATAGGCTAAAAATAACTAATTATACATATTATAACTAATTAAATATATTAAATTTGTTTCGCTGTTTACTGACGGATTATATAATTAGTTTTTCTATTAGTGCCCAAACATCTTATGTGACACCCTATATAATACCCAATATGACATGTTAAAACTTTACATCTGGATCTATAAACACACACCCTGAGTGTGTGTGAGCTTGACTGTTTTTTTTTTGAGAGCCTGACTGTTGGGTTCAGTAGACAGTAGACTGTTAGGAAACGATAGGCGAACAAACGATAAAAAACAATATATCAATCACAGAAGACACGAGATTTAACGTGGAAAACCCTCCCAAAACAGGAGAGAAGAAAACCACGGGCGCCAGCTAGCAAAATATCTTCACTATATCTGAGGTGAGGTTACATCGCCGCATGGCGGCTTACAAGATGTATATATATGGTGGAACCCTAAAAGGGATGACGATCCATACCGCTGGGGCTCCGCCCCCGCACCCCCGGATAGCAGAAGCTGGCCTTTATTAAGTGCAAATGAATTTGAATCACAACTCACCATAGCCGTGGTTGTCCTCATCCGTCGGCTTGATCGGGCCACCAACTGCTGCTCCTGCTCCTGAGTGACATGGCCATTCATCAAAAGAAAAACCAGGTCCAGTTTGTTAATGCCAATATGATGGGGTTGGATGAGACGTCTGATCACAGCAAAGACGTGTTTGGGAAGTAATGGGGGTGATTAGGGCCCATTTGAAAGGGAAGGTTTGGGAAATTTTTATGTGTCGTGCGAAAAATTTTATTTCTATTTTTTTTCAGAAAAGAGAAGGAAGAAAAGAGAAAAGAAGAGATGCAGACCCATTTTTTTCTCCTCACATGTGGGGCCCACCGTATGCCCCGTCAGTGAAACCAGAGGAAAATTAAGTTGATACTGCTCGGAATTTTTTTTTTCACGATTTGTGATAGTTAATGGGTAGAGATTTTTGGTATTGTGGATTAGGGACCTCAGACAGACTCCACCTAAAGTTAAGGGAATTTACTCCACGTAAGTTGGAAGGCCTCTTGGGCCTTGGTCCAACTAAATTGTTTGATGGAACGCATTGGTTGAAATAGCAGAAAAACAAATGGAAAAGGCACACCGAAGGTCTCTCAACTTGTCATTGAGTTACAGAATCGTCTTTGAACCGTAAAATCGGATATAACGCATCTCCCAACTTACAAAACTAGTACAAACTAGGTCCTTTAGCGTGGGGCCCACGTGGACCTCACATGTCAAGGTGGCCACGTCATCACTCTATGTTTCCCCTCTTCTCTCCCTTCCTTCTCTCTCTCGCTCTTCTCTAGGAAAGAGAAGACGAGGTTGGCGTCGGCAGCCAGCTCACGTCCTGGCGGAACCACGGGTATTGTAAATTACATAATACGTTTATCACGTTACTACTTCTAGTCTAGTAATGAATCAAAGTTTCTATGTTTTCCTTTGCACTATCCGAATGATAGCTTTACCCGTTTTTCTATATTTTCTAATCCTCTATTTCACACCTACAATCCTATCATATTATTGTTTTTTTTTCATGTTCCTATGCTTTTCCTATCCCATATTTCGAATAAGCCCCTCATCCCCAACAACATTGGCAAATGACTCTCCCAACAAAATTTTAGCCAATGCATAGCAAAAAAACTCCCTCTAACAGCCTTGCTACTTGGACTGCCAACCTATATAGCTGGCCAAATGAGCACCTCAACTGGCCAAAATGGTGGGCCCACTGTGGGTCCCACCTTCATCTCTTTCTTCGCTTCCCTCTCCTCTCTGCCGATGGTCGAAGTCGTTCGCCCTCCTCACGTCCGCGTGCCCTCCCCTTGCTAGCTTCGGCTCTAGCTCTTTCATCACGGCTAGCGCCATGTCTAGCGGTTAGCTCCCACGAAGGTCGATCCCACGCTAGCACCAATGGCCAGCTCCTACGGAGGTCTATCTAATGGCACGGTGAAGGTCAAGATTGAGACGTGACCGTGCGGGGAGATTCGACTCCTTGACTACCTGTCGTCTTCCTCCTTCGTATCCAGTTCCTGTGGTCGACCACTCAAGGTGGTCGGCGGCGGCACCAACGGCGGAGGAAGGCGCACAATGAGGCGGCGGAGGGGGGGGGTATGACAGTGAGGGAGAAGCGAGGGATGAAGGGAGGCTCGGTGGTGCATGGTTATTGAAGAGGACGAGGACGGCGAGGAGTGGATCCGATGTCACGCGCAAGAGCCCGCCTTGCGTGCACGCAGATCCACCGTCGAGGAGGGCCACCATGCGCTCATCACCTCCTCAAATGTGCGAGGGCATGTCGTCGTTGCCCAAGTGTTGTTGCCACAGCTGCCACCCGACTTCTTCCCCTCTCGCCACCTGCAACCGCCGCCGATGGCTTCTCTCTCTCTCGTCTCCTGTGGTCGACGTCGCCGGCTTCTTCATTATAGCTGTCAAACACGTTTGGATTCCCAAGTGCGGGATCCTAGTGAACCCACCCACTTAGGAGATCAAGTGGCTATGCATTTTCTACAACTATTGCCTAGAGCCCGAACCAGAAAAATACCGCGGCCATGCGCAAACTCATCTGAATTCTTCGCACCGCAACCCCATCCCCCCACATCATTGGGTGGAGCTCCTTTTTCTACCCTTCAAATTTCAAACTTTCCCGCTAGTTTTTTGCAGCCCATCCGTTTCCCACCGAAGCAATACGACCGTTCTGCCTGCCCACCTTGTCGGCGCCGCGGCGGAGTACACGATGACACCGACGAGGAGGCCCAACGCCGGCGAGTCGGCGACGGAGACCGCCACGCGCACGTACGCCTCGCGATCGTGACGGCTCTCCTCCTTTGGCCTGTGGCGTCACGGGCGAGCGGCGAGACGAGACGAGACACGAGACACAGTAGTTCCCCTGTCACGTGGCCGCGTTTGGCCACCTCCTGTACCTGCACGCGTATTGTCCTGTACCAACCGAACCTGTCAAAGACGCAAACAAAATTCAGAATGATCATTCATGATTTCGATATAATACTCCTCCACATTATTAGCAGCAGCTCCAATTTCAAACTCCGTCACTGTAATTCTAGTAAATGCTCTTGGGCTGTGTTTAGATCTAAAGTTTGGATCCAAACTTCAGTCCTTTTCCATCACATCAACCTGTCATACACACACAACTTTTTAGACACATTATCTTTAATTTCAACCAAAATCTAAACTTTGCGCTGAACTAAACACAGCCTTGGACCCGTTGCCAAATTGTACTACAAATTCAAAATCGTGTCAGCTCAACGTGTCAGGCGTCGAATCTCGTAAATTCCCCTCAAAACCTGGCGCACTTTTTTTTAAATTCAAAATTTCCCCAATCCGCCCACCGTTTCAACCCACGACACCCGCCTGACTCTTACCCGCCTCCATCCGCCTCACCTACAGGTGGGCCCGGGTTTAAAGTCGAACGAATTTAACTGTTACTACTACTAATGGTAGTATACTAATTCAAAACGAATTAATTAATTTGGTTTTAATTAATTTTGTTCGGTCCACTCGAAGAAGGTTTTAGTTGCCATCGCCATTTCCGTCTCTTATCCGGTGGAGAGGTGAGGGGATTAGTGCAACCCTAGCTGCTCTCTGCTCCGGTCGCCGGCGGCGATGGCGGCGGCGGCGGTGGGGGCGTACCGGTCGGCGGGGAGGAGGAGGGACGCCTTCGCGGCGGCGGCGGAGGACGCCGGCTCCGCCACCACGCGCGGGCGGGCCGCGGCCGCCGGGGGAAGCGGCGGGCTGCTCCGGCGGTCGAGGAGCCTGAGTAGGTTCCCGCCGCCATCGCCCTCCCCGGAGGACGCGGCCACGCCCTCCTCGAGGTTCGTCAACAAGGTCAGGGGCGGCGGCCGGGGCGGAGCGGGGTTGCCGCCGGAGATCAGCCTCGATGACCTCGCCGACGAGTTCTTCCGGGCCAGGGCGGAGTCCGAGGACGACGACGACGACGAGGAGGCGGTGGTGGTCGTGCGCGGGGAGGAGTCGCGTGGGCGGCTCAGGTTCCCGGCGCCAGCGGAGAAGGGCGGCGGTCGGCGGAGCTCCACCGCGCGGTACGCCAGGGAGACGGAGTCGTCGCGGCAGCGCGGGAGGTCGGTGTCGCGGCCGCCGGCCGAGAGGCGAGGCGGAGCCACTGCTGTCGCCAATGGCGGGGCTGCTGCCGCGGGGCGGCAGCGGTATGCATCCGTCGACCGGCGCGCTTCGATGGATCGGCACCGATGGTGTGATTCGGATGTAAGTGTGACCAGCATTTCACAATCTAACTCGCAATTTTTAGTTGTAATAATAATAATAGTGGTGTTCGGTTTTGTATAGGAGTTGATTGCATTATGCCGAGTTAATTTCATTGGGATTAGCGGATTGCGTGTGATATGCTTTGGATTTGCTGTCATATATTGTCATAAATTTTTTAGTTAGTCCTATCGGGCATTTTAGAAATAAATTTGTATTAGCAATGAATGCAAAATCTCGCTACGATTCTATTTAACGATATTAGACTTGTTTAATTGTTCATTGTGCTATGTTTAAAATCTGTTTGGAAATTTGATACATGCTTCATGCCTGTAATTCATGTACCTCTACTGGTTGCTAAGTTTATATGGTATTATTCATGCTTGTTCATGAAACGTGAATTAGTTCAATTTATGGATGTGTTGAGTTGAGATTATAAGAATAATAAAATCAAGCAACTAGGTAATACAACAAAAATATACACAATGCTTTCATATGTTTTTGTATGACACGTATCCGTTCAGTTTGTTGGTCCTGGATGATGTTTGTTATCTATGCGATATTTGCTTGACTGTATAAAAATGTGTTAGATCACTTGTTTCTTGCTACACACACCATAGTAGACTGCCGTAATCGACAAGAGGATCTTATATCGCATTGTCTGTGATGGGGTAGTATTCTTGTCCTCAAAAGCACAAATGGACCTGCTTTTCTGCTTTTCAACTGGAACATTGATCTTGATGACCATAGGTAGTTTTACCTCATCAGCTTGCATTCAATAGCTATCATATTTGATTATTTGTTTATTCAATAATAACTATCATAAATGTAATGCTATCTATAGCTTCAACACATCATGATTTTACCCAACAGTATGGGAGTGCTTGGATGCATAAATAGATGATTGTAATTGTTCACTTATATATAATGTTAGCCAATGTACCATTTAATATTTATGGTACCACATTATCTTTAATCTTCATCAGAAAATTAGGTGAACTATTTCCTTATTTTTGCTTTGCAGTGGTCTGTGAATCCCACTAGTACCTTTGTTTTTAAGGTTTGGCATCCTAGATTTCGTATTTCCTTTTGTTTGCTATCGTGTAACTTATATGCCTTCACTTCATTGCTACTAGTTGTCTAGTATGTGCAATTCTACTTCTGTTTAAATCTGTGCTTTATGTTTATGACTGCAGAATGATATGGACATTTCTCACCGGTATGGTTCTAGGGGAATAAATACCAAATCCAGCAATAATAGCCTGCAGAACTCATCATTCCATAAGACGGCTAAAGTAAATCAATCGTTGAGGAAGTCTACAAGTCAAAAAGATTTCTTACATTCACGAGACAGCAGCTCAGTGAGTACATCACATATTATTCTTTTGCCTGCTGCTATTGTGATGACTTAAGAAATTCTGCTTTCTAAGGATGCAGAAAATGGAATAGTTATTTGGGTGGTTCCCCTTGCATGTGAAAATAGCAATATAATTGTGACATGTTCCATGTGATGCAAACCATAGTGCATAATGTAGCTGTTTGTGCCACAGTGCAACCTGTTGCTTGGTGCTTAATGATATCTGGGACTGGGAGTGACTGCATTACTCACTTGCATCCCTGGGCCATCACCTCCCTTGCTGCCTTATATGCCCCAAACCGTAATTTGGTGAGCCCAGACCCTAAACCTATGCCTCCATAACTCCATTGCTAGAGCAGAGAACCACAGTGACTTTAGCATGAATCATCAAGCCTCATCCAATTTGAAGTAATTTTCATTAAATCACAAGAAAGAGTTGACTGCTGTATATCATTAAACCTTTTGCCTTACCCTGTGCTTTAGTGCCGTCAGTTGCTTGGCCTGAGCACGAGTTGTCAAGCCACATCTAATTCTAATTTTAAGTAATTTGATTAAAATCACAAGAAAGAGTTGAGTGCTGTACACCATTAAAATTTTTGCGCTATCTTGTGCCTTAGTGCCATCCATTGGTTCGTGCATAAAAGTTCTGGCTCTTCCATGTGTCATTGTGAGCTCATCTTAACCTTGATTTTTGCAGAGCCATTCTTCAATAACTGATGATGAATTTCGGGACTCTTTTCATAGCAGAAATCAGAAGGGGATTCGGGCAGTTTATACCCTTGAAAAGGTTGATCTCACTATATTCTTTTAAATTTTTAGAACTAGAATATATCAGATATCCCTTTTATATGCTTATGGCATTTGATAGGACCGCCTGAGTAATAATGAGGATGAAAATGCACTGTATGACGTGATGCGTAAAGAAGTCCGGCAAGCTGTTGATGAAATCAGGACTCAGCTTGAAAAGGTAACTTATGAGCAGCAAAAGTTCCTAATGACATTCACCGTATATTCCTTTGATTAGTTTCCTTGGTCTGTGATAATTTTCTCTTGGTGCCTATGTTCGGAACTAAACCTTTTAGAAAAAAGTTATAGCACTTAAAATGTTAATATCCTGTGCACAATGCACAGTTGTAAGCTATTTTTTCTAGTTCATTATTTTGACTCTAAAATAGTTGACTTTTGAAATCCTTTGCCATGTTTTGACATAGATTGTAAATGACAGTATGATTACATGCATCTTGCCTTCGATTGCATTTCTCTAGGTCGTGACAAAATCTGAACCTTCAGAAAAAGCAACAAGCGCTGATGCACAACCAACTCAGGTTATTAATGAGCTCCGCAGGAGTTACACTAGCAAGTTGGAAGAGGTAATATTCAGTAGATGAGTGTTTTTTTCTTGTTCTCTTTTAAGGAATCATATTTCTATTTAATATGCTTTATTGCTTTATCCAATGTATTTTTCAGTCAGAGATGCGGAAACAGGAATTGTTAGCTCAATTGGCAGCGGAAGAACAACGTGGGCATGAACTCACAAAAATAGTCAAGGAATTGCTACCTACTCCTAAGAAGAATATGAATTCGGAAAGGCAACCACGATATAGAAGAGTAAGTTTTCTTCACTGTATTGCTACTTCTTCCTTTGTTATTGAGAATCTGCGAATTCAGACTTTATGTATATATATTCCAGAGAAGCAATGATAGAGCCAGGGTGTCAAGACGTCTTACTGAAGAGGCTGAGCAATACTTCGAAGATTTCCTGTCAAATGTTGAAGATACTGATTTTTCATCTTTTGATGGAGAAAGAAGTGATACAAGTTCAAGCAGAAGAGATGTGGTACAAAACACCAAGATCGAAACTCCAATAACGCTTCCAAAAGTTGCTTCACCCGTCGAGGCAGACGGGGTTGTCCTTCCCTGGCTGCAATGGGAAACAAGCAACGACCTTCAAACCTCTCCATGCAAACCAAAGACACAGGTGACGATAACCATCTCTGTTCTCTCTATGCTAAGTTGTGCTTGTTGTACTTATTTGTATGTCGTTATTGATATTCTGCGAAATTGTTTAACAACACATTTTTAACTGCAGTAAGTAGAATGCCAATATTTTGAGAAAAAAATGCTCTCTGTTATGTGTTTTCTACATATAACATCTTTGTTAGTAATTGTTATCAACATACCATCGCATTGTGGTGCCTGATTAACTGACCATTTCAGGGAGCAAGTACCGCATGCAGCACCAGCAGTCGCACTATGAGCAGCCGCGGGAGTTGGAGTCCTGGAGATCATGATAGCGCAGCTGGCTCCAAGGATACACTTCTGACAAGGTTCGAGGAGGCTGCGTCTCGCCGAAGCAGCTGCCCCGATAACACTCAAAGATCGTCATTTCACATCGATGACTACATGCATTTGCGGAGGAGCCACGATCTTCTCTTGGAGCGATGGAGGCAAAAGGAAAGAATTGGCGACGGTGGCCTTATCCTGTGCAGTAGATCATCAATAATGTAGGTTATGGCCCATGGTTCATATGTAGAAGCAGATGATTAGCATATCAAAAACAATGTAGCCATTATTCATCTGTGTGCTTACCCATTAGGTTGTTGGTTGTGATGAGCTAAGGCCAAAAGTGTGTACATTTGCAAACTTGACATAATTACTTCATGGACCTGTGGTGCTTAGCTATATTCTAAATTTGTATAGACGTTTGCTTTTAACTTAGTCCTAAATTTGTTTACCAACCTCAGCCATAAAGATATACGAAATCCTTTCCCTTTGCTTGGACTGAGCCATGAGGCCCATGACTCTTCGCCCGGACTTTCTTCCCCTTGGGTCCAGTTGCACCTCTTCGCATTCAGCTTCCTCTACAGCGTCGGGTACTTAAGGAAAAGCCAACTGGATTGCTTAAAATTCGACAAATTAAGCTTTTTTTTTTAAAAAAATCATCTGCATACTCTAGTTAGAAACAAAAATTTAAGGGTTCAAAAGGATTTTAATTAATTTGTTAAATTTTCTGATCGGAATGAGCGGTTGCGGGAGCCGGAGATGGAGACGAAGAGTTCGCAGGCTGACACGCAACAGTTGGCAGGCTGAGCTCTCGTGACCCACCTTTTGTCCTCCGGTCCCACACGCTCCGGAGAATCTCAGATAAATCCGATGAACGGCTCAGATGCTGTTTCTCTCTAGATCGTTCGGTCAGAAATCGTTTCCGCTACTTTATTATGAGGTGGTACCAACGGTGGGACCCACACTCATCTCCCTCCTGGTCCCCTGTAGCTCTTCTTCAACCTTTGGAGCTCTCGAACAGCCCAAATCTACTCTCTTGAGAAAGAAGAAGATTTATATTCTAGGGAGTAGAATTTGGTCATAGAATTTGTGATCTCAAATAAATATGGAAGCAAGCCTCAAATCTCAGATTATGGTTTATCAGGAAGGAGGAGTGCTTCAAGCATCTGCGAGGAAGAACCCATTCAGATTACGCTGCATTTTTTTTTGTTCTCTCGCCTCCCATCCCCATCTCCGCGTCTCGCGACCCCGAGCTCTTCCTCGCCTCGCCGATCGCCGCGCCGCTCTCCGGCGAAGCGCGGATCGAGCCGCCGCCATCCGCCATGGCGGACCCCGTGGAGCTCGGAGCGCCTCCCTCCCCCGAGCCCCTCTCTCCCTTGAGGGAGCTGATCGACGTCCCCACCGTGGTGTACGTCGCCGACGAGGACCCCAAGTTCGCCGCTCTCGCCGACCAGGCGTACGCCGGGTTCCCCTTCCTCTTCGTCACCATGGTAAGTTCCTCTCATGCCCTTCTCCTCCTCCTCGTGTTGTTCTAAACTAATCTATGTGCTCCTCCTCCTCCTCCATGTGTTGTTCTAAACTAATCGATGTGTAGTTGTGCAATTGTGCTCCTCCTGTTCATCCTATACTAACAAATTGCTTGTGAAGGTATGTTTAGAATCTCATCCGACAAACCTTGTTCCAGATTTCATATGTAGATGTTCTTTGGCCAAATGGCATGTATCTCGTCAAAAGCTTCATTGCAAAGGCTGCAAATCTGGTTATGAGGCCAGTGTCGCCTCAGCGAGTTCTCAGCTGCATGGGTCTTTTGCTGCAGCAACAGCCATAGAATGCTACCAATTACTTCTAGATCCTTTAGGTTGTGTTTAGTGAAGTGAACATCATCATCTGTGTAAAGCGATCATCTGAAACGGGCTATGTTTTGGTAAGAGGAGAGACCGAGAGAGTAAATAAATTTCTTTTGCCACCTCAAAAACCTTCTGCAGACCCCTTGCATGCACGATATCATCTCCTGGTACTGTAGGCAAAACTCTAGAAGTGAACATGGCTAGGTGGTTGGAGTGTTGGACTCCCAGTTCCTCCATTTTATATCAAAACCTGTAGAACCTCCAGCAAATAAGGCCAGCAATACATTTTCAAAAGCTTTTGAAATATCCAGTTTAAAGAAGAGTGAATGAGTCCTTTTTTCTTGAGAGGAGTAGGATTATGTTTTGAACATAAAGGAAATTTTCATGAATCAATCTCTTATGAATGAAGATAATTTGATTCATTGACACCAACTCATTTAATCTAGGGGCAAGGCGATTAGCTAGAACTTGTGCCACAATTCGGGCAAAACTGTGCATCAAACTTATTGGGTGAAAATGCTACAGGCTTATTGCCCCTTTATTCTTGGGAAAAAAGCAAATAAATGCTGAATTGAAATACTCAAGTGGTCAGTGTTGTTTGCTAGGAAGAACTGTACTGCCTCCAAAGATCGTCCAATAATGTTATCCTCCACTGTAATACTACCTCCCCAGGATATAAGGGATTTTGGCAATGCAGATCCCGTATATTATGGGATGGAGGTAGTATCTTCTTTCTAGTATGTTAATCCATGCTCTGCAGTTGCATCCATGTTCCATTTAAACTGATGGAGGTAGTATCTTCTTTCTGGTATGTTAATCCATGCTCTGCAATTGCACCCATGTTCAATTTAAACTTATTGTATGGACTGTGATGGACCAAGATAAACCTTCATTTCTCAGTATGATCTGAGCTAAGAGGGAATAGTTACCCAGAACTTAAGTTATAGGGCTCTTTGAACTACTCTTTGCTTTGTTCTGTCTGTATATTAATAATGTTTGAGATGCATCCTCTCTTGTGTCCTCTATTAGATATCTATTCATTTATGCGGAATGATAAATTGACTAATTGCCCTGATTTGTGTAGAGCCTAAAAGCCCTGGCCTACAAAAGGATGGATCTAAATGAACTCGATGAAGAGCACAGTGCTCATTACCTTCGCCTAAGGTTTGAGAACCAACTTCAGGATGCCATGGAAGGTATGGCGGCTGGTGGAGAGGAAATGAGGGTGGCGCTGGCCAGGATGGAGACCCTGAAGAAATCGGTGCAGTTTCATTTTCGCCGTATGCAATACGCAGCGCATGAGTTGCGGAAGGTGGTGCTTAAAGAGGAAGAGATGTACAAGAAGCTGGGTATGTCAATGCGCATTCTTATGTGAATTTGGAGGGAATGAAACAGAGTTTGCGTGCCTTGATTATTTTCTGAGAATTTGCCTACTGTTTTGCAGTTACCCTGACCAACTGAGCCAAGGGAGAATGGCGTAACGATGGCTTCTGTGGTGTAATCTGGGGGTAAATGTCTCTGTGCTCAAGAATTCTCCTCTCATGAGACCTGTTTCCATCTCCTGCCACGTAACTACTCCACGTACTAGAACTTGGACTCGAAAATCCTAATCGGCGATCGATCGCCCGGGACCGGGGGTAGCGATCAATCCCCCTCTCCCTCTCTCTCTCTACCTGGTTTCTTTTTTTGCACCGCATTACTTTACTATTTTAGTAAATTTATACACATAAAGTTTATACACCTCAAGTTTACACATCTAAAGTTTAGAGACCAAAAGTTTATAAGTCAAAAGTTTATATATCCGATTCAAATTTGAATTTGAATTCAATTTTTTTATATATAGTATTTCTATACATCTAAAGTTTATACACCTAAAGTTTATAGAACCAAAGTTTATAAGTCAAAAGTTTACATACCCGATTCAAATTTGAATTTGAATTATATCTTATTCAAATTTGAATTTGAATTCAAATATTTTCTATATATAGTATTTTTATGCATCTAAAGTTTATACACCTAAAATTTATAAGTCAAAAGTTTACATACCCGATTCAAATTTGAATTTGAATTTAAATTTTTTATATATAGTATTTCTATACATAATTTTTTTCTAACTTTTGGTTTTTTTAAAAAAATTTGTGTGGTGTACTGTAGTAAGAAGAGAAGAAAAGGAGGAGGATGAGGGAGGAGTGTATGGAGTATAGGGGAGGGGGGCTGATCGCCTGGCGATCGATCGCCCATTAGCCCCCCCCCCCCCCCCCCCCAAAAAAAAAACTTGGACTTGCATGGTCGATCGAGTAATGGGATCTTTTATGTTGTTGACTTGTTGCCCATGCCTGTTTGGATTCAGTACAGCCAAAACTTTTGTTTGCTATAGCATCCATTGTCTGTTACAGTATTTGAGGAAGTGAAGAAGCATCTTCAGTCCGTCAAGTTTGTTTTTTTTTTCTGTTTTTGTTTTTTTGCCACTCTAGAATCCGACTAGGATTACCTAGAAGGCTAGAACGAGTCAGACTTGGCGCGTGCCCCCCTTTAAATAGGAGATCCCCGTAGACCCCCCTGTGTCTCAAATCAGATCGAGATCGATCGAAAGTTGAAAGCTGAAACTTGAAAAGTTGAAAGCCGCATTGCCTCCCATGGCGGCGAAGAGGAAGGAGCCGGAGACGGCGGCGGCAGAGGAGGACCCGTCGGACTGGATCGGGGCCGTGGCGAGCGTGTTCAGGATGCTTGGCGAGATGAGGGAGCGGGAGAAGAGGGAGGAGGAGGAGCTGCGCGAGGAGAGGGAGCTCGCCGCGTGGGTGGCGGCGACGAGGGCCGAGAGCTACGCCAGGTTCAACATGCGCTTGCCGACGCCGGAGGAGGAGGCGGCGTTCGCCCGCGACCATGCCCACGAGATAGACTTGTCCGTCCTCAGGCCGGAGGACTACGGAGAGAGCAAGCGCGGCGTCGGCAACGATGGCATCCTCCGTCGCCTCGACTAGGCAATACTAATAATCAAATCAATCAATCAATCTCGATCCATGGATTTTCCAGCTAGTTAGCTAGGTTAACCGATTCATGTTTCAAAATCCTAGTACTATGTCGCAGCTTGTTTATCCCGTAGTGTGTCATCTGATGACTTGCTTTTAGCATGTTTTTTGATTCTGTTAATTTTGATCAAGGTGAAATTTGTCACACATCTGTCATGCATTACTATTATGCTATAAACATGAAAATTTGACAAGCCGTCTTCGATGAGTTCGTGTTACTTTGCCTTCCAGTGTCACCCTGCAATTAAGCAAACCAACAAACGTTTTTACTCACGACAAAGCCAAGCGCAAAATTGTCGTTCGATCGTGGCACACGTCAATGCACTGCACTGCACTCGCTTTACTTACATCGTGGACGACTTCTCGCAGAGGAGCTCCATCTGCTGCCGCGACACGCGCCGCACCTGCATATACGCTCGCAATTGCTTGCGCCATCAGACGACTAACTCACGAAAGAAATTAATGATCTGATCTGTGATGTGTGTGGCTTGCCTTCGTGGACACAGTCCAAGTGATCCCCTCGGTGCAGGGCGGCGTGGTGAAGGAGCCCGTGTACCTGTAGATTTTTTTTAACACGTAAAAAAATATTACACGTTAATATATTAAAAAAAAATAGAGCTTTAGTTACAAAACGTGACAGGCCGGAACGGCCCGTGTACCTGTAGTAAACGCCGCTTCCCTTCACCGGCCACCTCGGATCCACGTCGTCGTCGATCTCCACCTCGTGCCCCTTCCTCCTTTTGGCCACCCTCTTGATGTATGGCTCCAGCTACTCCCTCCGTATTTTAATATACGACGCCGTTGACTTTTCGACCAATGTTTGACCATTTGTTTTATTCAAATTTTTTTGTGCAAATATAAAAATATTTATATCATGCTTAAAGAACATTTAATGATAAATCAAGTCACATTAAAATAAATGATAATTACATAATTTTTTTTAAATAAGACAAATTGTCAAACGTTAGACAAAAAAGTCAATGGCGTCATACATTAAAATATGGAGGTAGTACATTGCAGACATCGATCACATGTTACAATGTTACGTGTAGTAGAAATACTATAGAACGATATACTATTATAGCGAAATAGCTAACGTCAACATGATATAGATTCTGATACCTATAGTATCATGCTAACATCAACATGATACTTAGTAAAATCATGCTCAGATCCGCTACTTACGTATCATGCTGATGTCATCATACCTATACGGTGTATCATATTTGGTATTAAAGGTACCAGATTGGTATATATTTGCTATTCCGTTACAACTGTATACTTTTTCGTAGTCTTCCTCTACGGCGGTGTTCTTTTCTCCTGAAGATGAAGATTAAGTTTTTTACGCAAAACGAGGTGGTATTAACGTATAATTGATTGAGTTTACAAACTTGGAAAATAGATTAATATGATATTTTAGAGCAACTGTCGTATAGAAAATTTTTGCACAAAACGCGTCGATTAGCAGTTTGAAAAGCGTGTCACGAAAATCTTAATGTTCATTCAACTCTTGTTGGAGAAAAGAACGGGACCTACGTGCAGGGTTCACTTTATCGGTTAGGCCGATCGTGTCGGAGGTCACCGAAATCCTGAAATTTTGGAAATTTTGGTCCGAAATTTTGAACAAAATTTAGTTGAGTTTGAACAAATATGACCAAAATTCATGACAAAATTGAAAAATTTCCGTCGAAGTAATATCGTATCGGAGGGGACCGAAATGACCGACGTCCGAAATTTCCAACCCTGCCTACGTGTAGATAGTAGAAGATGTGGAACAGAGGGTGATCACCATGTCCAGGGTGGCGTCGCGGCGGTGGCCGATGTCGAACAGCTGGGCGACGACGGCGTAGCGGCCGTCGCGTGTCTCGCTCTGGTGCAGCATGTGCAGCTCCAGGTCGTACCGGCGGCCGTCGACGGCGTGCTCGCTCGGGGAGTGCCAGTGCATCTGCCGCAGCGCGTACGTCTCGCCGTCGACCACCACCCCGCCGGCGTCGCCGTCGAACCTCACCATGATGTCGTGGCCGCGGTTGACGAGGGAGGCGGCGGCGGTCGTAGCCGCCGCGGCCGCCGGCGGCGATGGCGGCGGCCGCGGAGAGGCGGATGGGGGATTGGCGGCGGCCGAAGCCGAAGGAGCAGGCGGCCCAATCCCGCCTGATGTGCCCCCACCGCTCCGGCCCGTCGTCGTCGCCGCGACGGTAGCTGAACTCCATCTCGTCGTCTGCCCGCAACGATCAATCGATCGAGCAGTATTCAAATTCAATCACCAATTAGCTAGTACTTAGCTGCTGCAACATGTAATATAAAAGCGATCGATCGATGGAGAGTGAAAGCTACCCGGTTTCTTGCTGCGCTCGAGCATGCCGGATCGAGCCGAGCAGCAGCAGGAGGAGGAATGAGACGGCGGCGGCGAGGAAGACGACGGCGCCGTTGGTGTTCGAGGGCGCGTGCATTTCGGCGGCGAGCGCTAGCTCGCTGGCGTGCGTGCGTGCAGCTGGCGCGCGCGTCCACGATTCCACTGGTTTGATCACCGGTTTTACCGTGCGCCGGCGGCCGCGCCGTCACGCGTAACACGCGGCGCCGGCATATGCGGCGGCGGGAGAGGACGCCTGCACGCTTTACGTGTGACTACAAATGAAGTACATGCCTCGAGATAAAAAATTAAATAAATTCAAATAGTACTACAACGCTAATTTGTTTTTACGAAACATATAACGTAATCGAAGTTCGGTGGGTAGGAATTAGGAAGTCATCCACGTGATTTTTTTTACGGATTTGCTAAACATGTTGCGCCATATTTTGTTCCTCATCTCAGTCGGATTCTAGACCATTGATGCCATTGAGATTCGTGTAGCAGTAGTACGTGCGTAGGCTGTCGGTGATTAGCGTAAACAGGAACGACCTATTTAATAGTAGCGTAGCATTAGCACGGGCATGTTACTAGTAGGAGTAAATATAAACAAATTTGAGTATCGGTGATTAGCATACATGTTAGTTACATCATATTTACACGGTAATTACATACTAATTACATATGTAATTTTGATATTTACATATGTAATTTTGATATTTACACTATAAACACACTAAAATTACATATGTAATTTAGAGATTTACAATGTAAATACATGTTGACTAATTTTTAGTGAAAAATATGGCGCCATAAATATAGCTATTTTTTTTAAAGTTGTAGCTCCTTTGAGTAAAGGCCGGGATGTTATCTATTGCATTTAAAAACAACGTGATTTTTTTCAACAATCTTCAAATTTGACGGTGATTATATTTTTTCCTTTTCTTTTTTTGGAAAATTAGATGTGGTTTAATCCGTGAAAGAACAAATGGGCCACATAAGCCCAAACCTGGGCTATCACAAATGCCACCGGAATAAGTTCACTTTGGGTCCCTCTATTTGTCGCCCAGTCCGATTTTCGTCCCTTGATCGCAAAACCGGGTACGACAGGTCCTCCAACTTACGAAACCGTTTAAATAAGGTCTCTCGGCAGTATTTGACCCCGGTTTTAGCTGAGGTGGCGCCTACGTGGCTAATTTGACTCGGTCTTTATCTGACGTGGCATTGACGTGGTGATTACGTGGCAATTCAATCAAAAAATAATAAATCCTATGGGACCCACATGTCAGTTTCACACCCACAATAATAGAAAATTGGTGGGGCCCACGTGGACCCCGCCTGTCATCTTCACTACCCCTTATCTCTATCCCCCTCTCTCTATCGTCTCTCTCCTTCTCTCTATCCCCCACTGCTCCCCATCGTCATTGTTGCTCTCCTCTCCGTCTTCCTCCGTGGCGGGCGGCGGCCGGAGCGACCGGCCGGCGGAGCGGGCGACGAGCGGGGCGGAGAGGCCCTCCACCATCGCCACGACCTCACCGCCTGCCTGCTCCCCCTTCGCGCAGCTCCGCGCCCATTCAGTGAGCTGCTCTGATGACGCTGGAGTCCGCGCCGGTGCGAAGAGCCCGGCAGCCGGCGTGCGGAGGCGAGGTGCGCTCCTCCGCCGAGGCCGTTGGTGGTAGGCTGAGGTGGCCGGGCTGTCACCGTGCTCGTGAACGATGGTTAAGGAAAAAAGTGGAAAAGTATGTGTTTATTTAGCCGGTAATTAATTAACAGAGCTAACCAAAATCACCAGGTTGCTTCTGGTGGCCGCCGAGATTTCATGCAGCATTTCGCCGACGAGAATTTAGCCATGGCGGCGCCGCCGCCGACGGCCCGCGGCGAGCCGGCTGTTGATGGGCGATGCCGCTTCTGCCATGGAGATCCGCCCGCCGCTGCCTCCCGCCGGCGAGTGGCGACATCTCTGGCGCCACCGCGTGGCGCCGAACTACTGCTGCACCCCTCCGCCCACGTGCACGGCTCTGAACTCCGCGCGGGGTCTGCGCCGGCGCCGCGGACGAAGACGAGGAGTAGCTTCTAGGGGCGGGCGGCGCCCCCCACGCGGAGCCCCTCCCCCCAGCGCTCCCGCCGCCGACACCCAGCCTTCTCCCGTGTCGTCGTTGTCGCGTCGTCGGCCACCACTGCCGGACCTCCTTGTGACGCCGTGGAGAGGGAGGGAGGAGGAAGAAGAGAAGGGTGAGAATGACATGTGGGGCCTACGTGGGCCCCATCATTTTTATTAATTTGTGCGTTAAACTAACATGTGGGTCCCATGTGGATTAATATTTTTCTACATCGAATTGCCATGTCAATGCCACGTCAGATGAAGACTGAGTCAAATTAGTCACATAGGCGTCGCGTCGGCCAAAACCGCCCTCTATACTGCCGAGGGACCTGTCCGGTTTTCGTAAGTTGGGGGACGGGTCATACCCGTTTTCGTGGTTCAGGATGAAAATCGGACTGAGCGACAAATAGAGGGACCCAAAGTGAACTTATTCCAATGCCACCATAGAACAAGGCCCAAAACACAACACAACCATCGGTTCACGCTCATCGTGTGGGACCCACCTGTCCGCCGCACAGTGCCCCTCCGCGCCGCCCTCTGTTTTGCCGCCGGGAAAACCTCCGCCTCCGCCTCCGCCGCCGGGGAGTTCGCGATCCGATGGCTGGATCGGGATCGCTCCTCCCGCCGCGCTGAAGGCGCGGGCTCGGCGAGGCGCATCCGTCTTAGGTATGGCCCCAATCCTCGCTCCTCGTACGTGCATAGTTCGATCATGCTGTGTTCGTGTAATTGTTCCAAAAAAAAATTTTCAGTTCTCTCCGATCATCATCCCAGAAACTAATCCACCCCTTATTATTTCAATCGGATGAGATGTTTTTTTTTGACGAATCGACGAGGCCGCCAATTTCATTGAATAGAAGAATGATATGTTTTTAGATCGCGAGAATTTATTAGTAGTAAAAGTTTAATCCCAAGCGGTGCTTGCCTGAATAAAATTTATCTTCGTTTTTCCCATTACTTTTTTTTGGGCTAGAAAGAAGTAAAAATGTGTATCGGAAGGAACAAATCTCGTGGAATTATGTGCACATACTGCTGCTCTTGCACGACATTTTGTCTATGTACTCTCTAAAAAAACCAGGTGTTCTGTCACCTTGTGTGTGATCCTATTCTGAGAATGGAATGTTGCTATGGTAGTGCTGCATTTTAGATGGGAGTCATAGGAGAATAAATGACAAACAGGAAGAACTAAGGTTGGTGAGTGACAACATTTTTGCTTGCTTGTTTGTTGTGTATAAATTTGGTTTCTGTCAAGTACAGTCAAAATTGGCCTTGGACCGAGCACTTCAGGTAGTTGTTCTTCGGTGGTTGCATGTATGAATTCATAGCCCGTGCAGATTGTGTTTGTTTAGATAGCACGGCATCAGGCATCGTTGCGTGTTGCTTTTGGACGTGACTTTGATTGTTTTGTGTAGCTCTTTGTAGTCAAAGGGGACCATGAACTTATCAGGGTCAAACTGTCAAAGAAAGCATGCTTTAATTTCCTTTCATGCTTTCTTTTGGACAAAGTTTCCAGCATCGTAGCTGTTGTTCTTTTGAGAAGATGATAGTGGCTGGGGGCATCAACCTGAAAATGGGCTGTGGCGTGTGCGCATGAAAAATCCAATGTTAGTAGCTTTTCTTGGTTATTGTCAACTTGTGCTCCACCAAAAACTTGTACTTCAACTGGATGAGAACCACTAATCAACCATGGATTTAGTTGGTTCAGTCAGCTACGAAAAGGGCAATCTATCAGTTGATCTAGTGCTATGTGATGTTAAACAAGGGGAAGTAATTGTCTGATAGACATATGAAGAGTCGACCGTTTTTTAGTTACAATTCATAGTTGCAATCAATTTGGCCTGATTTTGGACTAAGAAATGTCATAGTTCATAAATGATTCATTTAAACGCCATGTTCTTATTTATGTCAAATATTCACTTGATATCGGTGACAATATGTTAATTTGATCACCATGATGCAAAATCTACATCAGGAATTCAGGAGCGGGACATATACTATGCTGTTGCTGCCATCGTAAATCAAAGAAATCAGTGACTAAAGAATCGAAAATGTGTCAAGAGAACTTCTCTATCTGTTAAATTCCTAAGTTGAACCTACTAGAAACTATAGAAAGTCTCTGAAAGTCCATTTTTCTTAGATTTTTAAATTAGATTTTTTTTGTCATGTAAGATTCGCTTTTGGATTCATGGGTGTATTAGATGAGTCTTATGTCATTCTTATCCTACAAAGTACAAAGTTCTATTCATCTGACATCGTTGTTACTCTCTGTAGAAGCTGAACATCTTCAAGCAAAGCAGAACACCATTAGTACTGACATAAGGGAAAAAGGTGCAAATAGAAGATGTCTCAAGGTTAATAAATTTTTTAGTAATATTGCATTTGGAAAAAATATTAGATTCTATTGACAGTTGCTGAACATATCTGTGGCTGTTATTGATTTATTTGTTCTGCACTTATACTAAATCAAAGTACTATACCAAAGAAAGGATCAAAATTTAATTATCACTTATGAAGGATGTAGTAGGACCAAATTAAAGGTGACCTCCTTTACTTATTCTTTGCTTATTTTAGTGCACATATGTTCAGTTAAACACTGGTACATCGACAGTAGCAGAAATCTCTACTAGCACTTATGCTCACCTACTGTGTACCTTCAGGCTTCAGGATCTCCTGTTACCTTTACTTTAAGGAGCTTTTCTTTGTGTCTTCTTTTTTATTATTTGTTAATGACAAATGTCAACTAAATTACATGCTACGTTGTGATCAATGGGGTTCCTTCTTACACTGTTAGAGACAATGAAAGCTTGCAAACGTGAGGTATCTTCCATGACCAGAGTCCACTAACTAGTAATGCGGATTAATTGAAGGATTCTATCATTCTAGTGGCAGATTAAAAATTAAGGATTTTAGTAGAAGTCTCACCATTATCCTCTTGGCATCTGTAACCTTCTTGAAAGATCCTGTTCCAGATTGTTTCAAGTTTCCTCGGCCATCAAGTAAGCCAAACCTGATCAATATTTCCTTTGACCAAGCAACTCGAATTTTGGGATTCTTGTGATACAGTATATGGCGCTTCCCTTTCATTACAAAATTGTTTTACTTTATTAAATAGAAAAAAGTATCTAGTTACTGACCAAAATCTGCCTTTGATGCATGCCTTTGATTAATTATTTGTAATTACACAAGTCGCCACAATCACAAGATGCCTTCTAATAATATCCATAGATTGTGGTTATGAGCACCCCCAGCCTTCTAAGATGCTGTTAGTGCTGCTAATTTCCAGCTTTTCCTTATCCCCCACTAGGCACACAAAGCTAATGTCGCCATCTGCTTGATCCAGAGCATCTTGAGCATGATCTTCCTTTGTTGGACTCTGCCTTAGCCCATTGAAATAATAGCCATTAAAAGTCCAAAGGACTTTTTACATGGATTTATTCTCACAGAAAGAGCATCAAGAAGGGGAAAGGAAGATTTAGAGTACAGGAATGATCGGTGTGCCTACGATGAGGACTGAAATATTAACTAGTCAATAAAACTATAATGTGATAAGGGAATCTTTGAAGTTCTCAATTAGAAAATTGATGACTTGGGTTGAGCACCTTGAGGTTTTTGCTCCAGTCCATTCATATCACATAAAGGTAGTAGTAGATTACGTGGTTTGTGCTATGAAAAGAGTAGGTCAAGGGATAAAGCCTCTTCATAGGGTTCAATGTATGTACAGCCAAGAAGACATGCTCTTAAGTTGGATGTTTCCATAGGTTTGTGCTCTCTCTTTGGACCATGTTCAGCATTGTTTATGATGTTACATGTATGCTATTTAGCTAGGTGAGGTCTACAAATTGAGCACTGCCTTTTTGACAAATGCGCTGTCCATTTCATCCAAAATTTGCTGCTCCTTGTGTCTATCGAATGATGGATGCCTTTACTGTTGTAGCATAGAGTTGAATTGATTGTTTTAGGGGGACCAAGACTACAATTTGACACAATACTATTATATTGCTCGATGGTGCTAAACCAGCAAACTTAAGATGCACCGTGCAACTTGTGTTTGCTTCTAGGAAATGCCTGCTGCTCTGTTTTTCTTTTCTCCTTGATGATTACTGAGTTATTCCCTTCTGGAACCATATCTTAATCTCTCTGTTTGATGAACAATATATATCTTTTTTGAGGGAACAACAGAATGCCTGCTATTTCTTAGTTAGAGTGGGATTTGACCAGCAATATTATTGAAGTTTTCATTTGCCACTTTTGCTTGCGTTGTTTGGGAAAAGAACAAATCCTTTGTGCCCTTAATGGGAGAAGAATTCTGAAATTCCTTCAGGGCAGGACAAATCTGAATGCTTAAAGCTACTCATTTTCGTTTCTGTCCTGCCCCACAACTGAAGCCTGATGGTTGGGTCCAGCAGTCACACGACGCCAACATGGCTACATTCCAATTCAGAGGCTGCTAGGTTATTTACTAGAGTACTAAAAGCCACATCTTGTAGATTTTTTTTTTAAAAAAAGCAAAGGCCAGACCTTTCTAGATCCCGGTGAGAAGAAAAAAGAATGGAAAATAAAAGGAATAAAAGGTTTGGTGTATTTTCTTCCAGAAGAATAACAGTGTACCAGCAGTTTGAGAATATTCAAGTCTTAAACTAACCCATGACCGTCTTTGTTTTCCAGAAAACAGGCAGACAAGTTCAGGAGAAACTTACTGGCAGGAGCATATGTTTATGTCCATAGAAGCAAGATCTTGGGTTGCTTTGCTCCATGCTTAAGTCTTGTCTTCAAAAATCCAAAATCCGGTTGACTTTATATTGTTACAAAAAGAAATAGCCAGTGCCAGGTGTTCCAGTTGGGATCTTCTGTGGAGATGAGGTAAGCAGTCATGTGTTGCAACCGCAAGGTATTGTTTTCATTCACTTACATAAAAAAAATCATTTCTACCATGCAATGCTTATAATTAGTAAAGCCTCGAAACGACTGAAGTATTATATCATGTGAATCATGATTTTTTTGTTGACAATATTACATCCTAAATATCGAAATACGTTAATAGATCAACTAAAACACATTTGTTGTCCAAAGATGCATATGGAGACCGAGAAATTCTCTTTAAAAAAGTCTGAACAAATTTTATGATAGGAGAGGTTCCATTTTTAAGAAATTGGATCCACTTATCATAGTCTCGTTTTCTTTCCACTTACCAGAAGTGTGTCTAACAAATTGTTGGCCACACAAATTGTGGCTTGCCCAACTTTGCTAAAAAAACTTTATTTACATGGCTTGTTTTGATTTTAAAAATTCTCCTAGAAAACTTTGAGCAACGAGTTCTTATGAATATATTTTACTTGTCCATATAGAACCTTAATGTTCTGAAGGTTAGACAGGTTCGATCGAGTTAATTAGGCACCTATTTATTGTCATACTTGTAACAAATATTTATTCATTACTGTGTATAGACTCCGTGTGTCGTTGACGTAAGACGTTTGATAAAATTGCGTCATTCTAGGTGAATTGCATGTTCAATTTTACTAGCCAAACTTTAGACAATTCAGCTAAAAAATGTTATTAACATCTTGGTCAAATTGAAGTACTCAATGAAACAAGCTTGGAGCCAAGATTTCCCAGCGTTTGAAAAGGTGCCAATCGATCGAACATGGTTTTACGCAATGGTCGAAAACATGTCTCAACTTTGGAGTAACAGCCACTCCTACAGAAGATCCTTGACCTTTTGTAGGACACGAGGGTAACTTAATTTAATTACGATTGCAGGAGACAACGATCAATCAGCTGTCCCCTCCACCTGGCCACACGTTGTACTGGAGAGCGTGGGCTGAGTGTGATATTAGTATAAAATTTTACTCACGAGTACAACTACTATTTGTATAGTACTATATCGCTGCTTCTCACGCTTAAATTTTATCTTGAAATATAACTACTTCTCCATATCTGAATTTAGGTCTCCTTTGATTCAAAAGAAATTCATAGAAATTTTAGAGGATTTATTCCTATAGGATTTTTTTCCTACAAAGCCCTTTGAATCAAAGGAATGAACTCTATGGAATCCTATGAAATTCCTATGGAATATCTCTTCCCATACAAGTTTTGGAGGAATTTTAACAAGAGGTAGAACCTCATGGAAGAAATCCTTTGAGTCTTTATCTCTCTCAAATTCCTCTGCTTTTCCTGTGGTCCAATCAAACGGTTATTCATATGTTTTTCCTGTGTTTTGAAATCTTCTGTTTTACACTTACATTCCTGTCAGAATCCTATGTTTTTTCTGTTCCTCCGTTTTTTCATTCCTGTGATTCAAAAGGGGGCCCTTATCTTAACCAACTACGAACCATTTTTAATTTAATTTATTTACTTTTTTACAAACGCTCACAACATGTGCACATTTACCCTTATAAACGTACACACCCACGGTCTGTTCTTGTGAGTATCTCTGAAAGATCAAGCCAATATACTTTGAGATTAATGATATCATCACAACGCCTCGCTGAAAGAATAACTAGTCATAAATACGAGCTCCCCTATCAAGTCTAAAACTTAAATATGTATAAACTGATTTCATCACAAAAAAATCAAACCAGTTAAGAGTACTTTCTTATCTTAACTTACCGTAGTACATCTTTCCCCAGCCTCTGTAAAGAAAAACTCCATAAATGTTTATATTCCAGGGAGTACTTAGATTTGACACAACCTGCACTTGGGAAGAATTTTTTTTATATGCGTTAGTGCCCCTGCCCTATAGTGATCGAGTGGACATCTAGGCTCCTGGCCACAGCTTCTGTTCTCCTCCATCATCTCTAGCTCTAGCTCGTGCACTGCAGAATTTGCAGATGCTGGAGTAGATAGATAGCGGACGCATGACATACCTTTCTGTTTTGGCCGATTGGTCAGATCCATCGTAGTTTGGACCTGTACCTTCTGTATACTGTACTGTACTGTACGTACCCCTGCTGCTGTCTTAGTACTAGTACAGCATGTAGAGTACGTAATGTTGATAGTTAGTACTCCTAACCGATACTGCAGAAAGCCCTTGAGATTCGTGCCGCGCGCGTTCGTTTGTTCTTTTTTGTTGGTGTGGATGGGGTCACAAAATGTGCTGGATTGTTAGGAGGGGTTGTTGGGCTAATTAGGAAATTTTGATGGGGCTTGTTAGCTAGGGTTATTGGTAAGGAAAATACTGTATTTTGTGCATGTGCATATGAAACTACTCTAGTTGCATTGTTGGAATATAATATATATATATATATATATATATATATATATATATATATATATATATATATATACAATGGTGAGACATCAGCAAATGTTCTTTGAGTAGATGACACTGATTATGTTTTCAATTAAATTACAGTGGACATTTTTCTTCTTTTTATTCAGTGGGCCGGCCAATGCATATAAAGTAGCAAAGGTGATTTCTTTTTGTTGAATTTAGTGCAGTATTACACTAAGGTATCACCATAAGCATAACAACAAGAAGCTTATCTCTAAAAATAATTTTAGAGTTGTGTTCTTGGAAAAAAAATGAGAGGAAGGGCTGGCCTTGGCACACTCTATGCTTTGGATGCCTTTCACATATATCTACTTGAACTCGCGGAAAAACTGCTAGCGGAAAAGATAGGTTGTGTCGTCACACACCAATATTTTATGCAAAAGAACTTGACGATGTGCTATATATGAGCCCCATTATGTTCACCAGGTGAGCGTGGACCATGGAGGACCCGACCTAATTAATAATATAGTACAAAACTAACAACATGTCAAGCTAGCATATCCCTTTTCTTAGCTATCTCGTGTGATTCATATTGAAAGTTAATTTAATTAGTGGATATTCGGACCGTTGATCGATGATGACCACTTGATCTCTCATGACCCTTCGATTGTTCTGCACTTCAAGCAAGTACTGTACTTGATTGGTTGTGTCTCTAAATAAATATATAATCTTCATAGAAAAAGTTGTGGTAGGAATAATTTCAAGTTCTTAGGGGTATATACAAGTTGGATAGTAGTAGTAGAAAAGTTAGAAGCAACATACATTAGCTAGATCTGACAGTTACTTAAGTTATGGTAAAGTTTTAAGGTTTTTTTCCTTTTTACTTCTGGTCTGCTAGTGTTGATTTCTTGTGAACTCGATCTGAGCTATTTAATACTAAGTAGGAGTAGCAGATAATGTTTTAGTTTGGTGCTTGATCTTGTTAATATTGTTTTCTTGCCCCTGAAGCGAGGTTTGTAGGTGGTTGTGTTAACTGGTCCTACCAGAGTGACTGTGATCACATCACACAACTTTTAGTTATCTCCTCTACATGGTGTTAACTTGTTCCATTTGATTGATTAGAGTATCATTTCCTACCTTTATTGCAAACTATACTCATTCCAATTAGAATAATTCGGTAGAAAAATCAGTGACTTTCTTTGGTTAATTTGCCATGTTGTCTGAAGATTGTATCCAAAACTTATCCTACAGACTGCACAAGTTACACACTAGCTATACTTGAGTGCATGCATGCTCGTAGTCGTAGGTAATCAGAAGACACAAGCAAAGGATCACTTTTGCAGCCATTGATCGAGAGAGGATGATGCCCTCCGGCTACATGCAAGAACTCTTCTTCTAAAGCAGAATATACTCCTCTCTCTCTCCATTCATTTCTTGAGTCTTCCAAGCATGCAAAGCTCCTTTCACCTCTCCTTTCATTTCCTTTTCATGCCTCATATCATCATCAGCTCGAGCTGTTCTTTCTCACCTGTGACGACTGAGTGAGTGACTCCCCTGATGAACAAATTAATTGGAGCATGCCTGAGCCTTGACTTTACAGCCCTGGAGAAGATTCGAAAGACGACGTGTGTTTGACTTCTGCATTATTCATTCATTCATTCATTCATGCATACTACTCCTACTGCTCATTTGTGTTGGGAACTGGGCTAGAGTTGTTGGGAGTGATCTGATGGGATTGAACTGGAGTGAGGTAGGTTTCACTGGGATCTGTTTCACAGAGAAGGAAAAGAGAATAGACCTCTAGTGGAGTACTCCTACTAGTTCTCTCAATAGTGAAATGAATAAACAAGAGGCCATTCATGGAAGGGGAAGGCAATGGTGTTACCACTGGCTTGATCAAGGCCTCAAGTAGTGAGTGGCATTGGTTATTAAACACCACACAAAATCTAGTAGAGATGATCTTTTTCCCACCTGTTGCATTACATCATATGTCAAGTCTCTGACAAGAACCACATGGAACAGTTTCACTCATAGTTTTTGCGAGTTCAGCCAAATGGCTACCACTAGACACTAGTAGTACATAATAGTTAGGATTAGGGGGGGAGATATGAGAGGGAGTGTGTGTGAAAGTGAGGGAGAATATAAAAAAGGCTATGCAAAAAGGTGGCAACAAGCAAACAATATGAGTGGGGGCGATATACCTTTTGTGGATTTGCTAGTGTTTAACTATTGAAACCATGACTTCTCTGGGCTAATCCTTTGTTTACATCGTCTCCTTTGGCATTATAGTATCACAGCTTTGGTCCCCATCTTGTTCGATCTCTTGAGCATGCATGCTCTCCTCCTAGCTTAGCTTTCCCTTCCTTCAACTCTACTCAACAAGTCAAAGATCGAGTCCTCTCTCTAAAACTTCTTCATCCCAATCAAAAACTCCTCCCAAAACCTTCTCAAACCTCAGCTCATATAATACTACTCTCTCTAAAACTCTTCGTGAGAGAGAGAGAGAGAGAGATGTGATGCTGCATGAAGGTTAGATTTTGGAACATGTCAAATCACAATTGTTCCAGGCATATGGGGAGGTAATTGATTATGAGAGGAGAGTCACAAGTTCTTTCTTTTTTTTTCTTTTTTTGTTATGTAGTATATTTTTATTCTACTGGCTCTTGTACTGGATGTTGCTGCTGCAAGTGATCGATGCATGCATGAGAGTGATGAGCTGCTTCTGCTTGTTGCCTTCCTCACTTTGGGCATTTCTCTCTCGCCTTCCTGTCCATTGCTGGCCTTATGTGAGGTTTTGCCAATACCTCTAATCATCTCCTCTCTCACTTTCTCTCTCTCTTGATGCTACTACTGCCTTGCAGAGGCAGCAACAGGAGAGAGTAGCAGATTCCTTTGTTGTTCTGCCCACAAGAGAGAACTCACAACTCACAAGTAGTAGCAGTAACAACATCAGCAGCAGGTACTACTAGACCCACACACATGCAAGCACAGATATGAGTATATGATCTTTCTCCCATGCCACAAGTGAAAAGATTTCTCCCTCTCCATTATCCTTTGTTTCCTTTTGCCTTTTGTATTGTTCTGAATGCATGCTGCTAGCTACTCCAGCTACTGGTTGCTCTCTCTACACATGTGTGTATACAACTACACATACTATGCTTATTTGTACAAAATTTTGTGCAGGGTTGGAAGCAAGGGATCTCTGCATGCTGTGGTTGCATGACACAGATGCACATGTCCCTTTTGGTGGGTAATGATGGGGTGCAGGTGGAGGTGATGATAGATTGCCTCATCTGGGGACTGAGACATTCCATCCAAGGGTGCCCAATGCCATGCCCTCACATTCACTCACAGCTAGTAGAGCTATCCCCCTCCCCTCCCCTCTTTGCAATATTCCATTTGTTTGCTAATGTGTTGTATCAAGATGCCCTTGATGTGAGTGTTCACTGCCCTCTCTGTCCCTCATTTTTTGCATCTCTCATTCTCATGCATTGCATACCATGTACAACTACTGCTTCAGCTAGAATTGCATGTGATGTATATATATGATAGTATATCCTTTGCATCTCGGGAAAATATGTAGTGCAAATCACATATATAGTGGAAACTTGAAAACTACCGTTGAATCGAGAAATGGACGTCCGAGATTCGTCCACGTCATCATGAGTTAAAATTTAACTCGCAGATTCACTCATGAGTTAAAATTTTACTCGGAGTTAAATTTTAACTCATGATGACGTAAACGAATCTCGGACGTCCATTTCTCGATCCAATGGTAGTTTTCAAGTTTTCACTACATATGTGGTTTGTACTGTATATTTTCCCTTGCATCTCCATGTATCTCAAAAGTTACATGAGTGGCACTTGCTACTGTGCATGTAGTATGTGTAGCAGCTAGGTTATAAATTTCTTTATGTGTAACATGTGTGTGATGCATAGTATATGCAATGTGAAACACTGACACAGCTAGACCAGGTGTGGGGGGTGTGCTTGTTCTTGTTGCAAGGAAGTTATCTGGAGGCCATCATCAATGAAGATCCCACCAAGGGACAAAACATGAGATGGTTGGAGACTTGGGTCTGTCTAGTCTCTATTCAACCATTTAAAGCATTGCGTGTGTAGGCTACACTCGGAGAGAGAACACAGAGCAGCCGTCCAAACCGTCTGAAATGATAACTTACTCTAAGCTAGTAGGAGTGCTAGTAGTACCCTCTATATGTGCAATTTTATTCGTTAAAAAGGTTTCCATGCATGCTTTTTTAGTTTATCAATAGCCTAAACCTTTTGAATTATTAAGAGTTAATTAGTCCCAAGTGTGTATGATTACTCCCCCAAATTCTCTTTGTTTTCTTCGAAAAATTTGCAGTTATTTAAGTGAGGTCCTCTCTCTCTCTCTCTCTCTCTCTCTCTTTGATAAACTGAGGTTCTCAAGTTTCATGTTTTACCAATTAATCAATCCCAAGTAGGTTTTATTTTTGTTGATTTAAGTCCTCGGACCTCAAGCCCTGAACATTCAATAATTTATCAAATTCAAGGACCTGCAGTTAGATAATTTTTAGTTAATAGAAAAAAATATCGCATTTGTTGCAACGGGTGAAGACTATTTTAATCTTATTATTGTTATACGGTTTAGCTAGGGTAAAATTTACTCTAAAAATTCGTTTGAACTTTTTTTAAAAATGTCATGAGCTACAATTAGGAGTTTGACTTTCGTCACAAGTTAGCATGCAAGTTTTTTTAAATATATTTCTTATACGACTCCTTTTGTATTTTCAAAAGTGAACAAACATAAAAGCTAACTCAAACACAAATCTATATTTGCAAAAGCGAACGAAATTAAAAACCAGCTCAAACAAGAATGACATACAAAGTACTGACAAAAACATATTTAATTTTTATAATAGTAGAGATATGAGTAAAAGGGACCAAAATCAACAAAGCAAATAGTGGAGAGCCGGAATCAACACTGTCTGACTTGGTGAAGATCTCAATTACACAAAAATGAATGCTTTAAAAGGATCATTTAATTAAAGAAATACCAAATATATAATAATAGCTAGTACCATCATATTATATATACTCCCTTTGTCCCTGAAAGAGTATTATCCAGATTCATTCATAGCTAAAAATACACTCTTTTAGAGATGGCCGGAGTATCATTATATGTCTATAGCATATACTTCTACTTAACATATATAAATACATACTCCCTCCGCCCTAAAATAAGTGCAGTTTTGCACTATTCACGTTCAACGTTTGACCGTCCGTCTTATTTGAAAATTTTTTATGATTAGTATTTTTATTGCTATTAGATGATAAAACATGAATAGTACTTTATGTGTGACTAAATGTTTTTAATTTTTTATAAATTTTTCAAATAAGACGGACGGTCAAACGTTGAACGTGAATAGTGCAAAACTGCACTTATTTTGGGACGGAGTTAGTACATATATATACACATTACACATTGCATACATAAACATACAACCACACTGCCCTCTAGCTATACACATGCCATGATGCCAAGAGCCAATGATCACCACCCAAATCCTTCTAGCAATAGCTCCCTATGGCACAAACAGTCACAGCTGCACAAACACACACACACACACACATATCACCCATTCATCTACTCTAGCTAATCTAAAGGCACTAGCATAGTACTACAATCAACCAGTAGTAGTAGCCCTCATTTGCATGTTTTTATTTCGCCCACCAATCCTTGGAATGTTTTAGATTCCCCCCTCTCACTCTCTCATCAAGGAATGAGCATCCCCCATTCTCCCCCAACCCCTCATATTTTCAGTTTCTCACTCTACCTTTCCCCTCCTCCCCTAGCTAACCCCTCTCTCTTTCTCTCTCTAAAGCTCCAATCTTTCTACCTTTCTCTCTCTAAAAGCTGGAGTAGCTTAATTTCTTTCTTTCTTTTTCTTTCTCAGCTGGGATTGCACAGTGAAGCTAGGGAGAGGCTATAGCTATGGGGGTGATGTAGCTGGGCAGTGAGGCTAGTGACAATCTCTCTCTCACACACACACACACAAAAACACTTGTGTATTTTTGGCAGATGATGTCCTGTCAAGGAAGCTGCAATTGCAAGCCCAGATGTTGGACGTGCACGCTCGCCCTCCCTATTAAACCCGCCCTCCTCCGATGCTCCCTCTCCTCCTCCCCCCTCGCCGCCGCCGCCGCCACCTTCTCCGGCAGCTCACCGTCGTTGTAGTAGCTCTGGTGGTGGTGGTGGTGACGACGACGGCTACGGCGGCGGCGACGGCATGCTCCGGTCACTCCACTCCTCGTCGTCTTCTGACACGGATAACAACAGCGGTGGCTGCAAGAACAATGGCGGCGGCGGTGGCGAGGCCGCCGCCGCCGTTGAGGGTGGCGGTGATCAGCGTGCCGTTGCGGCGGCGGCGCCGTCGACGCGGGACTTGCTGCTGGCGTGCGCGGACCTGCTGCAGAGGGGGGACCTGCCGGCGGCGAGGCGAGCGGCGGAGATCGTCTTGGCGGCGGCGGCGTCGCCGCGGGGCGACGCGGCGGACCGCCTGGCGTACCACTTCGCCCGCGCGCTGGCGCTCCGGGTGGACGCCAAGGCCGGCCATGGCCACGTCGTCGTCGGCGGCGGCGCGGCGCGGCCGGCGTCGTCCGGGGCGTACCTGGCGTTCAACCAGATCGCGCCGTTCCTGCGTTTCGCGCACCTCACGGCGAACCAGGCCATCCTCGAGGCCGTCGACGGCGCGCGCCGCGTCCACATCCTCGACCTCGACGCCGTCCACGGCGTGCAGTGGCCGCCGCTGCTGCAGGCCATCGCCGAGCGCGCGGACCCGGCGCTCGGCCCGCCCGAGGTCCGCGTCACCGGCGCCGGCGCCGACCGCGACACCCTCCTCCGCACCGGCAACCGCCTCCGCGCCTTCGCCCGCTCCATCCACCTCCCCTTCCACTTCACCCCGCTCCTCCTCTCCTGCGCCACCACGGCGCCCCACCACGTCGCCGGCACGAGCACCGGCGCCGCCGCCGCCGCCTCGACCGCCGCCGCCGCCACTGGCCTCGAGTTTCACCCGGACGAGACGCTCGCCGTGAACTGCGTCATGTTCTTGCACAACCTGGCCGGCCACGACGAGCTCGCCGCGTTCTTGAAGTGGGTGAAGGCCATGTCGCCCGCCGTGGTGACCATCGCCGAGAGGGAAGCAGGCGGCGGCGGCGGCGGCGGCGACCACATCGACGACCTGCCGCGGCGGGTCGGGGTGGCCATGGATCACTACTCGGCGGTGTTCGAGGCGCTGGAGGCGACGGTGCCGCCGGGGAGCCGGGAGCGCCTCGCCGTGGAGCAGGAGGTGCTGGGCCGGGAGATCGAGGCCGCGGTGGGGCCCTCCGGCGGCCGGTGGTGGCGCGGCATCGAGCGGTGGGGCGGCGCCGCCCGCGCCGCGGGGTTCGCGGCGCGGCCGCTCAGCGCGTTCGCCGTGTCGCAGGCGCGGCTGCTGCTCCGGCTGCACTACCCGTCGGAGGGCTACCTCGTGCAGGAGGCGCGCGGCGCCTGCTTCCTCGGGTGGCAGACGCGCCCGCTGCTCTCCGTCTCAGCGTGGCAGCCGTCGTCGTCGTAGCCGGCGACGAAGACGACGATGGCGACGGCGGCGGCGACCACGGGCTAGGGTTTGCCAAGCTCGATTGATCGATCGATCACTACTGCTCCCATATATAAATAGAGAATATATATATATATATTATATATGAACATTTGCATAGATGCAATAATATTGGCTACTCGATCTCTAGTTAGCATGCAAGATCTCATGGAGGTTTTGGGAGGATGTGAACTAGTTGGGTTTGCAAGGAGGAAGAAACCCTAACCCTAGCTAGCTGCTTCATTAATTGCTGTTAAATCTTTGGTTGTTTTGCTTGCTTGGCTAGTTAATCAAAAGCTGTTAATTAATTTCGATCCTGCAATGGGATGGAGAGGAGGATTTGAGAAATGCATCATAGCTTAATTAGCATGAGGATGGCAATGGAGTTTGAAGTGATCAAGAACATGGTGAGAGGCTACTACTACGTACTAGTACCAATTCCATGTTTTTTCTCTTTTTTTTTCCATTTTTTTTTGTTTCTGCATGTCTCACTAGTTCCTGTTGGAGATTTACATAGTTCTAGGGAGATTTTGTCTATATGTTGGACCTAAATATTGCACTACTATTAATATAATTTGTTAATTTTGATGTGAGGATTTGTTGCTACACATATTATTGCTTCTATATATATTCTCAGTGTTCTATTATTTATTTGGATCTGTAGATCTTGCAAAATGGATCATATCCACCATGCATGCACTTTTTCTATGACCTTCATGTTTTTTTAGTCATGTGTGTGTAATATTAATTTCTTAGGCATGGAGGCCAGGAGGGGATCTTCTAGCTAGCTTCTATAGCTCACTTGCATGGCCTCATTTTATAATCCTACATTTCACTTGCTTGTTGGTGCTTGATGCCCTTGTTAGTATTATAACTAATCATGCGTTCTTTGGCCAGCACTAACCATAAACTAATCCCTATTTTGGGAGGTTGTTTATGTGGGAGTAATGATCACTCCTGTAGTGTTGCAACTTGCAAAGGCAAACAAATCAAATTGTATATATATACAGACAGGTTTTGTATATGATGCTAATTAATACACCTAGCTATAGCTAGTGTTTTCTTTTTCTTCTAATGTGCTCTTAGGGAGAAATTAAAGAAAATGTTGTGTGTCTCCTCTCCTGCCCAGGGAGAAGGGGTTTGGGGGTCTTGTTTTCTGTGACACATGCCCCTGATATGCTGGTAAGCTGTCTTTGTGAGGGCATGGCATGATCCCATGCATCAATGCCACCCTAATCCCTGCCCCCTGTCCCCTCAAACAAAATCATGGGATTTCTCAAAACCAAGCCACCCCTTTTGGTGGCCAACTTGCCCCCTTAATCTCTCTCTCTCTCTCATATATGTGGTTGCAAGAGTAGTTTCTCTCTCTAAGAGTGAAAAAGATCATTCCCTTTTGGAAGGACCCATGTTCCTCTCTCCATTGCCTTGGGATCTTTGCATGCATGCCTTCTTAATTGGTTCCTCAAAGAGAGCCATGCCGGCCATGCCCTACTTGATTCCCTTTGGTTGCCTGTCTCTCATGTTTTAATAATTTAATTAAGTATAGATTGGTACCTCTTCTTTTATATCTGTTACTAGGCAGTTGTTTTTAGAGAATTTTTGTGTGAGGCGTGTGGTGGGTATATATGTCTGTGAAAAAAATATATAAAACCAATCACACTTGAGTTCAGAAAACCAAATCATAAAAGTGTTTTATTGTTCGTTAGGAGAGGTGAGTTTATATCATATTTATCTTCTTAATAATAGAGGTACCACAAATTAACAATAGAGTGGTATACCATGGTACAACAAGAACCATGAAAAGCTCAAATCATAATGTTGCCCTTTTGTTATAATTCAAATCATCAGTTCTTTATGTGATCACTTGTTGACTGCTTTCACATACTCCAGCCTTTCCCTATTAAATTTTGTCATGATTTTTCATGAATGGATGGATTATCAACTAGCTATTTTTAGATCCGATGTAATCTGAGGTTCCTTTGGGGGGCATAACTTTTGATAGAACCAAATCTAGCAGGTGTGGTCAAAACATTAATTTTGAGATAATTAATTATATATAAGCATATTGCTCTTTAGTAGTACTATATATAGCATTTCATGTCAACTTGTTGTACAACTTACTAGCGAAAACGAATAGCTGATTAGACATATATGATATAATCGATAATAGTATATTGTAGATGGATGGGTTAGTGGGCTACACGTTCACTATGAACAAATTTGCATCGAATACCTTTTACTGCCTTGTATATATTTGTCTGAAATCCTGCACCAGTCTAATGTGGAGTCGTATATACTTGCTACTATATAAATTAAAGAAGATATTGTAGTATGCTTAATTACCGGCACTAAGATTAATTAATAATGTATGGGCCCAGCTGTCCAGCTCAATGCCATCAGTGGGAGTGTCAAACCTTATCTTAATTTCGTTGCATATTACAATTATGCTGACCTTAATCTTCCTCGCACACATGCTGCATTGCATCATCCTCACATCTCTTTGACTTTGATTAGGCTATAAACAATTGATTGTAGCTTGGTATTTTAACCTCATCAATCTTTTCCTCAAGAAAAAGTGACATTGACTGATATGTCTGCAGTCAGGCCCTAGCTTTCTTTGCCTTCCAACCAATGTGTTTGGCATAAGAAAAAAAAATCCTACTACTACAATGCCTAGTATTCTACTACCTCCTCCCATAATAAGCGCAGCGGTGGGTTTCAGTGCCCAACTTTAACCATCCGTCTTATTTGAAATATTTTTATGATTAGTATTTTTATTGTTATTAGATGATAAATATGAATATTACTTTATGTGTGATTTAAATTTTAAATTTTTGTTCATAAATTTTTCAAATAAAATAGACGGTCAAATGTTGGGTACGGAAACTTATGGCAACATTTATAATGGGACGAAGAGAGTAATGATAACATAGCTACATTCACAATGTACTGTAGGAGTATTTGTGTTTGCATGGACATGGCATCTTATAATCTTTTATTCCTAGTATATGCTGCCCCAGCTATGCACTATATCTATACGCATTCCATACCATAGGTATATATATCATAATTAACCTAAGGGAGCATATGTAATATCACATCCACTCCAAACTACTCCTAGCTAGGAGTATGTACTGCCTACCTCTTGCTTACTCTACTTGCCTTCCTTGTAGAACACCTACAAAAAAAAGGTGGTTCAAGAAAACATTTTTTTTCCTTGTAAGAAAATCGAATTAATAGCAATGCAACAAAGGTAAGTGTGCGGTGCAGCACAAAAGTTTGTTAGAACTGTCGATCGATCGATCATGTAGCTAGGCCTTTTGATTACTCCCTGGATTTTGCGAGAGTTTATAGGGGAATCTCTTCAACTTAGTAACTTTTTGGAGACCGATGTTACATGACATTCAGCTTCGTCAACTCCCAATGAATCTCATCTGCAAAAATTTTTGTCAACTACTTACCGGAATCATACGACTTTGTAATCTTCCTAAATGATTGCCATCTTACTAGCTACTACTAACTAGCTAGCATATATAGCTATCGATCACAACCAAGCTAACTATAGATCGGGATCGCTCACCAGATTCATTAACCTTTTTATTACACATCCTAATCAACGCATAAACGTTTTCACATTCATATATATGTTCAAGTGCTATGAATTATACATGAAGATAAATATTGCGCGTTGATTTTCGTTTCTTTGAACATGAATCGGGGGGGGGGGGGGGTGCATTCATAGGCGTGTGAGTGGATGTAGCGTGTGCAGTGATGTGTGTACATGTGCATGTACTATGCAATCAAAAAAATAATACTAGGTTCAAGCTACTCCATCCGTCCTCTAATATAAGGGATTTTGACATTTTGTTTGCACTGTTTAACCATTCGTCTTATTAAAAAAAATTGAATTATTATTTATTTTATTTGTGACTTACTTTATTATCTAAAGTACTCTAAGCACAACTTTTCATTTTTATATTTGCACAAATTTTTTGAATAAGACGAATGGTCAAACAGTGCAAGCAAAATGTTAAAATCCCCTATATTAAGGGACGGAGGGAGTAGCTAGCTAGCCAGATGGTTTATGTTATATATGATCTTACCCAGAGATAATTAATTAAGTTAAAAAGTGCTATATGGTTGCATTAATTAGCACACATGTAGCATCACCAATGAATGATCCAACTAGCATACATATATGCATGCAAAGATGCATGTAATCTTCTGAACTTTACCATGATCAATACAATTGGAGTTACCTTAAGAATTTCTCCAAAATTAAGTTGCTTACAATGGACACATACCAATCCACGGACGAACTGGCGAGTGACACAGTTCGTCACTGGCCAGTTAAGGCTGCCATATCCTTAAATTTTGCAGGCTACAACAAAGCTGCTTATCATTGCTTGGCATTAACTCCCATGGCATGTATGGCAGCAGTGACAGTGGAAAAGAAGAATGTGTGCAACCCCAAAACCAGATGAGATAGAAAGAGGAGTAGATACTCCATGGTGCCAATAGCTAACTAGACAGGCAGCACAGGGAGACCAATGGAATCAACAAGGTATAGCTAGGCAGGGTATCTGATCTCTCCATGGTGCACCCATGCATTCTGAATTTCTTATTCTCTTGCTCCTTTTCTTTTTTTTTTTTTGAGAACTGATCGATTCTCTTCTCTTCCTCACCTCTGCTCACTCCATGCATTGATGATAGATGGATGACAGACAGGACACAGAAAAAAGGGGCCATGATTTCCATCTACCAAGATCAGATTGATGCCTTCCTAGAAACTTCAGAGATTATTATGGAGTCATTGAGTGAGCCTAGGAGTACAATTATATATTCAATTCTGTTTGGTACAAAAAAATGTACTAGTAGTACTAAAGATAGAAGAAATGCTTTTGAAAAAATGGCAAAATAACAGTGCAATCCTGATAGAGCCTGAGAAGAAAAGAGCTAGCAAGAAACGGTGAAGTTGAGGGCTAATTAATTTGCATCAAATTAACCATTGATCGACTAGCTAGTATATAACCTCTCTTGTAACTTTAACTAAATACGTTGAGACTCTGTGGGCTAATTAACTAGAATATATTAATTAACACGCATACATAACACCCTATCAGTAACCAGCTAGTATTCATATAATGTAATTTGTATCCCCAGAGTATTTGCTTTTCATGTTCCTCTTAAAAAAATGATTGGGCCGTGTTGCTATTACAATTTCAGTAAGCTTCCATTTCTCTCTTTCAGCACAAGTTAATTACCAATTGCAGTGAAGGTTTGATGAAGTGACTACTTAATTTGCCTGGGTGGCCAAGATGCAAAACAACAGTTGGTACTCACAGCATTCACTGCCATGATATAGGAGGATAGGACAGAGGATGCATGCACACACATCATCATCTGGTAAAGGGGCATGCAGCATTTGTGTGTGCAATAGAGATCCCAATGCTGATATACACATTTGACGATTGGATTCTAGTAGTAGTGGGAGGAAGAAACACAAGCTTTGGTTTTGCATATCTGTCTCATGCAGGCAGTGCACCCCAGCTGAATCTTTGGGAGCATCTCTGTCATCTTTTTGTGTGTGTGA